TTCTCTTTTCATATTGTGAATTTCTTTGTACCTGCCTTAATGTCTTTGTGAACCTCAGCTATATAGTTATCACTTTGCAGTAGATTTGGCAGTGATGTCAACAGATTAAAGCTGCTCTTTTTATAAGAATTCTTCTTACAGATCAGATCTTTAATCTTCTAAATTTATATTATAATCTTCTTTACTTTACATGTATCTTTCAAGATAATCTTTACAAGTAGTTTCTTAATCTTAATCTGAAGCTTTATAAAGATAAGTTGTGCATTTTTATCTTCTTTCTTTTCTCTCTGATTAAGAGAAACTTGAGCTGTTAATTCTAACTTTTGTGTGATCTCTTGCTTCTTCACAAGCATTACTCTTAGTTGATTTGCAGTCTTGCAATTCTTCTTATCATCTAGGTCAGTTTTCTTAATATAGTCAGGTCTTTATAAAAGTCCATCTGCTGGATTTTTAATTTCTTTTATATGATTAACTGTGAATCAAAAGGCTGTCAGTCTTTGTATCTAGCAGACCTGTCTTTACAAGAGATCTTGAGCAGTCTGGAAGTAGCACAAGCTATTATAATCTGTAAGAACTTGAGCTGATGTTCACAAGTCTTTCAACCAGTAGCATCAATATCTAAATAACTCTATAATTATAAGCAGTTTCTGATTATGAATGCTATAGTTCATCTCTGTAAATTGCATCTTCTATAAATAAAATCCAACTAAAACCCAGATGCTATTCTTTGCCAGCTGTAATAGAATACCACATATTATAAAGTCAGATATATCTGTTTCTAATCTGATCTTCTGTTCTATATTAAAATAATAAAGCATAACAGCTTTTGCAAATGCTCTTTTTAGACTTATAAAGACTTCATAATCTTTTTCAGTCATGAAAGTGTTAACTTCTCTTCTTATCTTTCTTTATGTGTGTCTACTTAGCTTTGCTTCTTCTCTCTTTAGAAGAGCAGTCAGGTTACAGACTATCTTAGAGAATCTTGAGATAAAGTATCTGTAAAAGTTTGTGAATTCTAAGAAGATCTGGATCTCTTTCTTACTGGTTGGCTCTGGCCAGTCAAGAATAATATTCATATAGCTCTTCTTTATAAGAATACTCTCTGATGTTATGATATACTCAAGATAGTCAATCTCACAAGTATTGAACTTGCACTTTGCTAGCTTGCAATAAAAATCTGTATTCTTGAGTATCTTAAGTATTAATTTCACATGCTTCTTATAATCTTTCTCACAAGCCAAGTACACAACTATATTATCAAGATAGGCCACTGCAAACACATCCAGATATTTGCTAAGTGTCTTTGCAATATATAATTGAAAAGCTGTCAGTGCATTCACAAGTTCAAAGAGTACTATCAAATACTCAAATAGTCTTTGTAAAGTCTGAAATGCAGTCTTCCACTCATTCTCTTTATAAATTCTCAGTCTATAGTAGATGTTCTTGACATCTAACTGAGTAAATATTACAGTTCTTGAACATGAACAGAATGGATGCTTCTGCAGATGACTTAAAAGACTGGATGAATCCATAAGTTAGAGCACTGCTCAGATATTTACAAAAAGTCTCTTGCTCAGCTTGTGAAAGTCTGTATGTTCTTTCAAATTCTGACTGCTTCTCTGATTTAAGATCTATAGTCAAATTATCTTTGTAGTATGGTGGCAGCTCTCAAGCTCTCTTATTACTAAACACTTTTATAAGTTTACAGTAGGCTTCTGATATCTGGAGATCTAGATTTACTGTCACCATGTATTCTGATTTATGAAGAATTATCACATAAATAGACTTTTCTTCTTTCACAAGCTCTGAGAGATTAACTAATTTAATCTTCATAAGTAGATTATAATATACAGTTTGAAACTCTAGTTTTAGTTTCTTGAAACACATCTTGAGATTGTGTTACTGCAGTCAGCTCAAACTCACTAGCATCTCATCTCTTATATTTACAACCATCACTTGTTCATAAAACAACTACCAGTTTTTCTGAGAGTTACAGACTTTAAAGAATATATTTGCAATTTTTTCTGCAAGAGTGATATTCTTATAATCTATAGCAGTTTTAATTTTTATAAGTATCTTGTGCATCTCTAGATCTAGCTTTGCAGCTAATCATAAACTGATCACTAGAGATTGATAGTCTGAATCTATTAGTGCTGATCAGATAATACTTCTGTTAGTTGAATGTTACATGTCTAGAATAATAAAGAGAAGAGCAAGAAGACTGTTCTTGAACAACTTTATTATATTAATTCTATCTACTTACAGTTCTCCAACTTTTTATTTACTATTCTTCTTTTTCTTGGAACAGTCTTTTACAAGATGACTTTTTTAGCTACACTTAAAGTATCTTTTATTTTTTTTCAAGACTTTATAATTCTTGATAAGATTCTTTCTTATCTTCTGAGCAGGCCTCTGAAGTTGACTTCTCTTATTCATTTACAGTCTTGAGTTATTAATCTTTATATCTTCACAAGCACTTTCAATTAAATTAGTAGACTTTATATGTGAGGCATTCTTTGCATAGGCTACTGACACACTTGGTTGAAGCCAGATGGCCTGTACTACTATATTATCAATATTATCTGGTATCTCCAGCTGTTCATCCAGTTTGATTTGCATGAGCTTATTCAAGCTCTATATAAACAGGTTCTTTTTCATTTTTGTGGAATCTTCAAATTCTTTGCTAATCTCTGTTATGAGCTCTAGAAATTATTAGTAATAAGCATAATCAGTTTCATTCAAACTTTTGCAAAGACTAAAGATTACTTGCCAAGAGTTTCATATACAGTTTGCTAAATCTTCTAGCCTTATATGTAGAAACTCTTTAAGGTCAGTTCAGTTATTTTTTAATAGATTACCTTTACAGTAGGCCTTTCAAAGATCTTTCTTAATATAATCAAGTTCTGTGAGAGCATACACAAGAGTATTCTTATTATTCAGTTTGCTTGCATTACAAATGAATTTAATATCTGAGATAAACTGGTAATATTCTGCATAGATTCCAGTCTGATAGTACTTTATGTGTTACAATAATCTCAAGATCAACAGATGCTTTGCAGATGTTGGGTTGAAGATAATTATATTAAGAGATTCACTTTACAAGTACTTTTGAGTATTCTGAAAAGTATTTAACTTCTCTTGCTATTTCATTATTTTCTTTAGTAGTTTGGTCTTCTTGCAAAGCTGTTGAATTTTGTCTTTTGATATTAGAATAGACTCTCTCTCTGAGTTTACAGTGTTTGTTTTATCAACAGTTGAGAGAAGTAAGATATCAAGATTGGTTATCTCTTTATAAACTTGAGTTTGTTCTTCAGATAGATTTTCAGCTGGTGTTTCAGATTTGTAAGTTTCAGAAAGATTGACTTTTTTATATTGATATTATTGCCAGATATCACTAAAGAAGAGTGGCAAAATATGAGAATCATATATGTAGATCAGTATGACAATGAATCTCTAGAAGAAATATATATAGAAAAGAGTATATAAGGTAAAAGATCTGTATTCTGATAACTATATACAACTTATAAACAAGATTGCCACTAGCTTTTAGCAAGAGATTTGTGCAGTGATGGCCTTTTATGTGTGCTTACAAGCATGTGACTTAGTGTCTTACAAGAACACATGCAACTTCCAGCAGCTTGCAAGCCAAGCCCTCTGGCTCTTGCAGGTGCTGTTTGTCTGTGTAAGGGGTTTGTGGCAAATCCTTACAGATACTTTCATATCTTGATTACTTTTTATACTATTGAAGTCCTGTGGTACTGTACAATTATATCTGATTCCACTACTCTTGAGAAGATATAATAATCTTGTTCTGACTCTGATATATCTGCACAGAAACTCTTTGTCATCAGAGCAAGACTGCTTACTTAACTGAAGCACTATTAAACTATTGATTACTACCTCCAATCTGTTGTTGCTCTCTTTAAGCTCTTTAATACTCTTCAAGACCCTAAAGAATCCAGAGAGGTTTCCAGTCACTACACAACAATTCATAACACATATTCAAAACAGAATCTGTTAAAGATAATCTGTCTGAACTTTCTTATGTAATAATCTCTATATCTACGATTTTGTCTTATGTAGAAAATAAGATCAGAAATATTCAATTCTCACTTAACTATTTTACTGCTTGTTTAACAGATGAGATCAAGACTCTTCAAAGTATTACTAAAACTAGTCTTGTAGATTTTTCTTCATTATCTTTACTTGTCATCAGACTAACTTCTATCTAGATCAATCTTATATCTGCTATCAACTCTCTTGTCAATATTGTCTTCTCTGATTTTTGAAGTATTGTAGAAATACTTGTTCTTATGATTCTTTATTTATTATGTCTACTTTTGCTGCAGAGCTATCTGTTATTATATCAAACATACCTGCAACACCTGAATCTTACTTGTCTATAGCTGGTTCACCATTATTATAACTGTATCTTAGATGCTCTTGCAGTATATCTTCTTGCTATTAAATTTTTTATTTTGTTAGTGTGTTGTGATCTTTATGTTTGTATTTTCTTACATCTATCTTTCCTGATATATATAGATTTGTTCTTCTTCTGGTAGATATGTTTTTTTTTTAGATAATTCTTAAAAGTCTTTTTTGTGTTTTCAAGATTTTTCTCAGGTTCTCATGTTGATTTCTCAATAGAGAATCCTTTCCACTTCACTAGATAATGTCTCTTGCAGTAGTGTACTTTGTTATTCAAGATTTTATCTACTTTCCACTCATGATGATTGTCTACCAGTACTGCAGAAGAATGTGCTGGCATCTTACTTTTTCTTGTGTGGTACAGTTTCAACAATGAGACAGAAAATATTATAAATCTAATAGCTTAAAGAGAGCTTCAGTTAATATATATTATTTTCCACCCGAGACCAGGAAGGCACAGGATGCCTGTATTTTTCGATACCATTTCACTTATTGTTTGGGTTATACCATATCATTCAATTTTTAAAAATAGATGCAATTCCGCTGTAGCCATTGGTAGATTGTCTTGGTATATGGGGTTTGAAAATAATTTTGTAGTGTTCGGTATGGAAGCCAATTCTGGGAAGCACTGTAAACGAGCCAGGCAGCTTCGAAATCAAGAGACAAGCGGGGGTATCAACTGGTTTTGGATCCCCCAAAAAAATGAATTTTTCTATTGGGTCACGCGAGACAGAGAGTCTCGGTCCCAGGCAGTCTTCCGTAGCGAAAAAGACAAAAAAAAGAAAAGGCATTTTTCGGAAGAGCAGGATGTCGACTCATCCAAGTCGACCGTCCGCCACCCGGCTAAACGGGGAATGATGCAACCACCGGATAAAAAAAATTAAGAGAGAAGGGGAAAAAAAAAAAAAAAAAAAAAAAATTTTGAAAGGAAATCGAAAAACCTGGCAAACCAGCGTATGAGCAAAACGAGGGCAGATGGTGTCATGGAGCAAAGCGGTTATGATACGTCAAATCTCGCTAAACGGGTAAACCTTCTTCTCCATGACACCGAAGCCAGAGCATGTACGGAGTACAGAGTACTCCGTATGTAACCAACTTATCGTGTTGAGAGAAGAGAACGAGCAGAAGAGAACGAGAGAAGAACGAGAGAGACAACCAGCACAAGTAACTAGTTAACTAGTTAGGCTTGGCAGATTAGTCAGCCTGTTCCACGTGACTCTATGTAAGTTACCTGGTGTGTGTACAGTATGGTAAGGCTGGTGAAATGGGGTCAAAGGGCGAGCCAGCGAAAAGCCCCTGATCGGCGGGTACTGGGCTGGCGCTAAGCAGGATCACGGCTGCTGGTTGGCCAGCCGCTGCGCTTGGCCGCGAGCGATGCGTGACTGGCGCCGGGCACACTAACCGACCACGGCTAGCGTGGGAGGGCGGGCAGCGGTACGGCGCTAGTAACGGGGTTAGTCAGCAGGAGAGGTACCTGCCTCCCGCCGTAGCGCCCGCAGAGACCGCGTTTCTTCGTTCGAAACTACGACTGAACGGTGGTGGTGACCAGGCGATGCGGTTATTCTTGTTCCCTTCCACCGTCCACGATGACAACAGCAACACCAAACACCAACAATGAAACCCAGCCCTCGTTTGACCAACCTTCCACCTGCCACAAACCTTTTCTCCGCCCACAATCCTGCCCACCACCACCTCCTCCTCCTCCATCACCACCACCACCACCACCACCACCACCATCCTCCATCCTCCATGCCCATCGTCCTCCCTGCTCCGACCGCCCGCCTGTGTCGCTCTCCTGTGCGATCCGAGTTAATACCTTGACGCGTTTTACCTGCTTCCACTAATTTTACTTTCCCACAATCAACCACTCCCATCTTTCAAAAGGAGAGCCTGCACCTCACAGCGTCAACCAAAAAAGGTCCATCCCACCAACCAGTCCATCTCCTCGCCATTTTAAAATCTTCCCCAGCTGCGGTACGGTGCTTTTTCAAACCAAGCAGACAAAACCATGCCATCCCCAGCCTCGACTCCCTCGTCGACCGCTGGTCGATCGACCAAGATGAACAAGAAGACGAAGACCATCGTCCTCAAGCTCACCTCCTCCCTGCTCAATCGATTTCCCGGCGTCGCCACCCCTGGTGATGACCAGGAAGCGAAGTCCAAGGCCTCGTCGTTGTCTCCCACCTCCTCCCCAACACCCGTCGGTCCCTCTGCTGCCTCGGTCGATAATGCCTCCGAGCCTCGATCGAGCCCACCGGTCGCTGAAGCCGCTGCCACAGCTGAGTCCCCCAAGAAGAAACCGGGCACTCCTTCCAAGACCGGCACTAAGAGAGCAGCTGGAAGCGATGCTGGTCCAAAGCCCAGAGCTCGACCAGGTCCGAAGAAGAAGGCCAGATTGTAAGTCTCCTCAGCTCTTCTCTATAAAAAGGAAAAAAAATTTTTTTTTCTTCCCCCCGTCTCCTACCTTGATTTTCTCCCTTTTTGTCTCTTATGTCTCTCATCTTGTCTTATTCAGGTAGACTAACACCCGGCAACAGGGACGACGGCACTGTAGACAGCAACGGACGAAGCACCGGTCCCACCACGACCGGAACCCACAAACTCGGCCCCAAAGCCAACCAGGGAGCTATCAACGCCGGACTTCGCGCCCTCGACCGAACTGGCAAGCCCTGCCGTAGGTGGGAACGCAAAGCATTCCAGCTCAAGAGCTTCACAGGCACCGCCTGGCAGGTCCGAAGCTGGCGTGCTCCTCCCAGGCCAAAACCTGCAGACGTCACCATGACCGACGCAGACACAGCCGCCGCGACGCCAGCCGACGATAAAAACGCGAACAACAAGGACAACATCGCCTCCAGTGCTGTTGCAAGTGAAAGAAGCAACGCTGGAGAAACAGCCACTCCTTCATTTCCCGGCAACGCCGAAAGCTCTCCCGCTCCGGTGGCGGCTGCGGCTTGATATCTAATACCTTTTCCACCTTTCCTTTTTTTTTTTTTTTTTTTTTTTTTTTTTACAGAGCTGTTGGCTCTCTTTTATTTCAAAATGATACCATGGTTTATTTTTTCACCTTCTCTTTTCTTCCAATTCAACTTCCCTGTGTATGAAATACTTTGTTTTAAGCATGTACTCATACTATCGGCGTTTTTCATGTTACAGGCGTCTCTCTTCTCTCTTTTTATGTCGTCGGCATGTTGCCCAACCCCCTTTTAGAACACTGGGAGAGAGACAAAAAAAAGAATAATAACTTTCCTTCATAATAAGGGCTTTTCTTTCTTTGTTCACCCCACCCTTTTTTCACCTTTTTTTTTTTTCCTGCTTTTTCCTCTTTTTGTCATTTTTACTATAAGAAATGTAAAATTCTTATTCTAATATCACTCTACGCTTGATCGGAATGGGTTCTCGTACATATTGAAAGGTACGCACCGTCTCTCCACAAAATCGCAGTGTATTTCGGGGTGTTTTAAAAAGACCTGGCAGCTCGAAGGACCTCCTTCATGAGCAAGAGATATTGACTACATGGAATATTGGACTAATATGTCCTTATCTTTAGAAAATCAAGTCCCTTTTTTTTGTCCTCTCTGTTACACTCATCTCACACGTCTATAACAACAACCTCTCCCCCCTCCCTAGAGCGGAAGGCCATCCCTTGCCCGCTTGCCTGCCTGGCTTGCTTACTCTTGACGCTCCTACGCCCGATTAACCATCAGGACAACAAGAACAACCCAAGCAACCGTCTATCGTAGCCAAAGTAGAAGAACAAGACATTTCTCACAAGCTTCAACTGCAATCTCATGCTTTAACTTAACTTAGGTCGGGTTAGGTTAGGGAGTAAGGTATGCAGTCTAGTTATATGCTCTGCCTCGAATAACCTTGATAAACCACTATCCTCCTCCTTTTCATTCTCCCCGGCCGCAGGGTTCACATCAGGTTAAAAAAGAAAGGGGAACAAAAAAAAAAAAAAAAAAAAGAAAGGCCGCAAAACCATGAAAGGGAGGAGGATCAGATACAACTTGATCGATACCATGAAAAAGGAAAACGGTAACAACAGCCATAATTAAAAGAGAAGAAAAGAAAATAAAGCCATGCTGTTATTTAAGGAAAAATAGGAAAAATAAATATGCCTGGTTGACTCCCAAACCCCTTTCCTCCCCGCCTCCCATTCCAAATACTTTGCATACTAGTTACCCTTTGAGTGGTCCCAAATTTATCCTGTTAAATAGTCGTTTCGAACATTGATAAACGCTCCTACGCCGCCGTCCTCGCTTATTTCGTTGATGAGCGCCTCGGTCTGCTGATAGAGCCGCTCCAGGGCCGCCGAAGAGGATTTGCCCAGGGACACTATTGCGAGAAAGGAATTTTTTTTTTTTAGATAAAGAGCTAGATATAAACCAAAAAAGGGGGAAAAAAACAGAGGAAGAAAGAAGGGAGAAAAACGTAGCAAAGAGAGGTATACATACCTAGAATCGCAGAATTAAGCTCCTCTGCCACCACAACCCGCCCACTGGGGTCTAGTAGGTGTCCATGAGGCGACGTCTTCGGGTCCGAATAAGCAACCAAGGAAAATATATCATTCAGCGTCTTCTCATATTGCTTCTTGTCATCGTTCATGTAATCTGCTTTTAACTGCTGCCCGTACTCAAGTGCTTCTTTCGCACGGTACAAATCTTTCGCCGCCGGCTCGGTGTCCATTTCCTCGGGGTCCTGAACGTCTTGCATCTGATGGTCCAGTTCCATATCGTGTGTGAAAATATCTCCGGAATTGTCGCCTGCCGGCTCCTTGGTCGATTTGACTCGCTTGCCCGGCTGCGAGGTCTCCGGTTCGGAATAACTACGCACTATCTCCAGGAATTTTCTGCATCTTAACCGGAAATATATCTGAGGATTGTTTTCTAATACGGTGTCATAGTAAGTTTTTGTCAACTCCAATGCCTTGTCGATGTCTCCGTCAAGTATAGCCGTGCGTATTTCTGCGGAGGAAGTCAGTGGTCTGGGAACAAAACAGGGAAGAGATGACATAGCGTACGTTGTCTGTTAACCGCATCGGCATCGTCTTCAACGGTATAATCTTTCAATGGCGTAACGCGGCCGTTTTGCAATGCTTTCGTTTCCTCTCTGACCTCTTCGGCAAATGCCCGAGCAGTTTCCACGTAGCCGTCATGGGCCAAAAACTGTGCGACAAGTTCTTGAAGCAGCACTGACTCGGTTAACGGTGGATATAGGTGTGAAACATTCGTAGACCGTATATCCATTTGGATGTTGCGTCTCTCTTGCTAAAAGAATAACGCAAGAAATAGTCCGCGTTAGTTTCGTACAATCTTGGGGGTTGCAACCCAGAATTAACTTACAGCCATCATTCTATCAATATCAAACACAAAAGGGAATTGCCCAAAATTCGTTTTGACATGGCATCCAGGATACTTCTTCATCCCAATGGACGGAAACACTTTGCCGAGCTTCAAGTCACGGAATGCATTGCCTGGACGCTGAATTTAGCCACATGCATAAGATGAGAGCAGCAAGCTTTGAACATTCCACCAACTTACCAAGGAACATTCCATTTTTTGTGAAAAACGCGGTCCCCGTTGCAAAATTAACACCGCAGCCGATGGTGTCTTCCACTCCAAAGGTAGGCCCATACGGCTTTCCTTGTCCTTGATTGTCGCCAAAAAAGGTCTTTCCATCGTCTCCATGATAAGCCCACGATTCTTGCTCCCAACCTGGAAGTCTCTCCAGAGATGCCTTATTGTTCGAGAACCCCATACCGATCATCCTATCGGGACCCCGTCACAGGTCAGCAACCACATTCGCAGCCAGCAAAATGTAAGAAAGAGGCATAACGACAACAACAACAACAAGAACATACCCATCTGCTGATTTCGCTATTATAGTAACCTCGTAATAGTAGATCCCACACTGGGGCGGCATAGGATGATTGGCCCGAACGGCAGCCGCTTCAAGCTCTTGTTTGTTCGCTTGGCCCATGTATCGGACCTCCAGCCCATCACCCATTAAATCCAAACCGCTATATTTGTCCAACTCGTTCCACCTCGAAGGTAAAGGCGACAATGTATCCTCGTCGCTCGAAGCGTTATGTTCAATGATATCATACGTCATTCCCCGATGAGACGGCGCCATCCGGTGTAGATTGGCATTGCTCGAGCTCGTAGAGAGGGAGGGTGCATTCGACGACTGTGCGGAAGAGGAGTCCTTGTGCCCCGTTGCTTTAGACTTATTAGCCGCCGCCAGCTGAGCGATATACTTTGAGCTCTTCAGATACGACGGCGTGAAGAACTGATTTGTCTGCTGCATGAAGGTCGGCCCTCCTGCTCCTGCTCCTCCTACTACCACTCCTCCTCCTACTCCTCCGCTCCCGTATGCCAGGGCCTTTGCAAACTGCCGCGAGTGGTCCGGCAGGCCGGCGGCCCTCCGCCAGCTATTATTCCCAGAACTTGCTCCGCCGTTCATCTGCATTTCTTCATCGAAACTGTAGCCCGCCTGCCTGTGTAGCCGGTTGTACTGAGGGGGGTATGAACTGCTCGGGGTGGCTGTTCCCAGACTCGCGGGGGCGCCAGACCAAGCCGGAGGGTGGTGTGTGGATGCGGCTCCCGAGACGACAGAGGCGTACGACGATCTTCGTGGGTAGGATATTATGTTGGGTCCTGAAGAGAAAGAAGCTGTGTTGGGTGCTCTGCCGGAGCCTGAGGGGGAGTGAGGGACGTTGGTCATTCTTCGGCCACGGTAGAGTCGGAGAGACGATCCATGCAACGACAGTAAACGCAGAGGACCATAGGCATTCACGGACCGGGGAGGCGATTCCAGACAATCCTATTGAACCAAATAAAGCGACGAAAAAAAAAAAAAAAAAAAAAAAAAAAAAAAGATCGCTAATACCGGAGGGGAGGGGGGAGGGAACAGGTGGCTCGGGCTATTTGGAGAGATGCGAGGCAGCGATTTCAAGCTCACAAGGTCTAGAAGTACCTAAATAAAGGAACACAGCATAGTGAGGACAGAGGATTCTTAGGTTTTAAAAGATTCTGTAGATATTATCTAGAGGGCGAGGTCTGAGAGAAAGAGGTCACGTTGGTAGAAGTGCAACCTCTCGCCATGACATTCGAGGAGCTTATTTAAGTGATCGCCTGGCACCAAGTACGGAGTAGTTTACTAACAGTCAGCCAACCAACCAACTGGGAGGGGAGAGGGTTTTGGTCGTTTTGTTTTCCCCCCCAGTCGATCTCACCAACCGCATCATCCGGGGCAAACACCAAATCAGCCACAGTTGGACGGTGACGAGACACTTCCAAGGAGCGCTTTTCCACTACATGGAACCAGCTAGGATACGTATGCTATGTTTGTTGATGAGATGAGAGACGAAACGGTCTCTTGAGCAGTGAGCAGAACCAAGTTATCACGTCAATCAACTGCCCGGCTGCCGAAACTTGGCCGTTGAATCATCAACAGCCAACTAACTAACTAGTTAACCGTATAACGTAACTAAGCACAGACAGGAGGCCATGTTCCCATCAGCCAACCCGCGGAGCTGCACTCAGACGCAGATTTTGCATCCATTTCCAAGTCCTTTTCATCGAGCAGGTGACCGCCAGCTGAGGAAGAAACTCCCGCGTGAGCCAGACATGCCACTCGGAACCGACCAGGCGATCTCCGTCCAACGCCCTTTTATAGTTTCACGATGCTCCTCCAACCAACCTCGTGGATTCCGCTCCTTGTCAGCTCTCTCATACACACCATGTTCCCTTTGCCGTTCCACTAGGTCTGGCCTTTATTTTTTCAGGCAGAACTAGACCTCCGGGTTGCTTAACCATGATTTATATAGTACATAGCTACGGAGTACTTGACCACCATACGCACTCAGGAGACGTCCTTCCAGACGGTCCATCGCTCTGAGCATGTAACTAAGTATTCTGTCGCTGGATTGCATTAGCACGCTGGCACTTCCAACTTTTGCTCGCCCGGGCAATTCGCGCTCTCCACGGCAGCAAGCAGTTGTTGAAGACAGCCTCGTCCCTTCCCACGCATCCCAGGCCCTGTTCTGCGCCGGAATGGTTGTTCTTTCCAAAGCGTTGCCAGCTCCGCGAGTTGGAGCTTTTTGGACGATGATCTGCCCGGGTGAAATGCCTCGCGCTGGGTTCCCGGGAGAGGCAGAGCGCCTTTCCTCATGTGCTTCCAATAGCAGTCAAACTGATATCCTCAGCAGGTTATCCAGATATACTGACATCCAGTATATCCTTTTCTTTTTTATTCTCTTTCTTCCTTTCAAACTGTGGTCTTTAAATCCCGAAGAAACTTAACACGTCTACTTTCTCCTCACCTGGCTGTGCAGAAGTCCATGCAAAACAAACTGCAATAAAAAAACTAATAATAATAATTAAAAAAAGAAACAGAAGCGCGATTTGTATCTGCTTACCTTCCATGCGGTAGTATCTGGCCGGAGGAAATCGGGATCTCGCTCTCTGATGATGATGATGGGTGCATTGGCGGATCCAGCGACCCATCGGCTCTGCAATCGCGTTCTGCTGCCCGTTCTCTTCTTCTTTGCCATCGTCGCCAACGCAGCGTGTGAATGCGGCTTTCGGATGAACGACACCAGCCAGTACTTCACCCACATCATATACAGCAATTTCACCCAGTATTCACCAGGCAAGAAGCTCGCCTCGAATCCGGAGTTTAGACGTAACTGGGCTATTCAGAGATGGAACATGCCGTCGATCAACTGGGCCACTCCGCTGCCCGTCCTCAACGAACAGGAGAACGTGTATCTGGAAAACGGACACATGGTTCTCCGGCAGGTCGGGTATCCCAAGGAAGGCATCCTAGCGGGTCGCAACGTCAGCGTCGCATCTGTTGCAGGTCAGTCGGGTGATCTGCTGCACGGGAGCTTCAGGACAGAGGTCAAGATTGAAGGAGCGGAGGGCGGAAGCGTTGGCGCGTTCTTCTGGTACCATGTCGGTAATTTCAAGTTCTTTAGGATGCAACCGTAAGGGGCTGACCTGACCATTGCGCCCTTGCGGGGGTTTGTGTCCAGGACGATCAAAACGAGATAGACATCGAGGTTCTGACGAGGGAGATCAAATCCGACCGACTTCTGGTCCACTACACAACCCACCCGGCGATCGACGAGGACGGGGACGTTATCAGGAATGCGACGGCCATTGTCTCCGTCGAAGGAAACGACCCGGCGAATTGGTTCCAACGGCATCGATTCGACTGGAGCAAAGAGGAGTTGAGATTCTACCACAACGGTAGCTTGATGCACGCAAACAATATAAGAATACCGGACGTTGGAGGGCGGGCGCTGCTGAACCTGTGGGCGGACGGGGGCATCTGGAGCGGAGCGCCGAGCACGACAAACGTCTACATGAGGGTGAAGTACGTGATCGTATACCACAACACCACGGCCAGCGACAGCGGGCAGGATGTCGAGTTCAACGACCGCTGTGCCAGGGCCGGCGGGCCGTCGAATGAAACGGTCTGCCTGGACGTCTTCGTGGAGGATGGGGCGGTCGATCCTTCGTCCATCGGCACAGCATTGGCACCACTGCCGTTCTGGGTGCTGTCTCTGCTCTGGCTGGTGCTGGGGGTTATCTTCACAAGTCTCTGAAGGTATCTTTTCTTTTCTTTTTTTTTTTTTTCTTTCTCCTGCGTTTTGGTTTGAGGGGATGGAAACACTCGAAGTAGCGGGCAGGATCAACTAAATGTACCGATGATGTAGTATGTATAAGAATGGATGAGTATTACAGATACCGACTCGTTGATTGATTAGTTTACGAAGTACCTTTCTCCATTACTCCGTACAATTACCTTGAAGGGCAGATATACGGAGTACATACGTACATGACGTACTCCGTACAGTACAATCCTTCTCCGCCGTACGCGCTGAAACAGCCGGCCCATAACCGATATACGCGCGGTCTGGTTGGTCGCCGGGAGTTTCGGTGATTTTACCCTGTTCGGGGCTTGGTGGGCGCTGATTGGCGGGTGGGCCGGGAAAGGGTGGGGAATCGGCGGGTATCGTCGGAGGCCGGCTCAATTCCGGCCAGGCCAATCAGCGCTCAGAGTGGTTTGCTTAGCTTTGTGCTTGGCAATAACCTTGTTGTACCGCCTCGCGCTGCTGCTGGCGGTGGTGGTACATCGCCAGTCCTCGAGCCCCTTTGCATCCTGACACCGTCTGGTCGAATCGGTGGGCGCGGAGACCACGAGAGGGCGACGCTGGAGAGCATCCGAGTGGGCGTCCGACCAGCGCTCTTTGCGCGACGCCGTTTCCTGGCAGTATTTCCACTCTGTCGCCGTGGTGCAGCGAGTGCTCCAGTGACCAGGTCTACTTTGCGTATGTACCTTCCTCCCAGTCACGGGATCTCCTCTGGCCGACCTCTCGATCTGGATATCAGATTTGCCCCTGGAGACGCTGTGTCCATCCTGTCTGCGTGCTGTACTGCCCCGATCTCTTCCTCCCGATGCTGATGGCGGATATCGAAAGCTGCATGCCCTGGAGGCTCGGATGGCGCGGAGAGAGGTGCCTTTGCCCGTTCCACATGCTGTTTTATATGTCTTTCGTAATAGTGGCTTCTGAGGCCGGTATCAATTCCGGCCTCATGAAGGTATATAATCCTCCATCTTTCCCCCAGAATTAGCCTCTTCTCCTGGCGTCTTCTCTCTCAGCAAGGCAGTGATTTTCACGGAAACTTGAGCCCAAGCTTCCCGAGCTGATCTTCCCCCCCACGCCTTTGATCGCTTTTGAAGGCATAAAAGCATTTCTCTCTCTCTCTCTTTGCCATTCTGATATAGACGCAAACTCAACACTCTTCCCCCTCCAACAACCTTAAAACTTGCATATACAACTCTGTTTCTTTCTTTCTTTCTTTTTATCTTGCCGTCCCCAATATTAAACCGTCATGCCGACCCTCGAGGATCGTTCTTCCGCTACCACCATGGACAAGTTCCCTCACGTCCTGGATGATCCGGCCACCTTGCCTCGCTCGCTGGATCCATTCACCATCACCACCTCCACTGGCTTCATGCCTCTGATCATTCCTCCAACCACCCTGCCAGAGGTCTTCGACCCCTTAACATCCCTCCTGGCTCGGCTCCCGGTCGAGAAGGCCGATGGCACCCCAGGCCTCCTTGCCAACTTCGAGCTGGGTCCAGCCGTCCTCAAGGAGCTTCCCGACCTCACCGACGAGGTTGACAAGCTCGTCACCGACGATGGCAAGCCGGATCTGTTCACCATCACTGCCGTCTTCCGGGACTATTCCTTCCTGGCCTCCTCCTACCTTCTGGAGCCTTGCTGGCAGACCTGGAAGACAGATCCTGACAGCGGCTATGGTCTGGGAAGGGACCGCCTTCCACACTCCGTTGCCGGTCCCATGTATCGATGTGCCGAGCTGTATGTTGCTTCTTTATCATCCCCCCGCCCCCCCGCGTCTATATGCCCAATTGTTCCCTTGATGTGTAATGTTAAAGTGTCAATCAAATGTATGTATGTACTAACATCATGTTGTAGTTTGGACATACCCCCTTTCTTGTCCTATGCTGCGGCATACTCTCTCTACAACTACACTCTTGATGATCCATCCAAGGGCCATGAGTACTCCAACTTGCGACTTGTCCGCGCCTTTGAGCGTGGCCTGGACCCCAAGAGCTCCGAAGCCGGGTTCATCCTAACCCACATCTACATGGTTAAGGAGTCCTACGCCTTGATCAGTGGAGCTGTTCGCATCCTCAACTCCCTTGACACCGTCAAGGATCGCAAAGAGATCAACGATGCTTACAGACAGATCCTCACCGCCATGACCAAGATCGAAGAGTGCATGGAAGGTAACATTTCTATTAAACCTGGGATAACAAAGCGTAAACGCTACTGTCAGCTGACCACATCTGTAGACATGTGGAAGAACTCTAAGCCGACTGAGTATCTTGCCTTCCGTGTCTTTATCTTCGGAATCACCTCTCAGTCCATGTTCCCCAACGGCGTGGTGTACGAGGGAATCAATGATAACAAGCCCCTGTACTTCCGTGGAGAGAGTGGTGCGAATGACAGCATCGTACGGCTTCCCCCAACCCCAAACAAACGATACTTCAAGCCTAACCTAACTCCTTCCGAATAGATTCCCCTCTTGGACCACCTCCTTGAAATCCCCATGCCCGATACCCCACTGACAAAGATTCTTCATGAATTCCGGGCCTATCGTCCACTTCCACACCGTGAGTTCCTAACCCATGTTCGCCTTCGATCAAAGCAGCTCGGTGTCCGCGAGTTCTCCATCCAAGACCCGGAGACCGTTCTCTTGTATCTGAAGACTCTCGATCACGTTCGCAGCTTCAGATGGCGACATTGGCTGTTCGCCAGAGAATATATTATCAAGCGGACTCCTCACCCAACAGCAACCGGAGGAAGTCCCATCGTCACGGTATGTCTTAAAACAAAACCGTTTTTTTTTTTTTTTTGGTTACCCCAAGAAGCACCCCTTTCCCAGACACTTCAGAAATCTGACTACCCTACCGTAGTGGCTTCCCAACCAACTGTCTGCCGTTATGGACCTCATGATCTCCACATACGACGAATACGTTGCTCCTATGATCAGTAAAGAAGCTGGAACCAACGGTGCTTCGTCCTCTGCCGCCAACGGTGAAGCAGACCTGGGGTCTACGAAGCACTATAGAGATCAGGTACAGGAGGTGATGGAGACCGTGCGCGACCAAAGGATCAAGCTGGCGAAGGAGGTCGAAAGGTGGTGCGCTGAACGTGGCGTCTAGATAAATAAAGACCGCCGACGCCGCTACATACGGTATGTACGTATATACGAGGGCGGGACGATGCAGCGTTCTTCAGTTTTTTTCATTTCTTTTGTCTACATTTAGCAGGAGGATCAGCAGACCCCCCGAGCGAAAAGTCAATATGGTGGATTTCTGCTGCGAAAGAAAAAAGATTGTGATGATTTCTTTTTTTTTTTCGCCTTCTGCTGCGTTGAAGCGCTGCGTTTCTTGTTTCCGCGACTTGACCACGAAGGGAAGTTTTGAGCGCTGAACAGGGCGTGTCACGAATTTCATTTGTCTGTGTTAGCTAGATCCTAGCTGTTTTAACGAGTCGAAATATAGTTGGGCATTCTTATGGTCCTTTTTGTTTTTTCAGATGCTTTTCCCATCCTCTCAAGCCTGGTACGGCCCGCTATCGTTTTAAACTGTTCCACCAAGGGGTAAAAGCTTCACTCCGAGATGCGGGAGCCTAAATGCCGCCAGTTCCCTCCCCTCACGCGGAAAAGGTTATGCGAGAGGAAGTTCAGAGTGGGGTGTATCGCTTCTGGGCTGAGTCCGCAAAAATTTTTTCTCACATCAATCACGTGTCTCGACATTAAAACATGTTGGTCCAGAGTTGTCGGGTATGTTATCTTCGTATTCTTCCCACAAGGTGAACTCGTCCTAGGAAGCACACCAGGGGGGCTAGAAAACACTCATGTGAGCTCAGCTCGGGATATCTTTTCGGCGTGGGGGGAAAGCGACGGTGGAAGAGTCGGGTTTGAGGTGCTTAAGATCGGCTGGATTTAACATGCAAGCCATACAGCGTTCCCCTGCACATATAGTCATATATATTCGAGGGATATAGTGTTGTATTCTCCTTCACTACGGCAGTTGTGAAACCTGTATATTTTGACTGAGGCCATACTCTATCGCATCCCTACTCACAGTGCCGACGACTATTTTCTCAATTTTCGGCGTCTCTGCGTCGACGAGTTGCTTGATGGTAAGACCGGAGATTCTGGTTGCTGAGAGATTAAGGACTTTCAAGTTGGACATGTTGTTGATGATTAATGGTGTGATGGCGTCGTTGACGCCTATGACTCCTGAAATATCCAGATGGGTGATTGACCTGAAGAGGCCTCTGGTGATCAAAGGTTCTAGGTGCTCTTGCGCAAGGTCCGAACACCATGAGATGGTTAGGTGAGTTAGAGTTTTCTCGTTGTTGACTAGGATCGTCTCTAGCATGTCAGGACTCAGGGGATAGCAGAACTGGAATATGGCGCTCTTCAGACGGGAAAATTGACCAAGTGGGTTCCCCTGCAGTGGAGGGGCGAATGTGCAATGTTCGAGACGCAAGTACTCCAGCGTGACTGGCAAGACAAGAAGTCCATGCAAATATATCCTCATGTACGTGAATTTCTTCAGGCTGGAATAATCTGATAGAGAGATAGCTTGCGCCCAAGGAGAGGAAGGGGCTCCTTCGAAATGGAGCTCTTCAAGATTTGGCATCACTTCTTTAAGTTCGGGCTTTAGAACCAGAATTAGCCCAAGGTCATACGTAATTAGTAGCAAGAACATAACTTACATGCTGAAAAAGAATGTTTCCTGTGACGAGGTATCCCGGAGGGTGGCTGAAAAGGATCCTCAAACAACGCAAATTTGAAAGTTGCGGCAGAGAGCCAGGAGTGTCGGAGGATACGTCGACGAATGCTTCCACTCGCTCGAGGCGCGGGCAAGACGACATTATATCCCAAAATTTGTCCCTTGAAAGCGTGCATTTGAGCACGATCAAGGTTTTGAGATTTTTCAAATTGACGACAGGGAGAGAGTCGATCTTTTGCTCCGCAGTCACTTTAAGGTAGTTTAGGTCCGGGCAGCGAGACAAGAGCTCAAGGACCTTTGGTATGACGGTGGGATTTATGCGGGCAAGGCTTGCTTCTTTCACGCCGCCGTTGGTTCTGCACACAAAGGCTCGCACTGCGGAGAGACTGACCGGTCTTCTGGCGACGGTAAGGTTGAGATTTTTCCACTGCCTCGAGAGGCCACTGCCCAGCTTGAGCCAAAGCTTTGAGACTTGTATGAATCGTCTTCGCATCGAAGTTAGCCCAACAGCAAATGATGGCACTGACTGTTGTGGTTTTGGGGGTGGGGGGGAGAATACAATGTGGACTGCAAATCTAAATGTTCCAATATCATTGACACCAGTTCGGGCGCTAGAACGGTTAAGGGATCCACTCGCTTTGGAGGGATAATGCGCTTCTTGGTCTTCAGCATCAGAGCTTCAATTTGCTACACGACCGTTAGAGCCATGAATGGACGATAGGAATAATCTGACTGTTCCTAAGGATTGTTAACCGAACCTTACGTTCAGGAGCGTGTTCATCTATCATGCGAAGAGAATAGAAATAAAGCTTGTGAGCCTCCTCGAATTTTTGCATCAGCTGCAGGATCTTCGCGGTTCGAAGGTAGCCCTAGGAGCTTATAAGACACGAATAGGTAGTACTACGCCAGAGAGCTTGGAAAATACCCGCGGGTCGGACTTGTCGATTCGGATCATTTGTTTTCCATCTCTCAAACCAGCTTTCAGGTCACCGAGAGCACAATGTGCGGCAGCTCTCCCATTGAGTAAAGCAACTGAGTCTCCTCGTCCCAGCGCAAGGGCCTTGAATACTCTAGTCAGTGAACTCAGCTACAACCACGTGGGGTGTGAGATGCAACCTTTGAGAAAGCCTCGAGTGCATTTTTATAGTTTTTCCAGCGATACTGTGACTCGCCATGCCTCTGTAGCGCCTTCACGTCCCGCGGCATCGAGGGACCCTGCTGCGGAGGCATTGGTCAAATCCAAAACCCCGCATGGGGGGTTGGTCGGTCTGGAGAGGCCAACTGAGTGTCTTTTGGGGTTGGGACTCGATATTATCGGCAAGCTATGCTCGTGAACCTCTAAGCTGATATCGGCCGCCGGGAGCTCTGAGGCGAGCTTTGTGACGAAGTGTGCGACGCGACGCGTTTGATTGGAAGCGCCCGGTTTTGTGGGGTAGTTTCGGATGCATCTCGGCCCGAGAGGGGCACGGGCCAACTTTCAAACTCGCCCTTTCGAATATTTACTTTCTTCCGGTTTGGGCAAAGAGAGAAAAAGAGACTTGGAAACTCCCAACTCAAATCGGCCGTCTTGTTCTATCTAGCAACGTCGCGGACCGAACGATGAGGCATGGAAACGCACAATTTAGACACCGCCTCGGACTATCTTAACAAGTTACTGCTTGCCCGTGGGCTTCTCAGGAATGGCAAACCCATCGATTTCGCCGAGCCGACAAGGGCATCGGATGGCGCCGATGGTACCATGACCCGGGTCATTAATCTGATTCACGACCTAATAATAAGAAGAGATGTGCGTTTCTTTTTGCACTTAACCTATTCTCCGGCTATTCTCCTCCGGAACTAACGCGCCATTTCAGCGAGAAGCCGAACAACACGAGAATCTGGCCAGTATGATTCGGAATCTCCGGAATACAGAAGCGAAACAAACTGTTGAGATTGTACGTTCGGAATCATGCTTTCACAAGCTTCATGCTAACGTTTATTTGCCGATGGCTAGGAACGTCTAGAGGCCAAGGTGCAAGAGCAAGGCCGCTCTCTCGCGCTCACCGAAGGACAGGAACGGGTCTTCAAGGCCAACCTTCGAAACGCAGAGGGAACGATACGAAAGTTGAAAGAACAAGTCCAGCGGATGAAGTCTACTATCCAGCAGATACGAGCCCAATACACCACCGATATCCGAAAGCGTGATCTCGAGATACAGAAGCTGAAGACTCGCGTGACCGAGCGGACTCGCGGTAAGAAAGACGGGCCAGGAGTCACAACGGTTACCATCATACCCCCGCCGAAGCCCACTATTTCTCGGCAGAAGTCCAGCGAAGGTGGAGAAGGGGTGGATACTCCGGGATATAGTCTTAAGGAAGAAACAACGGAGTTTCTCACCCAGCTCTGTCAAAACTTGAGCGACGAAAACGATGCTTTGATACGCCTGGTGCAAGACACCATAAAGACCTTGAAGGAGCTGCAGGGCTTGAGCGAAGCAGGTGCAAACGATAGCACTATGGGTCCAGATTCCCTCGAGCCAGAATCGGACCCGCTAGTCGGACCGATGCCCCCATATGAAACCCTCTCACAAGAGATGTCCTACGTGCTTGACCAATTAAGAGCACTCTTGACGAATCCGTCGTTTGTTTCTCTCGAGGAAGTCGAGATCAGGGATAACGAGATATCCCGTCTGCGGGATGGCTGGGAGAAGATGGAAGCAAGATGGAAGGAGGCCGTGGGAATGATGGACAACTGGCATAAGCGTATGGCATGTGGTGGTGATGGCGTCAATATAGATGAACTGAAGCGGGGGATGAAGCTGGGGTCTAGCGCTGACCATGGTGTCGCCCACCGAGTGCCAGACACGCACGGATCGGATGGCAGGGGGAACTCGCGATGAGCGACTTCGGAGGAGGCATCCATGGATGCCTGGACTGCGTGATGGCCAGCGCAATTGTAAGTCAACGAGGAGGAGGAGGAATGGTTCGAGTGGCGCAATCGACCCACTCATGAACTGCTTCCTTGAACTTTCGATGCACGAGGTGTGTGTTGATGTCTTGGAGATCCTTCTTACATCGATATTCCTAACCATTTTTCATTTGGCTTTTTAGTTTTGCCAAAGTGACTCCAAAGACTCAGACCCAGTCCTCCAACGACAAAACCCAACAATGTCGTCAACTTTACAGCTGCCAACAAAAAAAACAAATTTTGGCAGTCGACATCTGATGCGGGTTTTGCGAAGACTTTGATTCTAATAATGCTTGTTCTACAGGGCCCGACCTTTGAGTCAATGGTCGCCACTCGCTCTCCCAGCCGTGTGCTGTGACACAACATCGGTTGGGGATTCAAAACACAACCAAACTGGTCCATGGATACGGAGTAGATAGTTGCCATTCACGACTAAAGAGGTGGGAAATATTTGCAGCATTGATTTCTGTTTTGCTTTTTCGATGGCCAGTATCCCAATCTGACCTCCGGGCTGCATCATGAATTTTGTCCCCCTTCCCTGGAAGAGATATATGAAAACCCCCCCCTTTTTCCCCTGCCTTGGTATTCCGCAGAAATGCAGAGCAGGTCCTTATGCTTCCCTCTCCCCGACCCGAATTGCATGTACAGTATATAAATTTGGATCTTGAGATGAGACTTGCAGTCGATTTGCGCGAAAATCCCTCCCCCTCCCCCCCCAACAAATAACCGTATTTTCAATCTGATACCCTAGATATAGTTATTATCTCCTAAGAATTGAAGTAATGTCTACAATGGTTTTAGTTCTCCCCAACAGCTTTCTAGCCTAGCCGGCCATATCACAACGCATTATTAGTTACCATCGCCTGGATGGTGCAAAGTATGATTAGCAGCCGATGCTTCACCCAAAAGCTAGAATAGTAAACATTCTGGTACTGCGTAATATTCCCTTCCTTTTTTTTTTTTTTTTCCTCCCCATTATCCCTTTTTTCTCACAAGTATCTCCCCGGGATCCAGCCCAAAGTATTCATACACATAAGTAAAACGGAACGCTCAAACCAGAGAAAAAGAGAAAAAGACAAGAAGAGAACGAAAGCAACCAAATGCCGATGTTATCGCTAAACAAAAATGCCGATAGCTGCAAGGAGATAATATTTTTTTCTTTTTTTGGTCTTTTTTCAAACTAGAAAGTAGATCAAGGAACAAGAAAAAAGAAAATATTTTCCTGCATTAAATTAAATTTCTTTTCTCATACCCCGTATCTCGTACATCATTTGAAACATTAAAAAAAAGGCAAAGAAAAAGAAAAGAAAGAAAAAAAGAAGGAGAAGAGAAGAGAAGAGAAGAGAGAGAGAAGAGACAGGGCGAGTAAACCCACACACACACATCGAGAAACGGCGATCTAGCGCGAAAGGAGATTGGGAAGAGTCAGTGCGTGCGTGAGAGGGGTGTGCATCCAGTGCTTAGTCCTCCCTCCACCCTTTTTATGTCCGGTACAAAGAGTGGGAAAGGAAGTAGGCGATATGGGGCTCCAGGTAGGGACTCGTAAATGAAGATATTGGGACGTGAAAGGAAACAAGGGGGAAGTCGGCATCGGGCGTCGGGCGTGCAGTCAGCTGAGTCAAAGCGCTGGCAGTGTATGGGGAGAAATATCCAGTTCGATGATATCCCGAGAGAAGAGCGTAGATAGCTTCTTTTTCTTTTCTAAAAAAGAAAAAAAAAAAAAAAAAAAAAAAATTATGGTTTTTCGTTATTATCTGGATTCGATCGGAGTGTCGTGAGTCGTGATGCACGACGAAAACGTGTTCTCGATCAACAGGGGCGACACCTCGGAGTCAGGGGGGCAAGAACGCCCTGCATCCTTGCCAATGGTTCCGAGAGGGTCCGGGGCGAATTAGTTAGCGTCGTAAATCGGCGCCGTCCACCCTTGTTCCATCAAGGACCATGTGCCTCATCCATGCATTACATTCCATTTTGTTTCCATCAATTCTCCAAAGTCCCATGCAATTTCTCAATGCTGTAGAACCATGATCAGATACCGGGTGCCATTACCGGAATGGGCCCTTCATACTCTGATATTCGAAATCCGACCGACCACGTCCCTCCATCGTCCTGACGGCGTGGGGCCGCCCTGCTGAATGCCTGGGACATGCGTATCCCACCAATACCACTTTTTCCTGAACGACATGCCCCCTCTGGCCGTAGGCCGTACACGGATCGACTGCGTGTTTGTGGTATAGACAGCGGCACACGGAGTACACCTCGATGAGTTGATAGCACATTTTAGCGGCAGATCACGAAACCGACGAAAAACGAAGACGAGCGAGCGAATGGTGGGAACAATGGGTTGGGGGAATAAAATAAGGTTTCTTTTTCTGAGTGTAGACCGTGATGCCGATGTCTTCGATTCAAGTGCAATCAATGTCAAAATGGAATGGGGGAGAGACGGGAAGGAATACTAGGTGACGGGTCGGGCTGGGTATGATAAGACAATTATATTAAGATCAATGAGGGCGGTTTGCTTTGTTATAGCCAGACAAGCAAACAAGAAGAGTGAGTGCCTCCCGCAGCAAGCAAGGAGAGCACGCCAACGGAAAAGAATTAAGGTGAAAAATAAACAAAATAAAAAAGAACGCTCAGACGAAACGCCGGTCTAATTTATTTTGGAAATGAAGGTCGGTGGTGGAAAAAGAAAGCCGCTTGAGAGAGAAGGATGGATATAAGGTGCAAAGCGAACGGGGCCAGTGGTATATATAGCAGGACTAGAGGCAATAGGAGCGGAATCAAGCACGAGTCATAGTTTTGGCCGTTATTTTTTAGACCTCCCAAGGCAGTTGAGGAGTGGGGCTATGGGAGCCTAAGGGGACAAGGAGGTCCAGGGCCCTATAGGTGGGGAGACCTAAGAAAAAAATGGCACGAGGGTTCTAAATCGGGAACAGAGCTGGGGAGGAATAGGCAAATAAGGCCAGAGAAAAGGAAAAAAAGGAAAAAAAGAGAGCAACCAAACAATGAGTGCGTCCCGTCGTTTGTGAACAGCATCCAGCTCGGGCAATGGAGTGGAACGATGCAACTCGAGGTGGGCATTACCCGGGGACACAAGTGTGCTGAAGATCAGGCGGGGGGAAATTCTCAAGCAGCGGACATGACCGAAACTCTGTGCGGTTCAAGCTTGAGCGGGAAAAAAAAAAAAAAAAAAAAAAAAAAAGAAGAGAGAGCAGGCGTGGGCCCGCGGGAGGGATGGAGGTCGGCCCAGTGTGGCCTAGAGCGATCCAAGAAGCCGGGCTGGACAGCTTCAAGTCCAGGAACCCGAGGAACAGAAATATGCCGTACGAAGGGAACACAATTGAGCCACCAACTCGTAACTATAGCCGATGGCGTGTGGGTTCTTTGGTTCTGGGGGGAAGCCAGACACATATCAACGGCCACGAGGCCCAGGCAGCCTGTCATTGGTGGAGGCACCAGGGAACATGGCACTTTGAGCTGCAGAATCCGAGAGACAAAGATAGGCAGACAAAAGTGACTGACCGACACGCACACAAACACACACACAGAGAGAGAGAGAGAGAGAGAGTTCAGCGGTGGAGATCGCCAGCCAGCGATGGGGCTGGGCATCCAGCGGAAAAGAGGCTGGTGCTCGCTCAGCTCTGGTGGTGGCCCTGCATGGCGGAGCCTTGGCGCAATCCGTCACCGCTGGCCGCTGCGATGCTGCAGTTGCGCTGGGCCATGACCAGTCGATGTCCCCAATGGCGCGGCGAACTCGGCCTGCATATCGCGGACCGTGGGGGCCTGCTGCAATTGACCGGCGACGGGGTCTCAGAATGTGATGCATCGCAATTGTTGTCGACGACGAACGACGATTTGTGCGATTCCAACGGACGTCATTACTAAGCCTTCTTTAGTTGGAACTTTGCCCTGGCGCACTAAAACACTTTGGCAACGAAACTAGCGAAGCCCCGGGGAAAACCTTAGCGCAGTGATTGACGGCCGTGAGTTGCGATTAGCCGAGTTTGCCACACAGCGGAGGAGTTGGGGTTCGCAACCGCTGGCACGTCACATCCACAAGGCCCAGTTTATCCCGATGTCGTCGCTAGAAGATCCCTGGACAATATCACTGGATCCCCCGGCTGAGTTAACCGCCTGAGGTTTTGTCCCGATGCTGAATAAACCCTACGCTGCTCTGATTGGTTGCCCTATCCCACCGACCGGCACTGCTTGCGATCTCAACGCGGCCTGCCTTGGGCTTTGGGGGAGTTGATTACGAAATACAGAGTAATTGATTCATCAAATTCTGCCTTTTACACCGCCGGTAGAACCTTGTGACCGACCTGCATGTCTGTATGCAGATACTCCGTACGGAGTACACGGGGGGCAAAAAAAAGAGAGATGCCGATTCCAGCAGAAAATAGCTCGATGCTCTCCTTTGCCAAGGCAGGCGGCCGACTCCACGGCCCAAGGCCAGGATCGGTCAGCCTTACCGTTTCCTTTCTTTCCCCTCCCCCCCACCCCGGCCAAGCATGAAGCGGTTTGGCGAGCGGGTAGCTACCAACAATACATACATAGTTACTCCGTACACCGCATACCATACTCCGTACTTCGTAGTTACTCCTGTACGATTCCAGAGCAATGGAATCCGGCCACCGTTCCAGCTTCTAAAAATACGATGGGCGGGAGGAGGAGGAGGCCATTTGACGGCCAGTTTCCAGCGGCCTGTCACCGCGTGCTCCGACCAGTGGCCGGGGTTGCGGCGCAGTCAGCCCTATCGTGTTCGTGCCACAACCCCCTGCTGTGGCGGAGGAGACGGATCGGGAAAGAAACGAAAAAAGGCTTGGCCACGACTTTCCAAAACCTTCGCTGTCCTTCCCCCCACCCACCCGCACACACACACAAAAACAAACAAACACACGTAGGGCCCCACAGGACGGTCATGTGCTGACGAATACAAAGAGAAAGACGTAAGTTACTCCGTAGAAGAAGGAGCGAGAAACTACGGAGTACTAAGTACAACTGGCAGGAAGGAACGGGGCCTTTTTGGGCTCCTTCCCCAGCGAGTTGCAACCGTGCATTCAGTGGCTGGAGTCGGCTAATTCCGTGGTGACGGGTCGTATATTAATAATAACTCGTGGCTTGTTAGTTAGTTAGCCTACGGAGCGGAGGCGAGTTCGAGTCTTACCAAAGAGCTTCTTCAGACCTCCAGAGAGAGCAGCCGGACCTGGAATCTCCCTGCAGATAGGCTATCAGCTAGGCAGTCAGTCAGGAAGTGACAGCACCAACAGCACTTGGGTTGATTAGTGTGACAAGAATAGAATCCTGCAACTCCCATTCATTCTTCAGAATCTGCCTTTCTACCAAGCCCGAGAACGCCTGTCCGTCTCAGGAGCAGTCCTTGCATAAGCTTTCATGTACCTGACCCCTACTGAGCTGAAACAGGGCTTCCACGCCCGCCAATCAGGTACTCGAATGTTGAAGGGGGAGGGGGGGCATCAAAACGGTCTCCCGATATAAACATGCAAGCTACCCGGTCGTTTGTTGTTGTTTTTTTTGCCACCGCACCTTGCTGTTCATCTGTTTGGAGCGAGGAATCTTGGTGAGTCATGAGTCTTTCTATTTTGTTACTGGGGTTTCTTTCTGTTGGGGAAAGGGAATCTGCAAGCTAAAACTTGTCTGAACACCCAAGAGAATGGTTGGGGGAAGAAGCCCGAAGGAAAGTGGTTTGGAATGTAAAGACGACTGGATCCCATCCCCGACCTCTCAATCCATCCCACGCAGGGTTCCCCCATAGACCATGCATATTGTACAGTACATACAACGCCATCTTAGGGATCAACACCGGGTCATCTCATTGCAAAAAGAACGAACAAAAAAAGAAAAGAAGAGAAAACCACTTCTTCACATTGCATAATCATTCAACGCCCCAAAGGCCAAACCCCTGGCCAGCTGCAGCCGTAGAGTGCTCAGAATCTCCTCCCCCTTCACATCGCTCCTCACCACCTCCCGCCAATCCCACCCCCTCTTCACGCCTGCATTCCCGCCACTTCCAGGTCTTCCGACCAGCACCCCAGAATCCATCGTGCCCCGCGACCGCGTGTCCAGCACCTCGCTTCCGATAAGCGAAAAGCCGCTGAACGATCCTGACAGGGATGAGACCGACTTGCGAAGCAAGTTTGTGGGCGAGTGCGACCGCGAGTGGACGGGAGATGTCTGCGCCGTGCTGGTGCTATCGTTGAGGTTGCGATGTTGCGCCAGCGCGGACTGGAGGCACTCTTCGCACTGGTCGTAGACGCGGGATGTCACGGTCTGCAGGTCCTCGATGGCCGCGAGGATGATGCGCAGTTGGTCCAGCGTGAAGAATTGGTTTGGATCTGCTGTTGAGTGGGTAACATCATCGTGTTAGAAGGTCTGTATCAAGGGAAAAGGAAAATAAAAGGTACTAAAAAAAAAAAAAAAAAAAAAAAAAAAGAGAAAAAAAGAGAGGGAGAGAGAAAGAAAAATGGAGACGCACGCTTAATGAGTGCAAGTGACTCTCCCAGTAACACCATCAGTCCATCAACTTGCACGGCAGTTTTCCGATCCTGATCGTATAGTCCGCCGTAAATACTGTCCGCAGCGCTGCCGATTACTGCCGTCAAAGCTTGGGCAGCCGCCCTCTTCCTCGCCAACGGACGATGCTTCGGCTTCTGCCCTGCCTCTAGATTGACCTCTTCGTCGCGAATATCGTAGTAATTCCGTAGCGTTGCGTAGCCGCTGAAATAAAACTGAAGCATGGCCGCGCCTTCGCTGTCGACGGATGCGATCGCTGCCAGAGCGGCACGGGGTTCGTCGAGAAGAGATCGGAGTTGTGAGTCGAGCTCGGATCTAGGAGGGTATGCGGTGGACTGGACGAGACACAGAGATATAAGCAGGTCGACGACATTCTTGATTTTCTGTGAACAATGCGCCCGTGCGTAGCAGAATAAGGCGGTTCCGTATTCTTGCGAGGTTTGGGCAATCTTGTCGCCGTATCGCTAGAAAACTGTCAATCAAATATAAACAAGGCTAGCATTACTAGTTAGCCTTACCTCAGAAATCTTGCGTCCTTCCTCATTGTAACCAAGTTCCGTGCAGAGCAGAACAAGCCGGTCCATCTTATCCGAAGAATCAATCACTACACGGTCAAGCAGCTCATTGACCTTCGTTTTCATGAGTTCCTGGTCGTCAAGACGGCTCATGATTTCCAGTGACAGCTCCCACCCATCCCTGGCACTCGAAGGTCCATCAAGCCGGCCTCGATCAAATATTCCCGACGAATAATTTACCAGAATGTCGTCTTTCCGGAGCTTCTGATCCGGCTGTCCGTAGCTCAGAACCATAAGATCGTTTTCATTCAGGCCCGGCATAGGTTCAGATCCCGCAGATGCGGCCAGCCATCCTCCAAAACTAGCGACCTCGGCTGTAGCGGCGGCGATGGGCAGAGACCAAGTCTGTGTCAACCGGAGCAGTCCTTCAACGTTCCCTTCGAACAAGGAAGCAAGACCGACTTCACAGGGATTCATCGAGTTGATTCGGAACCCATCCTTGCCCAAGGTATCGGTGACACAGGTAAATGTGTAATCGAGGCGTCGCAGGTATGCCTCTTCGGTATTTATGTCGACAGATCGCGGAGATTGCGACCTTTTGGCTGCGAGGCGGGTCGAACTTCCGTTTTCTAGCGTGATATCGCTGTCATCATCGCCGTTCCACCACGCCGTGAGGGAAACAGTTGCTTCGACCCAGTCATCCGAATACTTTAAGATCGAAGCGACATCGCCCAGTATGATATTATAAAGCGCCTTGAGATGTTGATAGATTTGCCAGGGAATCTTGCTTTCCGCCATGCGAGCGCTCTGGCTGAATGACGAAACACTGGATCGGAAGCTTAAGAGACCAAAATGGGAGGCCTCAAAGGCCTGGCTGTTCCCCATCTCGTCACGGTTCGAACCCTCTGCTAGATCCTCGAGCTCCAGAAGAGCAGAGGCGATCTGCTTTCGATATACACTCCATTCCATCCCCTTGATATCCCAATCGTCGCTCTGCACCCCCGGGCAAGCTCGAAGGTTGTGGAGTGTTTTATTCACACACTGCTGGATCGTTTGAAGCTGTCTGCCCTGATACCCGGGTTCGCTGCTCCCTTCCTCCATAGCCGTTCGAGCGTAAGTGAAATCAGCAGCTTCTAACAGTTGCATAACGATAGGAAAGTCTGCACGGAGCAGTGCGGCTAGGGTAATATTCCAGAATGTTGGAGAGGCCGTTGGGTTTGGTTGTTGTCTCTTCAGAGCATCAAGTCGACTTGCTTGAGGGGAATGGTACTGGTTGAGCCAATCAAACAGGACCTTTGGAATCGGTGACTTGGACTTGGGCTGTTGCGCAGAAATAGCAGGTCGGAACGGAGATCGAAATAGTTGCGAATTTCGGCTAGTGAATTGGCGTTGGAAGGCAGGAGGGTGGTGAAGCTGGAGGAGCAATGAGCTCAGGAAGCTGGCTTTCACTATACCCGACGACTGTTCTCCAGGACCAACACATCCGTTCTCGTAGCTGGCTGGACCGGATTCATCTGAATACTTTTTCCAGAGGCTGGCAAGGTCTTCACAAACTTCCGACAAGGTATTTTCCACAATCTCGTCATCAGCTTCCCGCTCCCTTACCCGATCGTACATTCGGCTCACAATGTCCTCCATGTCGAGTAAAAAGCCACTCGGTTCGTCGACGGTGGCCACAGATTTTCTGGACGCAATATCACGCGCGATTCCACGAAACGCAGATGGTTGTTTTTTTGTCTGAACGGTGCTAGAGGGCAGAGGTTGGACCCAAGTCTCGTCTAGCTTGGCTCGTTTCGCATTCATCGGGTTCGAATATACCATCGACTTCCGGGTATTACCAGTGAAACGGCCATTAATAGGTGCAAACATAGAAGGTAAAGGTGCATCGTCTTCTTCCATGTCCGTCGCACCGGTGTTTGTGTTTTCCATTTGCTCTTCTTCATCGCTCTTCCCGTCGTCGTCATCGAACGGAGTAAAGCTGTGCGAAAGCTTCGATCTGGGTATGTTCCTCCCACTTCCAATTCCCCGGAAGAGATTGCTCGGCGGTGCTTTTGTTTGGCGAGAGTTGAAGCTAGGGATGGGCGCATTTCGCGATTGCGACAGGGAGAAATTCGAAGAATTCGTAGAGAAGGACAGCAGGTCTTCCGTACCCTGAGAATTCACAGAGCTACCGAGGATGGAGGAAGGAGGAGGATTTCCTGCGGGCGTGAATGATCCTGCGGACGAGGGAGGGTGTCCGAAAGGTGTTGAAGAAAATGCGCTTGAGCCGAAGTCTGAGGACTTTGCGGGTGTCGAAGGCGGATCTGAGTCCTCATAAGGGCCCCCTGTAAACGCCATGGTGTTGGAGGCAATGAGTGTTCAATTGGTACAAAGCCCTCTGGTCACTGGCGCTCTCCTTTCGCCGTGAGAGCCGGCCGCATTGTTATTTTGGCGCGTTTGGATCAGCCTTCGAGTGTTGGCCCGAGCTTCAACCTCGATCGGATAAACTACGGGCCGTCAGAAAGATCACGTGGATAGATAATTAGGTAATGATCCTGGTGATGCTTGGCGTCAAGCTATCTATGTAGTGCGGGCGAATACGAGGAATTGCTCCTTGCGGACGGGACCTCCAGCGGTCAGAACCGCAAATCATTTTGACAGTCGATTGGTGTCGAGCATGGAGAATGCCCCCCAGTGGCCAGTTGCGATACCTTTTCCTCGGACATTTGAACAGAACTGCTGATCCCTCGTTGCCACGCCACCACATGTAACTAGTTCATCATTCAAGGCTGACTCTTGTCGAGCTCCAGCAAGTCCCTCACGCTATATTTAAAGCTGAGCCCTAGCTCCAGGAGAGTAGCAGAATGTTTTAGAATTGCATCTTCAGTTTCTGGTCCAAGTCCACAAGCTGCATCACAAAGATATATTCTGCAGTGTTATAAAAAAGTGAAAACTTTTCAGCTTTTGGAAATGTCTCCTAATTCCCCTTCAACCGACCTGCCTTTCACAGATACTTCGCAAATCTTCCATCTCTACCTGACAAAGTCGAACACCAATTGGAATCTGACACTGGCGGATAAAACGCCGCTCTACTACGTTCGAACATTGGTCTTCACCTTTGGAAGACCAGAGATAACCCTCCATGCAGGAGACACACGCAATGGGGATGTTGTTGCTGTGTCCAACTTTCTGAAACTCTCTTCCAAATCCAAACTCGGTCTTGGAGACCCCGACAACGTTGGAGAGATGGTCTGGGAGGACCTGACGAAAGAGAGCAGGGACCACTCTCGATACCGGTTCGAGATGACCGTACCGTCTGGCTCTGGCTTTGAAAGGAAAGGCTTTCTTTGGAAACGAACCTCGTCCGTAGGAGTTGATGGCTCAAAACCTTCTGTGCTCAGCGCGAGAAATTTCAAGTTCGTCGACGAGCAGACGGAGGAGGTCCTGGGTGCTTATACAAACAATGGACTTAAGAGCATCAAGAAGCAGGGCAAGTTCCAGCTTAATACGAGTTACGGAAAGGATTTTGAAACGATGTTTCTGCTCTCCGGCCTGACGATCTTGGAGCGTACCATTCGCCGGGAGGCAGCACGACACAGCGGGGGCGGCGGAGCCTAAGAACACAGAACATCCCACCCGAACAGAACCGATCCCGAATGCGCCATCAATCGATCTCATGTTTACATCTGCAAACACGTATGCTTTAATGGCTGGATCATTGGTGTGCCGGCTCCCCAACGTTGATATCTCGGTGGTGTCAAGAAATTGGCTGTATGAGATGGATAATATATTGATGTGCCCGCCTTATCGGCTCATTTTGCTTCTCGACACCCTTTCTATTCTCACTGTTTTCTTTTATTTTCTTTTCCTTTTATTTTTTTTTTCCCTTCGTCTCCGGAGTTGCGATATATTTCTGCTCTATACCCATTGCTTATTCATTGATTTCTTCTCACCCCCTGAATGTGGGCTGGTCAAGGCTTCCTGACGAGGCTGCAATTAACTTCATATTTGTGGACTGTTTCCAACGCTGAGAGCAGCTTCCCCAGTATCTACATGCTTCTGTTCTATGGAAGTCTGCTATTTCGATGCCGATATTTACACATATATAGAATCTTTTTATACCAATTCATTCGACTTGTCCCGCTCGTTTACATCTTCTTCACCTTCTAAGAAAACATGCAGTACCAAATGATCATGGTATCTCTGGCCTTTTTTTTGGGTCGGATACGTTTTCTCGACAGTGGGTTGGCGCGTTTCCGTAGTTGCTCAATGGCGGAGATTAATGGCGGAACTGGGACAGCAGGGGATCAAGGTGGGTTTCCTGGTGAGCGCACCCAGGAGTATTACGTCGTTGACGCTATGACGATAGTCCTCTCGTCTCCATCGGTTCAAATTCCAAGGCAATCCGATTGGGCCAAGTGTCCCAAGGTAAGAGGATGACTATGCGATAGCTACGAAAACATGGCGTAGAAGCCTCTGAGTCGCGGGGCTGATTCCTGGTTTGGAACACAAACAGGACTGTGCAGGATACACTGACGGGGTGCGGACCGCCTCCTGCGGCGGTACCGGCACTATCTACAGTCGTCGGAGTGCAGAGGCCTACTGCCATAGCGGAAACAGCAAATGCTGGAAATGCTACTGGCCTTGCCTATGTATCGTCCCCCGGGAGAGAGCGTCGAAGGAAACTTCACATGAGGCCGCAGACACAAATACGACACGACGGCTGGAACTCACGCCGTATTCGGCTTCCAAACCCATTCATTCGTACACTGATTCCTCTATTCTGATCAATGGAAAGATTTTGTTGGTTAGTATATGTATCAGGATCTTATTCTGGGGGCCCCCTTTTGCGTTCATTCATGAATTACGATTTGGCCTGGATTGCATATGCTACTTTTTTGTTTACAGGTGCAATGAGCGGTGCAGCTACCCCCCGTGTCTACTCTTTATTTTCGTAAAATTTTCTATTTTGGTGCTTCGGGTAGAAGGTCTTTTTCCAGACTATGACTTATAGCTTCGCTACGCCTTCAGGCGAATTAACCAAGACATATCGGTATCGTGCTTTCCCTGCGTCCATGTCCACTAAGGCATTATTCACATCATCCATACTCCTCTCTTGGATCCATGGCAGAACTTTCTTCTGAGCCGCCAAGTCAAGCATTTGTCGAATTTCATCGGGAGAACCAAGCTGGGATCCCGCAATGACGGTGCCCTTTGTAATCATTGGCCCAACATTGAAGGACGGAAAACGTTCCTCTGGTGCTCCGACCTGGATAAACTGTCCATTACGTTTGAGCAACCTGAGATACTGTGCGAGCGGGACGTTGCCCGACGACACGGTGCTGATGATAAAGTGAAGAGAATTCGCGTTTCTCTTAGCCCAATCCTTATCCTCATCTGTGGCGATGAAGTGGTCCGCGCCCAGCCCGTTCAAAGCGTCTGATCTTTTTGATTTGCTACGCGAGATCGCCACGACGCGATCACATCCCATGGCTTTAGCGAAAAGTAGGCCCATATGGCCCAATCCGCCGATACCAATGATACCCACAGACTTGCCCGGACCCGCACCATTCCTTAGCAAAGGCGAGAATACGGTAATTCCACCACACAGAAGCGGTGCAGCTACCGCGCTAGACAATGCGTCGGGGATCCTGAAGACGAAGTAAGCCGGACCTCGCCAGTATCGCGCATATCCGCCGTATGACTTGCTTCCGTCGGGGAACTTGCCGTTGTACGTCCCCGTCCTGCGCGGACAGTAGTGCTCGAGCCCGGACACGCATTCTTCACAGTCCGGTTTCAGGCAGGAATTGCACTGTGCGCCGACGCCGACGCGGTCGCCGACCCTGAGATCCTTGGACGGCGAGGAGAGCGTGTTCACGGCGGATCCTACGCGCACGACGTGGCCGACTATCTCGTGGCCGACGACGCAGGGGTAGTTTGTTGGGCCCCAGCCTGAGCGGAGAGTGTGGATGTCGGAGCCGCAGATGCCGCAGTGGGTGATCTTGATGTCCACGTCGAATGGAGTAAAGGGCTTGGGTTTGAAGGTGGTGAAGGTCAGAGGGGATGTTGCTGAATGGCCGACCCAGCCTTCGAAGGCTGTGGGTGGTTCATTGTTGCTCATCTTGTTCAGCTGAAAACGGAATTTCTTGAGCCTGCTACCCTTTTTGATCCGTTGAGCAATTGTCTTAAGGAGAGGAAAAAAAAAAAAAAAAAAAAAAAAAAAAAAAAAAAAAAATGAAAAGTGACTACCCTCAAAGGTTCATCGACCTATATACAACAAAAACATATGCATAGAGTGGATATTGCGAGAAATAGGCCAAAACAGATAAGTTCATGAACCCAGGGACATGGCAGTCCAAAGCTCTGATGAGAGCGAAACAGATCCTTTTCGCTCGCCTCCACGTTCCGAGGCATCAGGAGCCGAAGCCGACGGGGTGGGGAAGAGCCGCGAACCGCGGAGAGAAGGTTTCGGAACGAAGCCACATGTTAAGCGCGATAGACGCGGGTTGGTGGCTGGTGGCCGATCCGATGAAGCAAAAAGAGGTTCTCCCGATACTGAATTTGCCTTGGACACAAGTTGATATATAGCTTTGGTCATTAATTTACATCAAGGCATAAAGAACCATTATTTACAAATTGAGGGTGTTTACCCAGGTAAAAAGAATGCCTGGAGCGAAACACATTTACCCACCATCGCAATTCCACACAAGAAGCGGATTGCTGATCCAACTTTCAATGCAAAAAGAAATAACCAGGGGCTGTTTCGTCTGTAGCAATTTGTGAATACCCCAAAAAGTGAATGAAAGCAGTAAACCTCAACGTTTTTTTGTTTGTTTTTTGTTTCTTTTTGCTGGGCATTGTACCTATAACAGCTCATACTGAAGCGCATTGAAACCCAATCATATAGACAATGTGGTTTGGGAGTCAAAAGAAAATACAATTAAAGCAAGAAACATCTCTCATATATCATCAACTTGTCCTCCTTTCATCAATCATTAAAGCGCTGATGCTTAAATTTTTTTTTTTTTCCCCTTTTTCCTTCACCCACTCGCGATCGGCCGAGCACAATGACGGCGTTGCCGATGCGTGGGTGACGCTTTCATTCTCATGTATAAAGCGACTGGACGTAGAATACAATTTAGACGTGTCGCCTGTTGAAGGGCAGCCGAGTTGGTCGATTTAGACTGTTGTTTTTGCAGGCAGTGCGATGGCTGTTTCGCACTTTCAAACCGCATGCCAGCAAAGCACGGCGGGGGGTTTAAAAGCCTAGCAGGTACTTCCACCGCTCAGTTGACAAGATGGTCGAACCAGGCTGGTTCGAGTACAATGGAAGGACACTCCAAAAAACGCTCCCATTAACCTGGTCAACTGTGTTGCCCCTTTTTTATTAAATCTCAAAGACTTCGTTGTTGCTGTCGGCCACTTTGATTTGGACAAGCATATGGACCCGAACAGGTGAGACGCCTTGAGCCTATACCTTTTTGGCCAACTTTGTAGGATATCCCAAACATAAAGCCAGAAAGGTACGCTATTCAACCCAAACATGCTGAGCGAAGGGTTCTACACTCCTTCCGGGGTTGACACCACAGTGCAAAGGCCGGGTTGCTCTGAAACTCGGTCGATTCCGGGGATAATTTCATCTTTTGCTCCATGGACTGAAAGCAATTCAACGGCGGATGCGGATGTTCTGGCGAAGGAGCTGAGGTCGTGCATACTCATATTCCTCATCAGAGTCAGAGCTGCACGAGTCGAAGTCAGAGCCAGATGAATCGCAGGGAGAAGAACCGCCGCATCGCTTGCCTCCACAGTGGATCCGGACACGCTCCTTTGAAGAGGTGATCGCGTACAGTTGGCAGCTGCATGAAGAGCTGGAGTCACTGAAGGAAGAGATCGACGATGGAGAGGTGCTGCCACCGCGGAGAGATGAGCTGAAGGCTGATGATGGGCTGGAAGAGATATCGGAATCCGAGTCGGAGAGATCGGCAGCCTGGAATCGAGCATTGAGGGCATCCATAGCTCGCTGGGTGACGTGGGAGCTCTCGCAGAAGCGGCGAGACTCGTAAGGCTTGGAGGGCTTTGGGTGCTGAATTCTCGACGGGGAGAGAGCACGGCCTCGTGCAACCTCGCTGCTGGGCGCACTGGTGCGCGAAGACGACTTCTGGCCCATGTTGGCGGGAACATCGAGAATATTCAAGGTACGCTTGGTTGTGCGCTCGACGGTGGATTCACAGTCTGGGTCGTGATAGACATGATAGCCGTCCAAGATGTACTTGAAAACGAATTAGTATTCCATTTTTGATTCCGCGAGTAGAGAAAAAAGGACCGCGCAAACTCACATAGTACCAGTAGCGCTGGCCGGGCTTCAGCATGGACGACTGAAAGCGGAATTTTCCAGCCCAGGAAGCGGACTTGCCGCCGCTGGAGGTCTTTGAGAGTGGGAGTTGACCACGGTAACCGTCCCAGGAACCGAGCAGGTGGACGGTCTTGACTTTGCCGGGAGTGTCGAGAGTGAAGTTAAGCTGCAGAGCGGCCATATTGCAGGATTGCTAGTTGGAAATTCTTGAATAGAGGGATATTCCGGAAAGCAATGCAATAAAACTTTGACAATTGAAGTATAAACTTCCCCAGGGATAGAGATAGAGGATAGGATATTAAAAGAAAGTGTAATTAAGATAGTTAAAAAAAAAAAAAAAAAAAAAAAAAAAAAAAAAAAAATTATAAGTATTAAATAGAAAAAAAAAAAGATAGTGTGTAGGAAAACGGACTATTGTGTGACGCGGACAGACGGCGGATGAAGTCGAAGGATCAGCTACCAGAGCGTGTTGTCCTTCTGCGGCGAGTAACACAAGTTGTCGTGACGGGGGTGGGTAGAGAAAGTACTTGAAGGGCGACGAGAGCAAGACGAGCTATCGGGTTGTTGATGTCGAACCGGCGACAAGGAAGAACGGCGTGAGAAACAATTAAGAGCCGAAGTAACCGGTACTTCGTGGTTGTTTTGACAGAAACAATTTACGGCGTGCACTTGCTTGTTTTGGTGTTTTGTTTTGAGGCTTCGGCTCTTGATTATCACGGCAATAGCTCGCTTGGAGAGGGAAGTACAGACCAGCTGAACGCGGAAAGGGGGGAAAGGGGGCAAAAAAAAAAAAAAAACAAAAAAAGGGGGAAAGAACTGAATTGGGAGGGAAGTTGAGGATGAGGGATGGAAGAGGAAAGAGAGAGAGAGAACCAAAACAAAAAAAAGGGAGGAAGGAAGGGAATTAATATACACATCATCCGGCGTGCCTTCCCTCACCCGGCCATTGCTATTTTTTTCCCCCGCCATCAAACAAGCGAAGATGTGACGGGAAGGCATGACGGCGGGTAAGCGGGTGCTGTGATTGGCCCGTCGTGACTGGGGTGGAGCAGTGGGGATTCCAAGGCGGGTCTAGCGTGTTTATTTATGCAGCCACACCAGCCCTGGTTGGGACTAGCGGGGATTATGCCTGAAGAATTGCCTGGTGCATCCAGCCAATCACCGCCCCGGTGTGTTTCCCCCTGCTATTTTTAGAGAGAGAGTGCGAACCTGACTGCCTGCTTTTCTTATTTTTGTGGCTGCGGAGGAAAAAGCTTTGACGGCCAGCCATTCGGTTGTCGGACTGATTGACCTGCGGGGAGCGCTGAGGACGGGCTTTGCGACCTCTCGAGGTGAGCAAACAAAGCATCGTGGCCCATTGTCGTCGTTCAAACTTCAGCCTCGTACGGGTGAAGGTGCCGCAGTGCCCACGGATGACAATGTCCGGGGTTGCGAACCGTTACCTTCGCCCTCCCCCCATCACCGTTGCACAGACGGTGTGCATGGTCTGTTGGTTGCCCACCCCCCCCTTTCTCTGGCAGTGGGCTCGGAAAATGCGGGCACGGGAACATCGGGGCCCAGCCCACCCCATGTCCACCCGCCCAGGGATCCAGAATCTCGCTCAATCAGCCTTCGATCATGCTGGTCCGCGGGCGTTCAAGGGTGAGGTCGGGAATGACCTATCAGACCGGGGGGTTTGGAGCGGGGTTATCGTCAACATCCTTTTCTTTTCTTTCTTTCCTTTTTTTATTTTTTTTACGCGCCCGGGTAAATGAGGATCCATTCCTGCTTACAGAGGCTACCACATCACTTCTTCTATCTATATCCACACTTCTATGTAGGTTACGGAGAACCCGGTGCGGACTCAGCGGCAAGGATGTAAGAGGAGTGTCAACACCGTCATCCGCAGCTCTGCATGGTACTGTACGTCGATGGAGATGCCAGGAAGAGCACCAATAATAGACTGCTATCATTCATATTACTTGACTATCGCTCCAATTTTGCCCTGCTTTGCCGATCCTAACTAGACCAATCGACGCCAATTATAGCTGCTAGTAAAACAAGAAATCCAGTGTGTCAAAATTAAAAAAAAAAAAAAAAAAAAAAAGGTGAAAAAGGAGGGGGAGATAGAAAGATAGAGGGGGAGAGAGAGTTTAAGCAACGAGAAGTCCATGTTGGAATGGTATTCTGCATGCACGGCAAGGGGGAGGCTGAAGAATCCAATCGGCATGAAAAAAAAGGGTGCGGATCTTTTTGGATCTTTTTTTCTTTTCCTGGTTCTTCTTTTCTTCGGTGAGCACATGGGAATAGGATACATCAGAAAATCAAAAGAAAAAGGTTAGCAGGGATGACGTGTAGACCGACCAACCCAAAGGCGGAGGGGATGCAGGGTCTCCCCTCGCATCCAACGCCTCAGCCGGCCGTCGCTATTGGAGAACCCTTGATCGAGCGAATCATTCCAGCGTTCGCAACCCCCCCGCTCGCTCGCTCGACAATGCAGCTTGGGGGCTAGCGCAATGTCACTCCTGATCGCTTTGTATACATTCGTGCCGCGATATTCATCGACATCAGCTCCTGGAAGAGCAGCTTAGCGGCATAAGGTATGTGAACTTGCGAGATCTTGTTCTTGTTTTTGCAAGCTCGGCACTCGAAGTCGCCCTTCTTGAGTTTGCTACACCAACGCCCAACTAGTTAGCATTCACCGACATCCAGACGATGGGAGGGGATTTCCCCACCCATCAACCTCAAAGCAAGAGAAGGGAGCATAACTTACGCAATTGGTGTCATCAACCCACAGATGTCGCAAATGTGTACACGGAACGGATCGGACACATCGAACAGCCTCTCCTTCAAGAATGCGCTGGCACCATGAGCTATCATGCAATCGCGTTCCATTTCTCCGAATCGAAGCCCGCCGTCTCGTGCACGACCTTCGACAGGCTGTCTCGTCAAAATCTGAGTGGGACCCCGCGCTCGTGCATGGATCTTGTCATCCACCATATGCCGCAGACGCTGGTAGTATGTCGGCCCCAAGAAAATCTGGGCGACCAGCTTTCTTCCCGTGTGGCCATTGTACATCACTTCGAATCCACGTGATTGATAACCATGCTCCCGGAGCAAGCTGGATACCGAGTCGACAGTCACGTCCGTGAACGGCGTCGCATCTCCTTCATACCCACGTAGCGAAGACACCTTACTAAGCTGACACTCGATCAAGTGGGCAATGGTCATACGAGACGGAATGGCGTGGGGGTTGATGATCAAGTCAGGGACAATACCCTCCCTAGTAAACGGCATGTCTTCCTGGCGGAATGTCACGCCGATAGTACCCTTTTGACCGTGACGAGACGCAAATTTATCACCAATCTGTGGGATCTTGGTAGTTCTCATCCGCACCTTCACGAACTTCAGATCCTCGTTGCTGGTGGAGACTAGCACCTGATCAACGATACCGCTTTCGGTGCTTCGTAGCGGCGTAGAAACGTCCAACTTGGTATGCTGCTTCGTTCTCTGACCCAGTTCCTCCGACTCTGGTGCTAATGGCGCGGTCTTTCCAATGATGATATCCTCACCGGAAACACGGACACCGGGCGCCACAATACCGTCGTCATCGACCTTGTCATATGTGCCATGCTTCATGCGTAGCGTATCTGATCTCATGGGCTTTTCGAATCTCTCCACCACCGTTAAGCCGATCATCTTTTCAGAGTCGGTGTACGTCCGGTAGAACAGACTTCGGAAAAGACCACGGTCAATACTGCTCTGGTTCATGATGACAGAGTCTTCTTGATTATACCCAGAGTAACACGCAATAGCAACAATAGCGTTCTGGCCGGCAGGAAGCTCTCGGAACTTCAGGAACTCCATCGACCTTGTCGTTGCCAGAGGTTTCTGGGGGTAGTAGAGAATGTTCGCCATCGTTTCCATTCTTTGATCGAAGTTGGTAAGGAAGACACCCATAGCTTGTTTACCCATAGCAGATTGGTATGTATTACGCGGAGATTGGTTGTGGTCGGGGAAGGGAATGATACTGGCGCAGATACCCAAGATCATGCTAGGATGGATTTCACAGTGAGTCCAAGTGTGTGCTTTCTGGCTGAGTTTCGACCTGACACGCCGGTTAGGATCTGATGTATCCTCCTCGGGGATATATCCAGCCTGGTATTGTTTGGAGACTTCCAGGTCTTCAGGACTCATGACAATCATGATTGTCTCTTCTTCCTCTGCGTCCACGTATTCGACGACACCAGACTTGACAAGTCCATCCCAACCATAATACCGCTCCCTACGCTCCTCCGGATCCAGATCCGCAGGTATTTCCTTGTCTGCTTCAAGTTTGTGAATATGTTCCTTGGTAAGCACAAGAGATCCACTATTTTCGCTCTTTGGATCATTGTCCACAACGAAAAGCGGTCGACAAACACGACCCGCATCAGTGAAAATCTTGAATTCCCGATCACGGATATCCCATACCAAACTGACCTCGTGCGAAATCATGTTCCGCCGACGCAGCGATTGAACTGTGCTCACGAGATGCGATGGATCTCTGTGGACTCCAACCCAGACGCCATTGACGAAGATCTTTGTGGAATTGGGCGACACTTGAGGTTCAAACTCTTCCAGAACCTCCATGTTCCGCTGGATCATGAAGTCAATGATAGGCTCACTAGGCGTGCCGACTGTAATATAGCACATCAGAGCCAAGTTCTTAACCAAACCACAAGCCTGACCTTCCGGAGTTTCCGCAGGACAAACCAAACCCCAGTGAGTATTGTGAAGCTGACGAGGTTTGGCGATCTTTCCATCACGGCCGATTGGCGTGTTGGTTCGCCGAAGATGCGATAGCGTAGAGGCATAAGTGTAGCGGTTAAGCACCTGAGAAACACCGGCCTTTGAACTTGCTGCCTTTTTCTGCTCACCCCAATTTCCGGTAGCAAGAGCGTATTTTAGACCGCCAGTCAAAGTGCTGGCCTTGACGCCAATGTTCAAATAAAGTTGGCGATTTGTCTCGACGCATCTCTGGACGTATTTGTAGAGATCCTTTGTAAGTCTCATAAAAAGGACCCGGAAAAGGTTGGCAAGTAATGGTCCGGCTAGATCAAGCCGCTTTTTGCCAAAGTGGTCACGATCATCCACATCCCGTCGGCCAAGGGCACACTGTAGTAATTTGTGTACCATGTAACCTAGGAAGAAGGCCTTTCGTGTCTCGCTTCCTTCACTTTGGGAAATATGAGGCAGGAATTCTTTCTGGATGATATCTCTTGCGTATCTCACACGCTTCTCATGGTTCATGCTCGTGGGAGAAGAGCCTCGCTTACTAATGAAGTCGAGAGCAACCTCACGGTCCTGAATAACAAAACCTTCTTCAATACAAGGCTTTAGCATTTCTAGCATAGGGGTATCGTTGCGGTCATAGCAAATATGATTGAGAATATCTTCATCGGAAACGACGCCTAGGGCTCTAAAGACGACGACGATAGGAATGTCGGTTTTTATGTAGGGCAGCGTGGAACGGATAGTAGGACCAAAGCCTCCCTTCGAACTATCACCTTTGGCGAAAAGCTTGATAGATAATTGGGAGAGGATACGGGAGCCTTTTTCGACAGCACTTCGAATTTCCGCGACGTAGGGAGTAGGGCTTGGAGGAGCTTTCTTGAAGACCTGCACGATATTTCCAGCACTTCGCTCTTGAGCAATAAGGACTTTTTCACTGCCGTTGATGATGAAGTAACCGCCAGAGTCGTAGGGGCATTCGTTCCAGTTGTACAGCGCATGCTCGCCAAGGTCTTTGAGAATACAGTATTTAGACTTCAACATAATCGGCATCTTTCCAATGAAAATATTCTCCTCATCAGCTTCATCTTCAGGAAGCGCCTTGGGCTCCCATTGTAGATATGTCCCTCTAGCCCGTCTCTCCTCGTCGCCTTTCGCGTCGGGTTCATCGTCATCTTCGTCGCGTTCGGCCAGCGATCGTTCTCGGCCCTCTGCAATTTTCTTTGTGATTCCAAGATAAAGAGGGCTAGCGTATGTCAAATTCCGAAGGCGCGCTTCTTGAGGCAACATGATACTTGTCGCTCCATCACCCTCTGTCATCGACGGCCGCGCAAGCATCACGGTACCGAACTTGAGCTCGTAACGTCGCACCATAACCGGATCTGGATCGTCTTCATCGGGGGCTATTGTCTGGTCAAGTGTTACCTGTCCCTGCTCCTCCACAAGTTCCTGCATCGTCGTTGAAATGAATTCATCGAAAGAATCGAGCTGCTGGGAGACGAGACCCTTCGATTCGAAGAAGGAAGAGATGACGGTCCAGCAGTCCTCGGAAGTGATTCCTTCCTCAGCCTCGTAGTAGCCATCTTCGCCATATTCGTCCTCGTATTCTTGCATGTTGACTGTCTCGATCGAAGGGCGCGCGGATTTGTTTTCTCACTTGTCCGACCTCAAGAGCTCGAAGTTCCGCATGGAACAAGCTCAGCAACCCACCATCCAAGGAACCGAAATGATGGAAAATAAAAATGAAAAATACGGGAATCTCAAAAGTGAAGGAAAAGTGAAAGCTCTACGTGCCTCGTTCAATGCTGTTGCATGCGAGGGCGAGGGTTGACGAGATTCACGGTCCTGAGCTACTCAGCGCGCATTCATGAAAGATCCTCCTTCGCCGCCACAGAAGGTACCGCTTTGGGTTTAGGGAAATGCCAAGAAAGGCTAAATCAGCCCCGGGCCCGACAGTCAATCACGTGATATAAAGTTGATGCCTCCAGCTTGGAATGTATCTACATGCATAAAATAACAGACGCCTGGTGAAGAAATTAAAGAAATTATATAAATTCCAAGAGAGTCGTAAGCATGTCCTTTTCTTCTTCCTCTCCTTCTGGGCCTTCTAAGCCGCTCAATTGTTCTATGAACCCGTAGTTAGCATTTTGAGTCGAAAGAAAACTAAGGAGATCTACCAACCTTCAAGGGTGGCTCGAATTATACTTAGATCTTGGTCTTGTTCTGATAAGAGTGAATTTATCCTCGCCTTCGCGCCATCATCTTCAGCTACAAGCCAAGCAAGGATGACATCGATGATCTAAACGCGTTAGCAAATGTAAAAGCAGGAGGCGCCAGAATTCGTACCTGTAACGAAAAGAGTCCGACATCCAATCTTCGAGAGAGCCATTCAACTGCCATTGCGTCTTGCTCATCCTTGCTCAAATTTGCCCTTTCTTGGACAATGGCTTGATCGACTGGTAACAGTTTCGATGCGTACCCTCGTCGGAACTGCACCAGTCGGCTGACCTTCTCGTAGTCCTTCTCTACGAACTTTGCTAGGGTTCTAATGCGTCCTGCAGATTCACCAGGGAGCAGGCGTAAAAGCGACGCAAATATTCCAAGGAGATGCTCAATAGTTTGATTATCTTGCTATACACGAGTTAGAAACGCAGTGGCTCACATACTGGAGAGGCGGGTTGGTATACCTTTTTCATAAACATGCCGAATACAGTTCTTAATAATCCTGCTTCAACAAGTTGTTCGCATACACGCGCTCCGTCTTTTCCACCAACGGCATGGTTAAGCACCCGTAAAGCCCTAGGCTTACTCATTTTGCCTTCTCGGAGCATAATCTGTGCAAGCTCAACGCCTTCGGCTTCAACGAATTTCTCCTTCCCCAGGGCCCCGTCAACGACGCAAGTAAGGCTGTCAAAGAGATTTTCAACATATTCTTCCTCATCGGAGTCCTTTTCGGGATCTCGTTTTCTGTATACACTGAGCAGCTGTAATAATGTGTCCACCCCGTTCAGGCCAACAAATCTCTCGCGATTTTTTTGGGATGACTGTAATAAAATCGCAAGAACCTCCGCCGCATACTGTTTATTTTGTGTAACTGATTTTTCTCCCTTCTGTATTCGTGCATAAAGCCAAGGCATGATCTCTGACTCTTGCCCGATTTTCTCTGCTACGGATGACTGCGAAGATAGATTCTCCAGGACATCTGTCTAACGTCAGTAGGGTAACAAAACTATTTGATATGATGAGAAAAGGCGTACTTAATATATGATACACTCCAGCCCGGTCACTTTCAATATCCTCGTCCAGTCGGGAAAGGTTTTGGGCTAAAAGTTCAATGAGGTCTGCATCCAGCTTCAGGACGTAAGTATTAATCAATAACGAGGATGAACACCGGACTTACCATGGCATCCACTAAAGATTCCCACTGTTCCGATTCCGCTTCCACATCCTCGTCTGTCAATTCTGCGAGAATTTCGATGACATCAATAGCAATATCCGTGTTTTCGTGAGCCAACAGCGAAACTAGGGAACCAACGCAACCAAGTTCGGCGAATTCTGGGTACAGTTGCGGATGCTCAGATAGAATTGACAACCCCTTGATGTCAACATCTAAGTCTGCCTCTGATGCCATAAACCTAACATAAGGATTCTTATGAGACAAGCGCTGCGGAATAGGAGCATAGTGAGAGCATACTTTTGCGGATCCGACTCATATTTAGCTCTTAGCTCTGCATTCTTGGAAATACGCTTTTCAAAATTGAGGGCGGTGCGTTTTAGCCATGCAGAATCAATCTTTCCTGCCTATGAGCCCAGCCGTCAGCGTTTTCGTCAAAACATGCAAGTGTAACGGCGAGTGAGGCGAACTAACCCTTACGCCCTCTTTTTCCTGCTGCTCTATGAAATCTAGTGCATTGGTTGTATCCCGTGTCACTCCGCCCCCAAAGAATCGGCCTTCCTCATCATCTGGAACATCTTCTTGTCCGAAATCTGGTGGAAGTTCAGGACCGGCGATATCTTCGTCTTCCGCATCGTCTACCGTCGCAGCGCGACTCCCGCTTGCGGCACCGTTGGTGTCGAGTTTAGCAGATTTATAAATTTCGTCTGGAAGGGGGTTAGCCTCCAACAAGTTTAATTCGGAAACGGTAGCTCATACTGGGATCCCTGACTGGTTCAAACTTGCGCTTCTGCCCTGAAGGTAGTGAGGGTGTCTATAAACTGATCAATGCGACTGGCCTAGGAAACGAATCTCTCAAGAAGGCGACGCAAACGCACCTTAAAAAGCTCGTCTATGCTGGTCATGTTTTCTGAAACTGTGTATAGAGAGTGCTTGAGATTCAGAGATCCGCAGCTTTTGCCTGGCAATTGGAGCTGGAAGGCGAGAAGCTGCTTTCCTGTCGACTTGCTGGCGACATTGTGCTGTAGCTCCTTATGGCTTGACGTACTTGCGCCGCAGACGGATCTGCGGTCACTGATTGGCCAAGAGGACAGAATACGGGAGGTCTGGATTGCCAAAAGCGCAAGTAGGAAAAACCAGCTCGAAAACCGCATTTAACTTCATCATCCGCGCTCAGATCTTTCTTTCGGCCTCTACCCGACTTTTTCGAATATCCAACAGTTATCCCCTCCGCAAGCCCACGGAAACAAATCGCTTTCGACCCGATTAACCGAGACAATTTACTCTTTTTGCCCATCATGCCTCCAAAGCAGCGTGTCGTCGTCCAGTCCTCCTCCCGCCGAATCCAGGATAAACGGGGTTACCTTTCCGCCGCATACCATGAGCTCACTTCTTCCGAGAACGCTTCTGTAGTAAGAAGTGTTGTTGCATTCGGGGTAAGTTAAGCGTTTCCCGTTCTCAATTTGCATGTCTAGATGCAGTAGGACTGTACCAGTCAAAGCACGATATCTCCCTCTGTTTGGACTTACCTTCGCTGACAACCCCATTAACACAGGCCGCAGTTGCTTTCTTGCATAGCAGCTTTAGCGAATGGCTTCTCCCAACGTAAGTGTGAACCTCTAGTTCATTCTGTCCAGGGACGAATAGCGCCCTTAGCCCTTCCCAAGCGTTCTCCGTGTCCAGTGCTTCACGCCGAGCTGTCCTTCAATGCCTCTGGTAAGAATTTGTTGTAGCTGACTATGTGTTAGCCTATAAATGCATCCTTTTATATCAACTATGGCGAACGCCGCTTCTCCCTCTGTTCGCAAACTTATAGCCCTATCCCCCCCCCGCCCGCACCGCAAATCTTCACGATAGAGAAGCACTTGAACTTGTACTATACACACTGAAATGAATGGTTATTGGACACGGAAATGCCCTGTTTATGTTGCACTTTATACGGTGTCTCCCACATTGTCGAACACCTGTCTTTGCAAAATCCGGTAGACGGATGGACAGTCATTGATATGGAAATATCAAGATTGGCGGGCATGGTGGAGCTTGTTTTTTTGCTCATATCGGCTACAAAGGCAGGAGTTCGGATCGTGCTTTAGCATTATTTCACATCAATACAGTTGATTTTTTTTTTTTTTTTAACTTTCAATGATTTACAGAAAAGTGCAAGGACACGTCCGCCAAATGAATGCTGAGTCTTCTTGGTGACAGACTCCAACGGCCTCTAACAATCGGACACGGATTGCAAAATTGCTCGCCCCCTTTTCCTACCTCTTCGCTGCCTCCTCATTAATCCACTCACTCGCCTTGTCCTTCCATTCCTCATGCCATCGCGACAGAGCCGGTCGTCCCTCAATGATATCTCCAATCGCCCATTCCATACGGGCTTTATCCAACGCCTCGCTAACGTCCTCATCCGGACAAACAATGTAGAATTTCCCCTGATTCATTTTCTCATACATATACCTCGCAACCTGGCTTGGAATCCACGCCCCCTTGGGCTTTAGCGCCAACGCTTGGTCGTCATGAATTGGGCCTTCGCTGCCCGTGAGACCAGTGAATGTCCAGCCAGGAATCAGCAGGTGGACGTGGACATTCTTGGTAGCGCTGTTGGAGTGCATGTCGTGAGCGAGGAACTCGGCGATTGACTTCAAGGCAGATTTGCTAGCGTTGTATGCTGGGTTATTCGCACCGGGAGGGTTGGTTATGCCTTGCTTTGATCCGGTGATGACGATCGCTTTGGGCCCTTGGGCAGCGGCCTCGCTGATCATGGGCAGGAAGGTGTATATTCCGTTAAGGACACCCGTGAAGTTTGTCGCGAAGGTCTAAAAATGTACGACCATTTTATTTTTTTTGGTCTGCGTGTTAACGTCTTCGAAACAATCGCGCTATATTCAATCAACAAGCAATGGAATGCATCCCAAAACCCTCCTTCCAACAGGAGAAAAGGCGGAGGAGGGCTTTAGGAAGGGGATAAATGTGAATGCTCTACCTGCCCACCTTTTGAAAGTACTCTATATCCCCCCATGGATTCTTCGAACCCTCTGGCTTAAAAGTCGCTCCGGCATTCAGCATCAGCAGATCGATCCCAGCGGGGAAATGGTTGACGAGCTTGTCCCGTAGATACTCCCACGACGACACGTCCGAGACGTCCATGACATGCGTGATCGTCTTGGCATTCTCGGTGTTTCCGAGGAGGGTGTGCACCTTGGCCAGATTGTCAGCGTGGATGTCGACCAGGATCAGATTCATGTCGTGGGAGCGGCAAAGCTGGGCGACGGCGAAGCCGATTCCACTGCCTCCGCCAGTTATGAGGGCTGTGGCACCGGGGCGGAAGACGGTGGCGGCCATGGTGTGACGTAGGAGTGAACTTATATTGGGAATTGATGATGATTTAGGATAGATGATTGTACCTTTGGTTGTATTGCTGTCCGGGAGGAATCGAGGGTGAGCGGAGGGTTCTTGTCTTATACTCGGAGTGAGGATGAGTACTATGACGCAACATAACCTACAATCGCAACCTTAAAAAAGCTGTGTACTCTGCCACTTCACTTAGAATACGCCTTTTCATCCAGTTCGCTCGACATATATCGGGCGCGAGTACTCCGTACTTTGTAGTAAATGGATATGGGAGCTGTGTTGTGCAGTACTTATAAAACCTCTCTAAAATTCCCAGAAATGCATCAATGAGATCCGATAGTATATGCCCTCCAAAGTTTCCCTTGGCCCTATAGCCCCAAACAACGCCATATTTTTAAAAACTGCAAGGTACCACGCTGAGCACGGAACAATTGCAAAGAAAGCAAGTCATATAATACAGGGTATATATATAAATTCGTCATATCTTTTTCAAATGAAAAACCCCCCGGATCCCTTCGCGGCTTCCTCTGAAGGCCTTTTCACAAGTTTCACAAAGTCCACATCTAAAAAGACGTTATATAAATTGGCCTGCTGGATTTTCACATCCACCACATCACCGGCTTGCAGCGGCGGCATCTTCGGGTCCATCGAGATGCAGCACCGTAGCCGGAAAGGAAGCAGAGAACCCATATACTGCACCTTCGAATCTTTAACTTTGGACACCTTGCCTTCAAGTAGCTGAGTGACGATCTGGCATTGAAAGGTTTCGGGTAGTTTCGCCTGTCCGTAGTTAAATGCCCGGAAAAGAAGCTGCATGGCCCAGAAATCTCGGGACATTGACTGAGCACGGTCTTTGAGACGGTTCTGCCAGGTAGACCGGGAGATAATAGCGTTGACCTTTTCGAGGGAGAAAGGTAGGGTGACGTCTTTTCTTTCCAATGCTGGCCGTTTCCGCTCTGCCTCACGGCGGAGACCTGCTTCTATCTGCCAGTGGCAAAGGAGATCTGAAAAACGTCGGAGGGGACTTGTGCATTTCGCGTACTGCTCCATTCCCAGAGCTGTGTGAGGCACAGGTACTGGCGATAAGTACCCTTTAAAACGAGCCATACTTGTCGATGTCGATTCGCCCCCAAGGATCCCACGAAGAACGGTCTCCTCAGGGCGTTGCGTCACGCCACTGAAGATGAGCGGAATGTCTCTTTCCTTGCACCATTTAGCGGCCACTTCACCACCCAGGACCATAGCATGCGAGACGAGGTCTTGTTTCGTAGACTCCAAGATTTCAAGAGGATCTAGCATCGGGCCACTGATGTGGATGATAGGGTCTCCGGTATATTGAAGGGCTTCGTTGCCATCCACCACCAAGGACTTGATCCTGCCGTTACCTCCAGAAACAAAAGGCTGTGATCTTTGCGTGGAGGCAGAATTCATGGCACCCTTTTTCACCCTGACCTCCCAATGTGCGCTGAGCAATTTCTGTAATGTCAGTAGAGATTGCGCATGCTCTTCAGATAGGTAGTCCTGGAGTTCTGGTCGGTTAGGCATTTGGGCTTCACCTCCCACCTGCAATGTCATGCGTGGAGCCTGGAGGCGATCGATGCCATAAAGCTGTGCAAGCCGGTCGGGGGTAATGTACACAACATTCCTGATGTAACCATTGACGATTTTCTCCTCTAGTATCTCCCCTTGCGTGTTAAGTTTTGCGCTAAAGGTCAGGACGGGTTTATCCGGCCCAAGACTGAAGTGCTTCTGCGTTACGCTCTGCGGAAGCATGGGATATAGCCTTTCCGGGGAGTAGAATGACCTTTTGAAGTACTTGGCGCCTTTAGCCAGTATGTGATTGGGTGGTATAAATGCAGACGGATTTGCGACATGGATATGCACCCAGTGTTCACCATTAGAGCCTTCCACGGGCTCGACGGAGAAGCCGTCATCGACTTCGGAGGTGCTTTGACTATCGACGCAGAAAACCGGGAGATCGCCCCAATCCTTTCGCAGGTCTTTCATGTAATCGACGAAGGTGTCAGGAGTGACAGTTTCACAAAAGTCGTTGCATTTTTTTGCTAGTCGGTCGGAGGCGGGTGAGGTTCCATGACCCGGTAAGGCGACCAATTCACTCAACACATGCATGTTTTCCCAAGGAGCCACAACTCCAATCTCTTGAAGGAGCAGGTAGCCCGTCTGTGGAGTCATGGGGTAGCCATCGTACATTTCAATACTTCGAATAATCATCGACCCTATCGTTTTCAGCACAGAAGTGGTCATCAGCGAAGGCGGGGTAACCCATAGTCGCAAAAACTTCAGGATCATTTGATCATTCTCGGTGAACTTTTCGACAGGGAGGGTGTCGTAGGCCATATCGCCAACCTTCCCATCCACGGGAGAGCCCTGGACGGTTGGACTGACAGCAAATGAGAGAGTGGGGTTGCGTAACTTCCGGCTCCGGTAGATCAGTTTTCTCGCCTTTTGAACAAACTGGTGCATCGGAGAAGAACTCAAAGATCCCTTGCCCCAGCCTAGGGCCTCCCTCGCTTGACTGTCTTGATACCGGCGAACCCAGTCCACCACCGTCTGCACTACCTTCGCCTGTGGTTTCGGTCGAATAGTGTAAGATTCCGTTGTAGAATGAGTCTGATTGGCAACAACGTAGAAGGCCTGTCGTTTTAGTCCCTTGTGGATTGCATACCGCTCGGCCTCCGTTAAAGTCCCAGGCGTACGCCCAAATACTTCTTGGCCGATCTCATCCAGCGTCAGCAACCTGAACTCTTCTTCGTCTGCCACAAGGTCGTATACATTGTCCAACAAGCTCGAGTTTTGGGCATAAAATTTCCGTGCGGCCTTCTCAAACGACTCCATCCACTCAAGCAGGGCCCGTCCTGCTGGTCTAGGTACCCCACCTTCCAGGCCTAATTGCGGCAAAAAGGATTTTTCGACGGTCGATGTCGGGAAATAGGGCAAGATCGACGTGATCATTTCCTCGGGTACACGCACTCCTAAAGCAAAGCTCATCTCGTTAGGGTGAGCCACGCGCCATTTCCCCCGATCCGTGTAAAACTGCTGCTGATCGTTAACCGTGCGAACGTAGACGGCCAATTGGCCTGTACTAAAACCAGTCTCTCTGCGTCTCGTTAGCGCTTCAACCACCTAGAAAGAGAAGGGGGGTAGGGGGTGTGGGTGAGAGCCACGGTCTTACTGTTCGAGTAGAACCAGATTTCCAGGCCATAGGTAGGGGAAATGCCCATCCTCAGAAGAGGGATCTTGGTATGCATCCATGTCAAACTCCTTTGTGCGTTCCCCGTTGACCATAGGCTCATCCCTCAGCATGTTTCCAACCCATTTGTTCTGCGGTTCGCCGGATAGACCTTGCGGATTCTGGATGGGGTCAATGTTAAGCTCTGGCGACGGAGGTTTCCAGTTTCGAAGATAGGTCAAAATGTCTTCTTTCCGGGTCAGCTCTGAGTGGAATAGGTTTGCCGACTTTTCGTCGGTCAGTACACCAGGGGACGCGGAAGGATTCTAATGAGAAAGATTAGACCGGATTTTCAGAGTAAGAGGGTATAAGAGAATACTAGGCGGATAACATACGGGTTGTCCGGCGTGAAGTTCTCTCCTCTGTCGGAGAATTCTATGCCGCGCCTCTGAGTTCTTGACATGGCTGGATAATGCCGTCGAACGAAGCCGCCGTGACGAGGCCGCACATCGTGAGCAGAAGTAGATTTCTGGAAACTGACTCCTCCGCACGGCGGTGCGAGTTGTCTGCAGCCATGATGCGGAAGAGATCATTGCTAGAATGGGTGGTTGGGAAGCATGGAACCTGAGTCGAATCTCCAACGGCTTCCTCGGCGGAAGAAGCAACCTTCGCAGCAGCTTCAGGTCTCGAAATGACAAAAATTTAAAGTTGGTTATCTCAAAGTTTATCGGAGTGCTTACTAACTAGGTTTGCGCGCAAACAACACCGGCCGTAAGCCAAACGAACAGCTCTCAGGGGCAAATCCGTGGCATTTTCGCGGCGCCAGAAGCCAAGAAAACACGACGGCCACGCGATCAAGCCTCAAGGTTTGGAGGGCGCTGAACATATGTAGTTTTACCTACATACGAGAGGGGTTGTTATATTGAATCACAGGCTGCTAATACAATTACATTTATGGAATTCTTGTTTGACAGCAGATGGCAGGGATCGGGCGTCACCTCCTTGAAGCTACAAGCCGCCACTCCGGCGCCACCTTCATTGTTCGTTTCTTCCCTTGGGACTTTGAGAACTTGAAGAACGTATCCACGCCCCAAAAAAATTCTGGCTGAGAAGTTCCACCCCTGCGCCCCGGCCTGTCTCCAAAACTAGCTCAGTGAATGGACCTGTGCGGCTGCACCACAATCATGTCATTCGGACCGACAAAGCCGATTCTCCTCTGAATATCTATGGGTTTAACACCCTGCCACTGACCATCAGATTCTGACCAAGTGGCGTTAAATCGCCCTGGTTACAAGCTAGTTCGGCATTTCACATTCTTGACACGTGCAGGGAGGGATTTCGCTCAGAGGCTCCTGGCAATCCCAGCAACGGGGCCAATTTTTTGCGGGCACTATAGCACCTCTAGACTTTGTAGTTGTCGTCTTTCGCTGAGGCTTTCGGACCTTCGATGGTTGCTTCGGGCCGTGAGAGGAACTGGTAGAGTTAGGTGTCTTGGATTTGCCTTTGCCTTTGTGATTTGTAGAGGAAGCTGTTTCTGTCAAAGAGCGAGATTCAACTGCGGTTCCTTTGCCTCCGCTGTCTGTAGAGGAAGCTGCTTGTGTCGAAGAGCGACATTCCACTAAAGTGCCTTTGCCCTTGCTTGAGCTCTCTGAATTGAGGGCCATATTTTTGACGTGTCAAGACGTGTAAAAGAATGCAATTGCTTCAGAAAATATATGATGCGAAGCGCTCCGTAACGCCGTCCTTGACAAGTGCAGTAAAAGTGTTGACTAAAATGAGGGGATAATGTAGCACCCATCTACCCGCATCTTGCATGGATGTAGGGCATTGTACTGGTATATATACATATATACCTGGGAAGAGGGCATTGTTGAGGTCTGTGGGAGTGACTTTGGGTCACTGGAGCAAAGTGACTGCTGCTCTTAGCTGGGTGCTAGATAGCTTGCTAAGGCAATCCATCGAGATGCAGAATCAGTCCGGAGGGCAAATTCACCTGTCCAGCAGGGCAATAACAGGTAGAGAGTCTCTGTATGGCTGGGACGTGCCGACCACAAAAGTGCAATGTATTTATCAAGCTCATTGGTGTTGGCAAGGGCCATGCTTTTCTCAGGGAACCATACTCAAGATAGGCGGTTTTCAAAAGAACTAAGGCTTATTCACCTTGGTACAAGGGATATCTGTATAGGTTGGGTGGCAACTTGCGCGACAATCCGGGATATTGCCCTGCTATGGTGAAGGCCTGAGCAAAGAGGACGTTTGGCAGACTCAGGTGTAGTTAAAGTCCATTTTGAGGGAGGGTATATATATATATATACTAAGTATTGCAGATGAAAGACTCTACAGTTTGAGAATTCGAACTTCAATTCTTTGATGCCCGCTCTGTAATATCCACTGTGCGCTGGAGGAGGAATTTCCTGTCGTCTTGTATCGCGTCCGCCTTTCTCCTTGGCGGCAAGTCGGCGCAGAGCTTGGGAGCGGTGCGGAACGGCCATTGGCCCGATGGACAACCGCAAGCAAGCTCAAGCCTTGGCCGAAACCTTCTCCTCGCTACTGTATTGCCGAGCTTCCAGGTTCGTCGGAAGCCCCATCGCCCACAGCCTAGGCAGCCAAGCAAAAAGCGCACGCGGAAAAACACAAAAGTGGTTTCGGGAGCATTTGAAAAACCTTTTTGTTTTTTGGACCCAAAAAATAATAATAATAAAATAAAAATTGGCAGCAGCATCTCCTGGGGGGCCAACGACAGCGCCTGCCTTCCCGGGCAGTCTTCTTCTCCCCCCTAAGTAGGCAACTAACTCCTAGGCACCTACCTGATCAAGCCGAGAAACAAAACTTGCCGTAGTAGGAAAGAGTCGCGCTTTTTACCTTGTGCAGGAAGGAACGAAGGCACTGTTAACTATTTAGTTTAGGTATGGACGCGCGAAGAAGCAGCGAAGAGAGGAGTATGTAATTGCTTTTTTTGGGGGGGAAAAAACGCCTTCGTGTTGGTTTTGTTTTGTCTGGGGAAGGGGCGACCCCTAACCCCAACAAAGTACCGCCTTAGCGTGAGTTTAGCTGGCTGGTGACCTTGCAGCTCTGCTGGGGGCCTTGGCTGGTCCGGTCTGGTTTGGTTTGGTTTGGTTAGATTTGCCCACCCGCCGGCCTTCGCTCTCCTCCGCAAAAGCCCTCGTTCTCCTCTTCCTCCTCTTTTTTCCCTTCCCGCGACCATCTCTTCTTCTTCTTCTTCTTCTTCTCCTCCTCCTTCTCTCATCGCCCTTCTCTGTCTTCCCCCCCGGATCGACCCTTGGTTGTCTTCTCCTCCCCCCAGCGACCACTCACCTTCCAACGAACCCGCCCGTGCTGGAAGCTGTCGCCCAAGATGGCGAAGAAAGACGTTGTCTTGTATCCTCGCATTTCGAAGAAGCCTCCGTTCACCGTTGAAGCCCCCGGCTCCGAACCTGTCAAGGGAGAGACCATTCCTCGTAGACATCCCGCTGCCAAAGATGGATTGATCACTTCCCCCGACCCGGAGATCACCACAGTATACGATAATCTCAGGTGGAGTGTCAAAAAGTACGGCAACAAGAAGGCCATTGGATCCCGACGTCTCATCCGAACCCATGTCGAGACCAAAAAGGTCAAGAAGCTCATCGAGGGAGTCGAGCAGGAAGTTGACAAGGAATGGACTTTTTTCGAGCTCAGCGGCTACACCTTCATGACCTTTAACGAGTATGAGACTCTTGCGCTGCAGCTCGGAGCCGGTCTGCGAAAGATTGGCCATGAGAAAGACAGCCGCATCCATCTGTTCAGCGCTACAAGGTGAGATTTATTGTTCCCCCATCTATTCTACGCCCTTGAGTGCGCGAGTTTTTTTCCTCTAACCGTAAAACCTATCTAGCGCCCATTGGCTGGCCCTGTCTCATGGTAGGTTACTCAGTTCAACAGCGCGTGTTGAAAATGTATATATCTCTGACTCTTGCAGGTGCTGGATCCCAGTCTATCACAATCGTTACAGCCTACGACTCCTTAGGTGAAGAGGGTGTCAAGCATTCCCTCCTCCAAACCCACAGCTCCACCATCTTCCTCGACCCCAGCCTCCTTCCTGTGCTCATGAAAGTACTGGGAGATGCAAAGGACCTGAAGAATGTGATTTATGATTCCGCTTCCGAGGTGAAGCAGGACAACCTCGACAAGCTTAAGTCTGAATTCAGCCACCTCAACGTCATGTCCTTTGAAGAATTGCGAAAGCTTGGAGAAGAGAATCCGGTAGATCCTGTGCCTCCTTCTCCAGAGGACCTTTGCTGCATTATGTACACTTCTGGATCAACTGGACCTCCTAAGGGTGTTTCTCTTAAGCATAAGAATGTGGTAGCAGCTAGTATGTTATGACCCGGTCATCGTCCCCATCGCCCAGCAATGCTAACCTCAAACTTAGTGGCCGGTGCCAATACTGTTGTTGGTGAACACCTTGGCCCCAGCGACGTCCTCCTCACATACCTTCCACAGGCTCATATTCTGGAATTCGTCTTTGAAAACATTTGCTTGTACTGGGGCGGTACCATGGGCTATGGCAGCCCCAAGACGCTCTCGGACACCTCTATGCGGAACTGCAAAGGTGATATTAAGGAGCTGAGACCAACTATTCTTGTCGGTGTGCCCATGGTTTGGGAAACCGTCAAGAAGGGCATTCTCGGCAACGTCAATAAGAGTAGCGCGATCGTCAAGGGGCTTTTCTGGGGAGGTCTTGCCGCTAAGTCGTTCTTAATGTCCACAGGCCTTCCTGGAGCTGGCGTTCTGGACGCCATCGTCTTCAAGAAATTGAAGGAGGCTACCGGTGGTCGCCTCCGAATTATGCTCAGCGGTGGAGGCCCAATCTCCAAGGAAACGCAACGTTTCCTTTCCATGGCTATTTGTCCTATGATCAACGGATACGGTTTGACGGAAACCGCTGCTATGGGTGGGTTGAACGATCCTATGACATGGAACCCTGACGCAATTGGCGAAGTTCCTGCTTCGGTGGAAATGAAGCTAGTCGATTTTGCCGAAGCCGGTTACTTTACCAACAGCAACCCCCCGCAGGGTGAGATCTGGATTCGTGGAGGCAGTGTTGCTGAAGGTTACTTCGACAACGAGGAAGAGACAAAGGCCGCTTTCACGGATGACGGCTGGTTTATGACTGGAGATATCGGTGAGTTCGATAAATACGGCCACATTAAAGTTATCGACCGCAAGAAGAACCTTGTCAAGTCGTTGAATGGGGAATACATCGCCCTTGAGAAACTGGAGTCTATCTATCGTTCTGCGCATGTTGTTGCAAATATTTGCATCTATGCCGCTCCAGACCAGTCCAAGCCGGTCGCTATCATCGTTCCTGCGGAGCCTGCCCTTCACCAGTTGGCTCAGCAGAATGGAATCAAGGGAGATAGTATTGGCACATTGGTGCATGACTCTAAGCTCAACTCTATTATCCTGAGAGAAATGCAACAAGCCGGCAGAGCTGGTGGTCTTCGGCCGTTTGAGATAATCGAGGGCGTTGTGCTTTCTGATGAGGAATGGACTCCCCAGAACGTAAGTTTAGAAAATATCCGTTGTTGTTTGGAAACGTATTTGTTTTGTTGACTTGAAGTCTCTAGGGTTTCACCACTGCTGCCCAGAAGCTCCAACGCAAAAAGATCATCACCAAATTCCAAAAGGAAATCGACCGAGCTTACGGCAAATCTTAAGGACCAGGCGACCGAGTCCAACCTTTTGATTGATGTTGAATCTCCGAAGGCAGATCTTCCGATGCTCTTTACCCAAGCTGGTACCCTATGTCTTCAAATAGCGCCCTTGTTTGCTTTTCAGTTGAACGATATCTTGATTGCCAATAGTTAATACCTGGTTTCTTTTATTTTCTGATTTCTGTACCGCTTTTGGGCTGCGTTCTTCGTGAATTTCTGCTATCATGGCTTTACGAATAGCTGCGGTATTGTAAATTACGGCTATTGATACCTCGAGTCTCTATGTCAGAATGTTAGTGATTGGTATTTTTTTTGTTTTTCACATAATTGAGTGTGTAGTATGAAAGTCAAGAAGAAATGAATATAGCACACATCATCATGGATTCGTGAGTGCATTGGCAACAGGAATGACACAGAAAGATCATCGGTTCTATTCTAAGTCATGTTTCAACCGAATCCATGTCTAGTCTTCATTGGTATCTCTATGCTATGGTAGGAAAAAAAAAAATTGACATATAACTAGAAATATATGAAGAGGTGGGTATCCTTTTTCTGCTAGAAATGAGCTTTAAAATTCCAGCATATCCGGAGTAAACAACTTAGGAGTGAAAGAACTGTTCATAGTAGAATATGTCTGCTTGAGGACAACAATCATTTATACCGGCCGATATTCGGCCATATGCCTCATCCCATAGTGTTAATTAGAATTTCCAAACTCGCGCGTGCACGAATTTGGAGAGGCAGATCGCGCTCTCGCAGTGCTTCGAACCGCTGCGCACTTGATGTTGACTACCTTGCCATTTCACGGCCAAGGCAGGGTGCCATCGCGCAAGACAGTGCAGAGGCACGCTTTCGCTGGCCGTAACCCAGTCCCCGGGAAGGAAAGAATACTTGATTAATTGAATATGCAGGTGAATTCGGGGGCGGGCTTCATGGCAGTGGCAGGCTTATTCCTTGCATTTGCGCACCGCGTCCATATCCATAGATCTATATCCAAAAGGGCCAAGTGTATGGTGGCCTAAAAGCTGATTAGCAAGTGCATTTGGGATGTGACATGTTCCGGTAAAGGGATGCAGTGTATTCCTTCGTTGGTAGTTTTGATGCCGGCGTTCTTGGTATTTAAATCGATATCCTTAATCGCGAAAATCGGGTAACATCTTTCATGCTGACCTGATGGAGGTAGCAATGTGATCCCCAGCAGTATGAGAAGGGATTCGAAATCGGACATAAACCCCGTAACCTTCCGGAACAGTATGGTCAGCCGTCACCACTGTTTACTGAAACCAAGCAAATGATCGGGAAATGTCGGGGTGATTGGTCCATTTGGTACTCGACATTTCTGATGGGACTGTCGATTTCACGACGTATATGGAATTAAGATTGACAGAGTGCAACGCTGTAGGCGATGAATAGATTGTGGCCAGATGGTTGGAAGAAAAAAAAAAAAAACTTGCCAATGCCTCCATGACGACAAATTGCAAAGCCAAACTCTAGATCAGCCTGCCGGGTGATAGTGTCTTTGACTCATAGGTTGAAATTTTTCTGACCGAAAGCCTCCCCCAACGAATGACCGTCGCAGCCAGCTTTTCATCCTCACTCCACGCTATTCTGCTAACGAACGTAGAGGATGGAATCCTCTCAAGTTCGAATACGCTTGTGCGCCGAATCTCACAAATTACAGAAACACCATTCTTTGTCGCGAAACAATAAAGGTTCACTTGCAGATTGCGCTGAGAGCACCTCCACTTTGTCAGGCTCAGCATGGAGGGAAAGCTCATCCAGCATTTTAGCATCACCGTTATGATTGGGATCCTCTGAGTTATTGGCAAGACGGGCCAAGAAATCGGGTCCCCAGACAGTGCTGTAATTACCTCGTGCATCATAGAAGCGCTGGGAGTCTCTGCTGAAGGTGAGCTGAAAAACGGGGTCCCGCAAGAATAGCTGGTATACCAATTGTACTTTCCCAGCTTCCAGGACGAACACTTGCACGGTAGCCATATGTGAGGATCCGTGCTTCCCTGATATCCGGCTTAGAAGGTAGGAAGTTTAGAGGCCAAAAGAACTCGAGGTTTGCGGTTTTTGGACCATGTCATTCTACTACTCCCACCAATGCCATGTATAAAGAGTATCAGCCGTGCGCACTGCGGGTGGTTGGTATATTATAGTGATGCCCAAGGGGGTCCTTTTTTGGACATTCAGAGCCCTGGCATGCCCTGGACTCGGCACTTGAGTGGCTGTTAACCTGCTGGTCAATAGGATTGCCATTGATTTCTTGTGCACTGATGCCTGGTGATAAATGATGTGAAAGCGAAGTATCCACAGAGCTTGTGACGCTAAAAATCTTTTAGCCCGACATTAATTTGGAATGATCGCTTATTGGAGACTTTTGTAGGTTTTCGTAGGTGGAAGGTTGTCTTTTCCTGCAAAAGCAAAACCATTTCCATCGGGACAAGAGCCATGACCAGAGGAATGGAGACCATCTTCGGCTGGAGGAAAACTGTTTCCTGCGGGCAGAGAACTTTCTCTTGTGGGAAGAGCCACGCCTTACGGAAGACCAGAGTCGTCTGCTGGCGGAAAGCTGTCGCTGAGTCACCGCTGCCTTCTTGTTTCCTGCAGAAGGATGTTTGAATACAACACTACTCCGTAGTGATTAGCATTGATCCAAAAGCCAATGAAACATCATACTACTTACATAGAGTTCACCGCAAATCAAAATGCAAATCTATTGGCTAGAGCATCTGGATCCATCAATGAAGTTGCAATGTGTTGGTGCAATGCATCTCTTCATGAAAATCTGCATCTTGTTCTCCATACGGAGTACAGAGTCCAAGAAATTGTTGATTTAGGTTCACGCTGAGTAAGGGCCGAACCGCCGCCGCTGCTCCCGAGCAGAACTTTGCTACATTTAACCAAAAGGACAGTGTTTTACAAGACACTCGACCCCCCAAACCAATCCATCATCATGTCTCTCTGGAAGTAAGTAAGCCCAGGATCTGCATCCATATATCCCCCTCTTTTCCTAGTCGTTCTATCGCTCTGAACAGGGAGCCAACTTAACTGACCCCCGTTCCTCAGATCATACCGCAATCTCTCCCCGCGCACACGAATGATCTTAGGCCTGGGACTGATGGGGTACGCCGCGTTTGGGCTCTGGGCCGAGCCTCGTATGGAAAAAGCGCTAGGAATGGTACCCACGGAGGCGGAAAAGGAGGAGCTGGATAAGAACATTCGCGTTCGGATTCGAAGTGTGGAGAAATGAGAAGGGCACTTTCTCGAGCGATTGGAAAGGATCCCCTCGCTATGTTCTTGACGTGCCAGGATGAACTTGGGTTGGCGCTATGACAATGGTGATGATGACGATGAGGAGTTGTTAGGGGGTGAAGGGGGTTCCTGCGAGCGACAGGAAGTTCTGGAAGTGCCATTCTCCCCCTAGAGATAGGGCCACGAGTGGCAAGGATGCCCTAATATTGTTTCAAACTATGGCGAGTATCTTCAGTCGCATGCAAACTCGCAATGGCCCTTGGTTATCTGATTTGGAGCCCCTGGGTTGCAATAGTTGGTAAGTTCGTTGAAAACCCCGGAGCTAATCATTTTCAATCAAGGAACACAGTACATACAGTATAGAGATTCTTGCTAACATTATATTCAATTTACAAAGCAAAGTAGCACATATTCTTCTGCGGTCCTGGCAAAGTCCTAACAAATGAAACCGACTATTCCAGACACGTGTTTTGACTGCCTGCGTACCTGGGCGTTGAGGCATCTATCACACCCAGTGGACTTTGAAGGCAGAAGGTCATATGAGAGTATCTAATTCTACCCTAAAATGTTTAGATTTGCGATATGAAATCAGCTTTTGACCTAGCACTGTATCATTTCCTTGTGTCTGGCGGTATTTCGATAACAGCAAGAATGTATTTTATAGAGAAGCATTGACTATCTAGACAGTGTGCAGATGATCCTATTTTAGGTCCCTAAACAAACAAAAAAAAAAGGCACATAACAAAGCAAGTCTTTATAACCCTGGCCATTTTCAATCACCCAAGCCCCGAATTCATATCTTTTTCCATCCTTACCAAACCACCCCATTTCCAGAAAACAGAAAGGAAATACTCCTTAGACATGCGAGAATAATGGAAAAAAAAGAAGGGAAAAAAAATCGAGTACAAGGGTCCAGTATCGGACCCTGCCTCTCGATCAGCCGTTCGGACATTAAATTGTTCCCATCACCTGTTTTTGACAATTTTAAAATTACCGTGTTAACCATACAAAAGGAATCAAAAGAAATCATAGTAAAACAGTCCAACGACCCTGAAGAGAGGTGTAAAAAGGTAGGGAAACTTTGTCGACATCAAAGATCAAACATAGGAAACAAAACAAAAAGGCTGGCTAAAGGAAACTAGCGCTGTAAGCATAGTTGAGGATCATAGAGTTTCCCTCAGATCAAGCATAAAGTAAGGCGTCACTCATTCGCTTAAGAGGGGGTCAAAGGCCTAGGGGAAAATTGCGCATACTTGCAAGGAGCAGGCTCATAGGATTCATGGCATCAATAAGAACTGCGAATGCATAAGAGAGTTTCTAAGCGGGGTATCGCGTGTTCCTTAAAGTAACTCATATCACTCGTTAACAGAGGGGGAAACCAATTGATGGCCGAGGGCAAGAAATATTGAGTATTTTAAGAGGCCACTTCAGGATCCCTTTTTAGACAACATCGAATGTTTGACTCGGCGAGTAAAACGGTTCATAAAGTTAATCGTTAGCTGAATAAACGAAAGCTCCATAGGAGACGAGAGGATACGGGGCGATAGAACAGGAAATATTGCACCGGGGAATTCTTGACTACGTAATCGAACAGAAATGAAAAACCATTCCTTGAAACTCGAATTGAAAGAACATGAGCTGAAAACAAAGACATTCGTAGAACCTTGATGCTGCTTAAAAAAAGAATGAGTTCGTAACGTCTTGTCTCACATGGTATGGGAATGGGGATCATAGCGGCCATAAGCATGGTCCTCTGAGCGAGCAGGGTACGAAGCAAGTCTTCCGCCAGATGACGGCCGACTGACTTCCTGGTTCGCGTAACCGTTAGAGGCCTGACCTCCGATGTACCGGCTCGTTCCACCGTGGTCATTGTTTAACATTGGAATCATGTGGTCGAACGGTTCACCCAGAGACACGTCATTTTGGTCATGAGATTTGTTCGTGGCGTCATCGAATGATGGCAAAGGGCAACGAACATTTAACGATTCGACTCTCCGAGTTGCCGCGGGCGCAGACGCGAACGCTGGTTGTCCGTATCCATCGATCGAGGTACCGGTTGTCATGGACTGCATCGAGTTAAGGGGGTCGTTCAACAGCGTATAATCATACCCTCCTGGGGATGAGGAGGACGAGGACACAAGGGAGCTTGCAGTCAATGGGGACTGGTCTGTAGATGGCATGCGGCGATAATCGTACTGGGAGCCGTTGCGTTGGATGGGGTCATAAGAAAGGGATGAAATATGGGACCGTGATGGTTGCTGTGGCGGTGGGTTCAATCCTGCGGGTATTCCTAAGTGGCCCATGGTTGAGCTTCCGGTCTCGCCTTCAACAGTTGCCATACGGCCACTGCCAGGCTGCTTTGCATCTTTATAATGACCGGGAGACCTTCCGCGGACGACAACAGGGTGAGAAAGTTTTCTCGCAAGCATGACCCGTTCGGTTCCATTGCCAAGCGGGTCAGAAACGTCCGCCCAAAGTTCGGCGACAAGGTTATAAAATTGTTGCTGGGCACGTCGTTTTCCGTTATTCGCCGTGGCTTTTTGAAATTGAATCCGCTCCCAAGTATGGGAGGTTGGAATTTGAGACGACTGTTGCGCGGCTCCATAAGAGGAACCATAGTCCATTTGCATGCCAGCAGATTGAGACGGCGGCAGTCCAAAGTTTAAGTGAGTATTGTTAGCTCCGTGGTTAAGGAGAAGCGATGGGGGGGGCTGCGGCTGAATAATGGCACGCCTGGGCTTGCTTTCGGACTGTTTATCGCGTTTGGGCGTGTGCTGTATTAATTCCCGGGTTTCCTTTTCCTGTCCATTCACAAATGCAGATATTTTCATGCCGAATTCCAGGACTTTCTCTGGTGAGCGGCCAGGGCGTTGGATGAGGTATGTAGTACATACTGACCAAGGCCTCAGGGCAAAGGACACAGACACCGAAAAGTAGTTTCTGCGATAGCATGTCCAATATCCTCCTGCAATAAAGAACCCTTTATGGATTCTGGCCTGAATTTCGGGTTTCACAGCTTGGCCGTTGGCCATAACATTGTAATAAACCTCTGTCTCATGCCACGGGGGTGAATCTGAATTCGACAAAGTCAATCGAGGGGAAGAATCTATGAACAGATTTCCTGACGTTCCGTATACCCCATTTGTGGTATTGCTCATCGATATGTCGTTTGACCTTGTAGGGTATTGGTGATACCTCGTGGTGTCACTGTATGAGCTGCCTGTTTGCGCTACCGAGAGTCCATTTCTGGACATCCCATACATCGAATAGCTGTCTCCTCGGCTGATCATACTACCTGAAGAAGGAAGCATAGTGCCTGGCGACTGCATCGTATGTGGCATTCCCGAAGGTGGCTGCCTAGATAAACGAGTCAGCTAGTAACCAAAATAAAATCATATACACACAAAACGGGATGGAGAAGACGCACAGCGGTGGCATCCGTGAGTACCGATAGTCCACCATTTTCGCAGTCGAGGGCACGATAGGGGGGTGCGGCCTTGATGGGAATGTATCTGACGAGTCACTTTCGACTGAGACCAAAGGGCTCACGTTGCTGCTAGGTAGAGACGCAAAGGAAAATGCTGTATGTTGAGATTGTGCACTATCTGGTGATGATCCAGCGGAGGATACTATCAAGTTCTTGACTTCCCCAGCAACACAGAAGCTAAGGTTATGGCAGTCAGCAGCAGCACCATACATCTCAGGGTGTATGTGGTGATGATAGAAGATTCTGAGGGTATGCACAAGTGAAAACAGGAGATGTAGAAATGCAAGCCAAATTGTGAACCAGACAGAACAGAACGTAAGATGCCGAGATAAAGTGATGACCAGGCAGAGATTATTCTCAGCTTAGCGCACAAGAGGACAAAAAAGCTGGTGTGCGCTTTTGATAGCTGAGGAACACGTAAATGGAGGACAGAAGCAAAAGAAAAACAAGAGCACCAGGACAACAAATGATTCAGCGAATAGATGATGCGATATAGTTCAGTCATTTTGGCTCGGCGGCAAACTGGATAACCAGAAAGAGTAGCCTATTTCATAGGTCTAAATGATAGCAGGATTGTGATGCTCTGGCATGTTGAACAAGATGACAAGTGGTATGCAAAATGAAGGAACTGGAGCAGGAAAAAAAAAGGGATCTAAGTGCTATGTCTCAGAGTATTTCAGGATATTGCTAACTTGAAGAGTTGCACACTTACAGCGCATCCTGAACCTCAGATTGTGGCGAAGTGGATCTCGAACCGTTGGACACCGAGTCCGATGGGATCACCTGATAACCAAATATGCCGGTTCTGCCGTAGTTCTCTTTAGTGTCTTCGGAAACTGCAGAGCTTTTATGGGATAGGGATCGAGATGATTCGTAGAGTCGGTTTTCGGAGGGTGTCGTGGATTCAAAATGGATGGACCTGTGTAGGAGCGCTGCGAATGCCCACTCAACATCAGGATTGTAGTCGATATTTAGATACCGGAAGCCGGCATGTTATTAAAAGGAGGGCTCCAAGCTTGAAAAAATATATATATATAGAAATTCAGAGGAAGACTTTTCTTAAACGCAGAATGCAGACACAGATGCGATCATGACGCGGGATGCCACACCTCTGGGGATAAGAACGGGAAGACGCAAGGAATAGAGAAAGTATTGCTAGATTAACGTGGCTGAGGAAAAAGAGGTATTGGTAGAACGGGGAAAGATAAAAAGACCAAAAGTCGACGTTAAAATCCTCGGAAATCGTGGATGATCTCCCGCTGATAGCGGGATTAATCCGTTATTTCGATTCTAAAGTCGTACCAGATGGAAACAAGCTTACTAGAAGTCATTTGTCAAGTTCTAACAACTTGTGAAGGATCCGAAGCGGGTTGCGCTCGATTGGGTGTCTTGATATTGGGAATAGCTCAAGAAAGTGAAGGAAATGAGAGATGCCTCGATCCACGTTATGATACCTCAACCGGCGATGTGTCTGCGAAGTCGGGTCAAGGTGGCAGTCCCAGAACCAAATGATTGGGTAGTCTCCAAAGACTAGGGATTCATAATTCCTTTCCGGTTGGTGATTCAGATTGAGCCGATTCTGAGAAAAGTGCTGCAAGACAGTGTCAGTATGGATCTGTGGCCTTCAAGAAAAAAGGGCAAAGTATAGGGGCAAGTCCGCCATATGATGCCACTGCAAACCTTGCCGTGGATCCTAGGAATGCAATATTACCAACCAAGGGGGTCATAAGGTAAAAGAACACTGGCTAGACGACCACGAATACGGCTAATCAAAGCAGTGGGGATAACCGATGACCTTTCATACATACTTGGCATATGATGGCTGCGTGCTCAAAGGGTAGCAACGTTAGACTTTGGTCGCAGCCAATTCGCAAAAAAAAGAGGGTTCGGCGGAACAGAACCGGGATCGAAACGACGTGGGGTATGGTTGAGATGGTAAGGAGGGAGGGATATAGTAGGCGGCTGCACAATGACTTGGCCTAGGAATGTGTAACGGTCCCGGTTGGCTCAATCCAAAGGTTTATTCTCAGCCCCAGGTTTGGCTTGAGTAGAAGCAATTACCGGCAACGAATAAGCTAGGTGGATCTCCGTAGGCGATCGACGACTAAGCAGATAGCCCTTGTCAGGTGCGCGATCAAAAGGAAAATACCACTCGAATACAACACCAACAAAACAATGAATTTCCGGGAAACAAAAAGAGACAAATCACCAAGTGGGAGAAGGACGGAAAAGCCGGAGAGTGAAAAGGGTAATAAAGCGCAATGGACACACATTTAGAAGCAGCGATATGAGCAAGAAGGCGCACAAGGATAGGATGCGAAAGACACTAGAAAACAATGCTAGGTGTAAAAGATCTCGAACCAGCTTGCCGTTTCACTTACCAGTTAGATTTGGTTGGCTTTCAAGAGGAAAATGATGGGTAGTGGGTTGTCAAATAAATGGTATAGGGAGGGCCTTTAAAAGCAATTTGCCGAATGACCAACTCAAAACGGGATGGTATCTTGTGAGAAACGCACGATAATTATCTCGCAGCTGGCCGAAGCCGGCGTAGGAAAATCAGTGGTAGTTATCAAGCTTTCTGTGAGCAAAACTTGTTGTTTGTAGAGCAGCCCCGAGATATATCTAGGAAGCAAAATGGCCCTGCTGTTATCAGGCTCTAATAAGGTTCTTTCTCTCCTCCTTTTTGAGACCACTTTGCTTTTTCCCGTCAAAATTTTAGCCAATAGCCACGGCCAACAAGAAACCTAAGAGAAGTAATGACATAAGAGCGTAAATCCGTTCTTTCATGGGGTCTACATATAATTCCGCACTCCGTACGAAATTTGTAGAAGTATGGTAAGGGGCGTGGAGTTATCGGGACTGGGGGCTAAGCATACGGTAAGGAGACGAAGCTCCGAACCCCAGGTCAAGATCGGAGATGGCTTATCCAATCCGATCGAATAAGGGGGATGCTAGTGGCCTCAAGACATCCATATCAGTGGCTCCTCGTATTTTAACCGGTGCCAGGCGCCAGGAAAGCTGCCGAGCGGAGAATGTGAAGGTCGAAACGCAGCAAGGGACGAAGCAGATTATACCTTCAGCAAGCATATTATGGGTGATGATCCTGGATCCACCTATCGAATCGCTGCAGGTAACCACCTTAAGCCCCCGCTGGTCGGTCCATTATAGGTTGTTCTGCCGAATTCGAGAAGACTTGTTAACTGCATTCGCAAAGTGCGGAGCGTCGAAGTTGCGGATGTTGGGGAAGAGATTAATTCCCTAAAGGCCACAGCGCTCAATAATACTTTGCATTCCTGTAAGGAGGAATCGCGGTAAGTTTGCAGTTGTCAACGATGCAAGGTTGGTTAGCTCCGCCTTTTTATTTGCCCCATGCCAATGACAAGCTCGTAGAAGACCTGGAAGATGTACGGAGTACTCCGTACTTCCTTTCACTCTCACACCATACGTATGTATACAGGATTCAAGCTTTAAAGGGCATAATAGCAAAACATACATACCCGAGTCAGTACATACCTCCCAGTGCAAAATAGGTTAGTCATAACGCGGAAACGAAAGAGTTGCCAACCCACGGACATATGAGTACGATTGAATCCGCGACCGTTCGATCCGGCGAGTCGCGACCAGCCAACACTTGGCGACCAATTGCGACCAACGCGACCATGAGATGGTCTGAGTCCGATCCGGAGTAGTCCATCTATGCACATCGAAAATGATCTCCCACAGGGCAGAACTAAGCTGGCTTGGCGGGAGGGATTCCAATCTTCATCGGCGGGAGAATTAGAACACACACTGTCCATACTAAGTGCACGGAAATCAGGCGATCAACGGAGAGAAACAGCAACATCGATTGGTGGATGATCCCAGCCACAATGCGACTGCATTTTATGAGTTTCAGTAGTGCAGATGATCGACCAGTAGCAGAGAATCCTGTTTTTTTTGGAATCCCAGCAGAAAGCTTGAGCGTCCTGGTCACTTATAATAGTTTATTTTTCCAGGGTTTGCAGTAAGCTCCGGTTCTTCCATGCTCTGTATGGAGGAGACAGAGGTGCTTTTATTTTCTTTTTCTCTTTCGGTTTCCTTTTCGCCTCTTCTCGACGTGCCAGAAAATAAGATTTGATGAGAAATGACCCGCACCTGCAGCACAAGAGAAGGGAAAAAAAAAAAAAAAAAAAAAAAAAAAAAGGAAATATTGAAAGCAAATTGTTTCTTGTATCCCTCGCACTTGGATGGAAGATCATCACATGGCAAAGAACGACAATTAGCCATGTGCCGAGCAGCAGATCAAAGGGACCAATACCAAAAGAATTATTCATTGATAACCTCCATCTCCCCATTAAGCCAGCTGCTAGACATGGGTATGGGGTGGCAGGGCCGCAATATTCTGCGATACCCATCAATGTGTCGAAACAAAGCCAGGTCGCAGTACCCTGGTAGGTGACTTAGCTATTGTTTAGACTGAGGAAATTTCGCCCCAGGATCCCGGATATCCGTCATTAGCAGAGAGCGAGGGCAAGGCCGCGCGGGAATTGGCCAAGATAGACTACTACTAAAAGCGGAAGCCTGAGCTGCTATGGGCAATGTCTTGCATACTACCCTGACGACATGGTTGTACAAGCACGCTCTGCCAACAGGCACTGGGATTAGACAGGTAGTTAATAACGGTCACCGTTTCGACTCTGGCCTGGACATCAGGTCCCGCCTACATCCTCTTACCCACAGTGCGGATGGAGGCAGATAGTTATTTCCACTGTAATCATGTCTCGAAATAAACTTTCATAGACGCAGCTAGAGGAAATAATTCCGGTCAGATCTCTCAGGCATTGCGGCATGGTTGGAGCAGTGACCAGGATGGAGACTGACCGTGACAAAGACACCCAAGTTACCGGGGGAGAACAAAGTAACCGACTGCCCTCTCGTCAAGCGAACGGTCCGCTGATTAGCAGTTAACTCGTTATGTCTCCTACATCGTTCCTATCATTCTTGTTTATGATGGAAACTGAGGCGATGATCAACTCTCCCCAGTGGCAGCACCCGCCAACCCCAACCACACAAAAGACAGGAATGGACGACGTCCTCAGGCCGCGAAGGCGTGACGTTCCTCTGGCTGCCGCCCAGCCCAAACCCGATCGGGGAAAGCCTGGCTCAGTCCAAACATTCCCAGCCCCAACTCGCCCAACTCGCCGCAGGGTGGCTCGTGCACGGGGCTTGCCGATCGCTTGGCAACCTTCCGACGACGACCGCCATCACCGACCGCCAAATCTCATCTCCCGCCCGCCCACCGCTTCGAGTCTTCCCGACTGCTCTCGCTCCTCCACGACGCTGCCAGGTGCCTCTGGTCGATTTCGGTATATGAGATATGTAGAGACATATTGCACCTTAGGTTTCAGGTTTGAATTTCTGCGTCGATCAATGCACCCCTATTGGCAATGTCACAACCATGATTCCATTCCAGTCCGACGGCTCACCTCATTTACTCTTTGGAAGCTGCAAAACTCTATTCTATCCGCGTTCTCGGAGTTGCGTTGGAATGGGGGAAATGTCCGTCTAGAACATCCAGTCAGACGCTCCAGTCTCTGCCCAGCTTCTTCCAACTTCGACAATATGATGTCCCCGGATTGGCTCGTTTTCCCAAGCCGACGAGCCGCGAAGTCCAGGTCATTCCCGACTCCAAACACCGGCCGGCTGTGATCTTGATTAGTCTTCTTCATACTACTCCATACTCTGTCCCTCCGGATATTGTTGGGCACGCTATGAAAAAGGTCCAAATCGTCTCCCCAACAAAGCGGCACGGCCACGGGGCAGCCAGACACTCCTGCATTATCGGAGTATCATCAAAACATTTCTCTGGTATGGCACTAATCGCATTTACAGTCCTTCTCGCCCGCATTACCTGGGGTAGCCACTGTCGCAGTCACTCGATTGAGACAGGATATTGCCAAGTTTAGTCATAGTTCCGACTGCGTCCATCCGAACGCTCAACGATAACTTGAGCAATCCCAGAGAATTGCCCTATCATAGGTGTCTTTCTAGCTTCTCCGTATGGAGACGATAAAACGATATGATTCGTATGCCCTGCAAGAAACTTGCATCTTGCGTAACAAAACTTGGATTCCCTCTAGGCCAACTTGCAAGAGGCCATTAATAATTTCTGCTCCGCCATGGTTTGAACACACCTATTCGGTTCAAGGTAAAAGGCCCTATTGATTTAGTTTCACTTACAAGCAGACTGGCTGCGAGCCTACTGCATCGCCACAAACGGCAGCAGACCTCTCTTTGTTTTAGGAGACTTTTGATCAACTTCGACAAATGGTATTTCGTCCCATGCATCCCAATCGGCTTCAGATGGTTTTGAAAAATGTGACTATTTAATTTACGTTAGCCTCAGCCTCACCTATGAGCACTGAATGTGCGTCACATTGACAAACCCGGTACGCAGGATACACGGACCTCCGGAGGCCCAAATCAAGCTACTCATTACTTGCTCTGCTTAGATCCTCGCTGATTTGTGTGTGGACTCCTGTTCTATTGAAGAATAGCCAATTTGCTATGATTAGCAATGATTGCAACGTTGCCTGTTGGCAGGCGATTCGCCCCTTTTTGTATCACATTTGCAAGGATGAAGCCAGATATCTTCACGCTGTTTGGTTTGGTACAATTCGTGGCCTATTTTCCAGTCCAACATACCTGATTGGAAGTGGTAAGAATCTCATATCATCGTTTGGGTTTGGGAGTTGGAGGACCAAGGGCTTGTTTTGCTATTACAGGTTGCCATTATTATACAGTTTTTCCAAGTATCTTCAACCATCGATATCTTGGCCTGCCGGCATTAGCCTTCCCTCCGGCAATGTCAAGTCTCCTACTTTGGACTGAGAGGTATACTGCGCGCTGGCCAACAGTTCCGCGTCGTGAAGATTGTGCAGCGGTTGGCATTGAGTGAGTGATGTTTTCTGCCATTTCTATGAGATTACATGAGGTTATAGCCATTCTGAGTGGTATATTCTACTTTAGTCCTCTTCTCCAGCGCATCTTTGTTTACGATCAGCTGAATACCGGTACTATGCCGAGGCACTTCTATCGTCTATTTCGTTAAAGTCCTTGCAAGGACTTCTTCTAATAATAATTGTTGTCGCACAATGTTGTCCGACTCATTTGCATTGCTGCGGCTTGATAATTGGGGTTTCATTCCGCGGCCTCTATGCCAGAATCATATACCCTTTTTTTTCGGCCATTTTCCAGTCACATGCTCATTCTATCCAAGGATGCATAGCGGTTCGGCTGCATGAATTCTAGGCCTGCATCTCCAAGCTGGACGCGGCCTATAATCCTGTCGCCTTCCTCGTAATCTCCGCGTGACTGCTACTCAAAGAAACCACCACACAGGAGGGTAGGGCGTTTAGCCTTATAATGTGATCTTTTTTGTTACCTCGTATTTTTCTTTTTGAGCTTATAGTTGAAGATTCTCTCTTTAGGCCTGTATGAATAAAAGGACAGACGAGGCTGAAAGGACTTAAACACAAGGAAAAAAATATTCCAGAACCTCAAGAGGTCCGGCATCTGTTGCTCATGTACCACGGTCATTTAGGGTTGGGCGACCATATCTCGGATGATACCAGCCACGAAACTGTTTCTTCAACACAAGCAGGTACGCCTTTATCAGAGTCTCTTGAGAAGAACGATGATGTCAGATGGAGATTTGAGCTTCATCAGGATTGATCTTCGCTCTGAGCTCCCGGATTCGGCGTAGCCGACTATCATGGAAGAGCGAAGGGTTATGAAAGGCCGGTTATTGTCTCACTGCGCCCGTTTGGAGAAAACGTGGACAGATCAGCGTCCGAATGAAAGATGCCATGGTGTGCACCGAACCGCTCATTGTGGTGATAGGCGGCATGCAAAGGAAGTCGGAATTTCCGGCTGTGGGGTACAAATTTGGTACGCTGACGAAGAGTGTGTAACCCATTGGTTCCTTTTGTCCTGATGATAAGCCTACATCCCCTTCTTGGTTCACATATTAGCAAGCGCGGATTAACCAGTGAAGTGGATTCAAATTGTCACATAATGCTCCGATCCGAGACCATGTGTAACACAACTGGCTAACATGAATGGGTATAGGATGTCTATACAATCTTAATAGAGTTGATATATATGCGTTTTCGCTTTTGTCAGTCGGTTTTCAAAGGGTTTGCTTGTTTGACCCTCACCCCCTCTCTTGCCGGCTGGCCCCTTTCCATGTGGGCTACAACCGCCAGCACTTTTCTCGCTGCGTTTACGGATTTTGCCCCCCGAATTATCGAATCTTTATTCTTGGGAGTCCTTGCTTCATCTCCCCCCCCGGGGCTCCGGCTCCAGTTTCTCATATCCTGGGCTTTTCTTTTCTTTTCTTTTCTTTTCTTTTTCCTTTTGCCCACCGCCACCCTAACGCAGGCCTTCACAGTGGGAACGTTTGCGACAAAACCTAGGCGCTCGTCCTATGGCCCCCCTACCCTTGCTGATAAGTTTGCATCCCATGTACCTGCCCTTGTGCTCTGTAACTATCGATTGCTGTTTGCATGCCTCGGTTCTACGTTACGGACACACCCGCCTCCATACCCACGTACTCCGCAACTATTCTGCCAAGCGCTTGCAAGGCGCTCCCGTTAGGTAGGCAGGTTTGTCGGGGTAGGCCGAGTCCGAAGGTCCGCAGGTAATCAGATTCTTCTGTAAGGGATGGATGTGGATCTTGCAGATGGAAGACGGAGCGGAGATGGAGGTTATTTCGCCTACTAAGGTCCTATTAGGCTGGGATCTGTGGTGGAGTGAGTCAAGAAAAAGGGTAATATCCGCAAGTTTCTGGTTATTTCGAAGAGAGATCAGAAGATTTCCTTTTTATTTCCTTCTTTTTCTTGACCAGCTACTATAGTGAACGATCGTAAAACGATCTTGGATTCGTTGCAAGATGAGAGCATCAAATTAAGTAGCATCTCGTAGTAGCATCCTCCGAGTAAAAGACAAAGCCACAGCCAACGGCGACTCCCGGCAGTTAATAACTGAGGAGCTGCCGTGAGAGCATGAGAGGAGAAAGTTTCCCTTTTTCCTTGCGTTGACTGAGTAGTACCCTCTAAGTCAATCAGGATCCGGTCTGACCTCCTGGTGGTTGCATCCGTTTCCGGAGAGATGGGGTTAGTATTATCATTGTCTTTCAGTCTAGGAGTCGATGTGAAGCAAACACCCTCTTCCAAGGGTGAGCGTCGGCTTTCTAGCCTTGCCGTTCGCATCCTGATGTCCGGTTTCGGGTCGCAAATCCGCGGGGCCGGATAGGGAATGGATCAGAGCCAGAGCTAGAGCCGGGGGACCGCAGCCTTTCTTTTGGGGGGGCGGCGGTGAAGCGCCCCTACGTGGAGCGTTTTGAAAATGCACAAGATCCTAAGAAAAGTAAAACTGCAGATTCTGTCCCTCGCACCGCAGACGGAAGGGAGGATGAGCGCGGAATTTAGGACCTGACAAGGCAGACTGAGTGAATCCCCCCCGTGGAGGTCGATAGAGGAAAACGTCCGATTGAATCGACGGTCGGCATGCGGGAAGACGAGGCGCAACAAGACCGCGTGCTGCCTAACTGACTCGTTAAACGCCTGTTCTGCATACGTACACATGTCATCTCTCGCTTGCCTGTCGCCTTTCCATTTCGATCCTTCATTTGGATCCGGGCTGCTCATGTTGGCATTGAAGCCGACCGTCTCTTCACTCCATAACCAACGCGAACGGGCCTTTTGCCGGAATAGCAGAAGGTTAGTAAAGAGTTCACTGGCGGAGATGCATACTCTGCCACCCTATACATGCATGACATGGATCAAATGGCCTTTGTCAAACTTTCCCCGGTAAACCGGCAAATTTTTGAAGATGATCGCCCGAACCGTAATCCAGTAACGAAGAGCTGGGAATCCAGAATCCCAACTCAAAGCGAATTTCTTGGTAATACATCACTAGCCAAATAACGCAGTGAGCCGGTGGACGATGAAGACGAGGCGCGGATATCCAAGTTGTAAACTTAATTAGTTTTAACCCGTGCATCAAACCCGTTCCGCATCAATCAAAAGGGAATGTCACAAACTCCTTGCTTGACAAGCCCCCAGTTCAAAAGAAATACGGCTTTTGTCTCATAGCTGTGAGCAATGATTCCTTGGACGGCCGTTAGGTCGTGATACGATCGCAGATTCCTTGGGCTGGTTTGAGGAGGATCTTCGTACGCCGGTTGGATGTCAAAGCACAATGATTATGGAGGGGCTAAATCACATAGAAATTTTCTATTTAGCAGTCATCATTATCGACAATTTCTGGCCATAAGCATGAGAACAAATTTTGGTGAGCTGAAAAACAGGCGCCAGCTAAGTAAGCTAGTTTAGGAAGAATAATGGGAAACACAGAGGTAGACGAAGACCCGTTAAGAGACGTAAATAGGCTAAAATCATTAAGAACAATCATGTCGTCTTCTTTGCGAACTCGACTCGGAGAATTAAATGTCGATAGCCAACTACGCATCGTTAGCATAAACTTCGAGCATGAAAGATATCAATGTTGAACTTACAGCCGTCCATCTTTTCGCAAGCTCGAGCAGCATCCGCTCTATCAGCAAAACTGATAAAGGCAAAGCCCTTAGCCATATTGGTTTCTTTATCCTTGGCAAGGAAAACTCTTGTAACATGGCCGAATCTGCCAAACATATCACGAAGCTCTCCTTCTTCAGCGAGTTCGCTGACCTATATCAAGAAGTTAGCACCAGGTCACCATATTTTCCAGTGTTGTCGTATGAGGCCACACTCACATTTGTGACACGCAGTGTCGCCAGCTCATCCCTCTCATATCTACCGGCCATCTTCTCTCCACCAGAACCACCCTTTCTAAGCGCAGGAGGGACATAAGCGGTCGCACCACTGCCCAAAGCGCCCGCGGGCCGTTCTTCATCTTCATTATCGCCACCAGTCGGACCAGTAGGCTCATCAACTGGCGCCATGGTATCCTTGAAGGGACATCTGGCCGTGAAATGCTCTCCACTACAAATACGACATTTCACCTTCTTATCCTTGAGCTGATCCTTCAAACCGCCCTTCTCGCCACCAGCCTTCTCCACCTCCTTAGCCTGAGCTTTCCAGTTCACCGAGGGCCTGAATATAATATTCTCTCCCACCGATGTGGTGTCGAGGGACGGACCAGGAGCATGGTCCTTCTCGAGGCCGAACTTCGCCCACGCTTTGCGCTCCGCGACGCGAGGATTTACGTGCTCTTTGACCACGGTTGTGCGAATCCGCCGGGTAGTCTTGACCTTCTTGCCATCATCATTGAATCTGTACGTTATCACAGTTTTCGTACCATCTTTGTTGGAAATAACCTGCTGTGGGGGAAGGGAGGCGGCTTCGTCGAACTCTTCGTCGTCGGCCCAATCGCCAGCGCTGCTATCACACAGTTGTTATTAGCAAAATTCAAGAGATCAAATGCGGAAAAACCTTACTTTGCTAACCGGGACATTTTCAGCACGTTCTAGGGGTTTTGTTCTTTGAGTGTAAAGCTGTGAGAAATTAACGATCGATGATCGAATTATCGCATTTCGGTGTGCAGTCAGATAATCTCGATTCGGTTTAGCACCGGAACCCCCGTCGGTCCGTTTAAGCTTTTTTCTGCCGCTCACACCTCGATGCTAACCGTATTTGGATCAAACAGCCCTAATTTGTATAGCTGGGCATTGACGACTCATTCCTCTCATTCAACTCTGACAACACCTCATAACACATGCTTGCTGGGGATACGAAAGATAGCAAACCGTAATCCTTTGGTACGGTAAAAAATTGAGTTGTCTCCGGCGGCCAAAGAGATGTTGGGGGCTTCCTACTTAACAGCAAGTTATCTCTGTAAGGGGTAACCGAATTGTTTCTTTTTTCTTTTCTTTTCTTTTTTTTGGGAGAAACCCGCCAAGCTCCCTCACACAAACATATCTTCCTCTGGGATCATTCTAGCCACTTACACAGCTACTGATAGCCAGATTGTGATCGCCATTGTTCTAGCTCCTTCATTAAACTATGGCTGGGCTTGTTTAAATGATACCATAAAGAAGTGGATTTGCACTGAGGTCTGGTACCTGGTACTCGCCCATGCATTTTCAATAGTGTATCAAAGTTCCAACGAAGTTGCAACACCTCTCTCCTTGCTATGCTGAAAATCCCTGCACTCGAAATCCCTGAGTTCAAGGGAATTGCGCGGCGGATGCTCTCTCATAACCTGTTGTTCAGACAACGCTCTTTAGGCTTGCGCTTGCAAGTACTGCTATATGGCCAATGGTCAAAGCTACGCGTGTGAGCTACGCTCCTCCACCGCCGACTCTAAGGTCATTGTTTCCTTTAATGCAGACATTAGACAACGATATTATATTGAATGATAGGATTCAATATTGGCCCGAAAAGGGCTGGATGGTGTCCGGACGTTCCGATATCCTGTTCTGATATGTGGCCAGCCAGTATGATGGCTGGCAGGAGTGGATGCAAGCACCTACGGGTACTTTGAGACTCCTCATTTTAAATATTATAAGGCCCTCGACTCCTCTTGTGGCGGAAAAACGGGTCATTTCAGGTTTATGTGAACGCAAATGTTGCGTACATTTCGTCGAAGCGTGCAACTCACTTGCAAAGCTCCTAGCTAGACCTGCCCCATGGTTTGTCAACGCGAATATAGCGAAAGAACGCCGTTCGCTACGGTTTCTTAGGAGATTTAGATCCTACAATCTTCCCATGCTCGTCATGATATGCCGCTCAACTTCAAATCTCAGTGTTCTTCGCCAAAGGTGACATTGGCTGCTTCAAAATCAGGAGAACGGCATGCTGCTCTACTAGCTCGAATAGGAATCCTGAGCTCATTGGATGGCGGCGCGGGTGTACAGCGATGCGGTCAATATTTCCATGCGTCGCATTTCGAATTGAAAAAGCGAAAGAAGTTACTCAGGGAAATCAAATTAGTTTCTGAACAGCGGTCTGAAGACCGAATAATGTTTTACCCGACCTAAAAAAAGGTTTCGCAGCCTCAATACGTCGTTTGAACACGCTTTGAGTTATCGAAACGGGAGTATCTTCGATATTCAATTCTTTGATAATATTTGTTGCCTTGACGTTTCCCTGATGCAGAGTTCCGTGCGGTCGTATCGCCGCTTTCCTCAGACAATTCCCTTGACGGTTTCAATTTTTGTCTCCTTCACCATGATCGCCTCTTGCCTGCCCATGAGTCACTCCGTTCTTAGTTATCAAGTAGTGGTCCCGCTTGGTCTTACATATTCTGGATCTGGCCTTTGCTTCTTGTTTCTATCTCTATCTCGATGAAGTCTACTTTGCTCAAGACTAACTACAAATCTGAGGATGGCCACCAGTTTCTGCAATGAGGGAGGAGGCGTAGGGTATCGTCTATTTCTTAGGAGCGATATGGGGGTCTCCTATCACACAAAATCATCTATACTTTTAGGTTGTTCAAAATGTCATCAAGGAATGCAAATTCTCTGCTATCAGTCAAAGGCATCAGGACATCCACTTTGCATGCTAGTGTGATAGTTTATGAGCCTATCTTTATCTCCCATTGCTCACATATGGATGAGTCGATGGAGCTTTTATTGAGGCTTGCTTGGGTGTTTTCATAACCGCTTGTGCATTTGTGAAGCAAAATACTCAGTATAATGCCGGGAGATATTAGGGAGTCTAGGCCACTAAGGTCCACAGCTTGACATCCGGCTTGGCCGAGGACCCCAAGAACCTCAGTGCACCTCCTCCTTTGCACTGCCGGATACGGCCCTTGTTAACTATGAGTGGCTCGATTTTTAGGATGAGGAATAGAGGAGCTCAAGCCCCCCTAGTTATGTGCCCTGGTGTTTTTCGGCGGGAAACGCGACAAAAGGTCCATATGCTGGTGTCCTTAAATGCAGATAGCATTGATAGGAAGGTGTTGAGAATCATAGAATAGCTAAGATTTCCATGTACGTAGATAAGAAGAGGTCATGATATATACAAATCCGTTCCCAGTACTCCAAATAGACATCTCTTAATTGCCTTGATGAGGAGTCAAAAGAAATATGCAAAGTCAACAAAATTTAATATGCATTTACAGCTTGGATATCATGCCGTTGCCCTTCTTAAGCCAAGCAACGGCATCACTAACGAGCTCATCCACAATAGCTTTAGCAGGCTTCTTCTCGTTGACAACGGCAGCAGCCTTACCCATCAGGTGTGGGCGGGCATTATCAAGGGTATCATCATCAACATCATCACCGAGGTTCTCGAAATCATGCTCAACAGGGATAACACCCTTGCTTGTGAGCTCCTTGATCTCCTGGGCGCGGTTCTCCTCCCAGTTCTGGATGTATGGGTTCATGCGCACACGCATAGGTCGTCCCTGAAGATTTCCCGTCAGCAAAACAAATTCCTTGCAACTAGAGCAGCCGGGGAGGCCTTACAGTGAAGATAATAGTTCGGACATTGTCATCAAAGCCAGCGGTTCTAACGGCTTCTTGGTGTGCTTTAGGAGCACCGGCTTCGTCGGAGAGGACGAATCGGGTACCAACCCAGACACCGGAAGCACCAAGCATCAAAGCGGACGCAACGGACTGGCCGCTGAAGATACCACCGGCAGCAACAACCTGGACTGGCTGGCCGGTCAATGGACTCTTGTGGGCCTTGACGAGCTGGGCAACAGTTGGAATGAGAATGGAGGTGGGAGTATCTCCAGTGTGGCCACCACCCTCACCACCTTGGGCGCAAATAATATCAACACCAACGTCCAAGCACTTCTGCACATGCTTTGGGTGACCGATCATGTTCATGTAGAGGATTCCAGCCTTGTGGAGGCGCTCGACAACGTGCTTTGGAGGAACTCCAACAGCGGAAACGAAAAGCTTAGCACCGCTGTCGATGATGATAGAGACGAGCTCGTCGAGTTTTCCCTTGGTATAATCGTAACTAGCTCCAGTCAGTTCCTTCTCCATCTTTGTATTTCATGACGCTCTCGTATCCTGAAACTTACTTGGTCTTACGAGCGTTGCCTCCAACCTGGGGGAGCAGGAGATCGACACCGAAAGGCGCATTCTTATCATTCAGAAAGCTCTTCAACTCTTGTATTTGGTCCTTGAGCATCTCTGGAGTATAACCAACACCGCCGATGACACCCATGCCACCTGCATTGGTGACGGCTGCGGCAAGCTTAGGGCCGGCAGCAACGTTCATACCAGCCAAAAGGACTGGGTGGTTGATCTTAAGTAGATCGGTGAGAGGAGTGCGAAGTTGCTCTAGAGAAATTTTTTCAACCGTTAGCAGGTGACGATCTACAAGATGCAGCGAGCATAGGAACGGGTATTGTACCGGGCGATTTTTCGGGAAGACTTACGAGGAGAGGCCATTTTATTTGGACGTGTGCTTTGTACTTCTCGGAGGGAGTGTGAATATTACAGATCGCAGCGATATAACGATGGATGTTAGATGGAAGTTAAAGGGAGGGACAGAAATCTCTGGGAAGGCCGTGCTGGCGAAACGAGGTTGAGTAGCTATTTAATATGCCTCGTGCGAAACGGGGGCTCGGGCGGGCAGGCAGAGAACAGCCTCGGCATCTACGAAGGTTCATGCGGATCCAAATCGCCGGTCGGGGTAACTTTCGTAAACCCACTCAAGCCGCTCGCCGCGCTGTTGCTTGGAACCTTCACGGCTGCGTCGAGGAAACCGGTCTTTCGGTCAGGAACATTACGATTTCTGGCGTCAAAACTACCGTGCCGAAAGCCATCGGACTACGGAGTAGAGAGCACTAATAACACAGCTGGAATCGCCATCGTCGTCGGATTATTCCTTTGTTTGCTTGTCGAATCCGCAGAACAAAGGGATTCGGTGTTCCTCGCCGCTTGTTTGAAGGAGGAAATTGGTCGAAGCTTAGCTAGTGGTGGCTGCAAGGATCTAAACGGGTGTTTCGCGTCTGGAGTGCTGCCACATCCATAGCTTATTCCTATTCGCAAAGAATGCCGCTTTCTGCTTGGGATCGTACCCTTGCTCTGGTGCGCTGACACTTGTTATCCCAACGTCTTGATGGCGATGTGATACATGATTACTATCGCGGATGGTTTTCAGAAACGAAGCAGTATTTGCAAATATTCATTTGCATGCGCTTTTAACTACCCTCCGCCATCTGAATCGCTTCAAATACCTTTCCCAAACACCACGAAAATCCAGCTGGCAGCTGTGTTCACAATAGTTGATTGGTCGTTGTTGACATGACGTTTGTGAGGAGGCAACAGATCCCATCATAGGAAACAATCGCACCAGCAGATGAAAAAAAAAAAAAAAAAAAAAAGAAGAAAAAAGCTCAAAGCCCCTCGCTGTTTCAACCATCTTCATATTCTCCTTGCTTGAGCTTCGGAAATAGCGCTGCCCACTGGTATGTCAAGGCAAACGTGGTATCGCCGGTTGCGCGGCTGGCACAGGCTCTGGGCGTGGCCCGGTGTGTGGAGTCGCAGATGAAGAAGCACGTGCTTCCTGCCGACCGTAGGGCCTATGAGGAGGATCGAAAGGGTGAGGACGCGACGTGAGAAGATCAATGAACGATGCTGCCGTAGTCGTGACTTCGCGAAGCAAGCGTTCGGCGTCAGCATCGAAGGTGACGACTTGAGGGAGGGGAGTTGGGGGGTAACGAGCCCGGCGTTCCTCGCTGACTAAGGGTCAGTAAGGACATACGGAACAGACAGCAATTCGATAAAGCTCACAGGTACAGAGTTGCTGCATCCCTGACCAACGGGCCTAGGCAAGAGGTGATGAAAGGCGGCGCAGAAACCAGGAGCACCAGGAAGACCTGGTCCCTCAAATTGATAGAGCCAACAGCCCTGAAAACTTGGTCAACCAGAGAGCTCATTCTGACACTGTGGATTGATGGATTGTGATAATTTGAGTGAAGGAAAGCGAGAGGAGACAAGGAGGTAACGGGGCCTGTCGTGCATCTTAAAAATATGGCCCTGTGACTCGCACCATACTCATCTTAGACAATGCCCTAATGTATTGGGACGCATCGCGTTACATCTCCAGCCGCTCAGGACAGTTGACGACTAATCTGAGCTATGGTCTAGGAGCATTGGAAGTCATCAGATCATGGTTTTCTCTGACTGATATGTCGGCCAAAACACAGTCTTCAGGGAAGAGAGACACCAAGCTCCTTAAGAAATCCGTCTACTTTAATATCTCAATAGGAATGTGATTGAACTTCTATGGGTATGTACATATCCGGCATCAGGAATGGAGCTGACAGGACTAGGGAGCAAATAACCTTTTCGCACCAGTAAATTCACAACTATGACTGCTCCATTCATACCGTCCATTTTTGTGAAGGCACACATTGTTATACTGATTGACAGGGATTTGGAGTATCAAGGATCACCATGACAAGGACCAAAGACCTTTGACATATGGGGCATAATCACTTGAAGAACCATTTAAAGAGCATTTGCATATGGCAAGATATCATTCCAATTCATTCAGAAAGAGCAAGTATGATCAAAGACGATCATTCTGATGAACTCCGAGGCCAGGAATAGACAGGCACCGTGAAAGAAATAGAGTAGAGTGTTCTAGGGTTTGATTCACCCCATGATCCATCCTGGTATGGGGCGCTGCAGATGTTGGCTGAGTGCTGAATGCAAATACTGCCCCTCCTGAAGAAAACAGCTAGCAGAGCTGGTCTCGGCTCTCCGATGAACGTAACGCTCTTTTGCTCGCCAATTTTGTGAAAAGATCCCAGAGTATTTTGCTCGAGTTCCGAAGAGTTGAAAACGGGTAGGCGGGCTTTTGAAAATTTCACCCGTTATCCTGTGAAGCCCTTAAACGAAAGGGCTCACAAATCAGCCAATATCAAGGTGTCCTTGGGATAGATAACAGCGGCAGACCTACTCCGACTTCATTGCTTAGAATGATAGCCAGCACTTGTGCATAGCTGCAGTCAAATGTTGTAAGCATTCTGTTTTTGGGTACCTAGGAGTCTAGCGACAGTCCATTTATGCCGCTTCGCTTCCATCGGGGGAATAATTTTAACGCCAATCTTGCATGACAGTGTTGTTCAGACGAAGGACGAAGTGTTACCTACTTGGCCTCTCCGTCCAAGCTGTAGTTGATGGATCTTTGGAAGCTAAGTTATCTCGGAGTTTATTTTATCCGACAAGAGAGTTGGAACCTTGGTTCGGTGAACCTTAGCTAGAGCCTTGCCCGGATGTAGCGACATTTGGCCAGGAGACAGGAGACACTTCCAATTTACGGCGGAGCGGACGGTGGAGCGTGGAAAGAGATGAGAAACACCATACCTTGCTTTGTGGTTGATACCACCGTGCTCCTTTGCAGTACACGTCTTTCTCCTTTTTTTTCTCCTAGCATTGGTCGGCGATGCGTCAAATCCAATACCTATGACAGGTCTTTCTATCGACCACGAAGCGTCCTTTTAAGGCAACGTGCTAACTGTGAACAAGGTTCCCGTTAGCTCATAAGAATATCTCGACCTTATCCTCCAAGCTCCAGTTTGCAGATGTCCGCTATAGCTGCACGCTAACCCAAGATTTCGACAGTCATGCATACCGGTCTCATGGGCGAAATCCCCTTCGTCGAGACTATAGCACACATGCCTCTTTGCAGAGGCATAGGACAATCATAGCCCGGGCTCCTAGATCCGTGCAAACTCACTATTGCTCTTCTTATATATCTCCCGACGGCGCGGGAAAAACTGCTAACATGGCTGTGTCCTCGCAACATCGCGCTTTCATCGCCCTAGGTAGCAACATGGGCGACCGGGTTGCCATGATAGAGCAGGCATGCATGGAAATGGAGGCAAGAGGTATAAGGATCATGAGGACGAGTTCTCTCTTCGAGACCGCACCCATGTACGTGGCGAATCAGGACCCTTTTATCAATGGGGTTTGTGAAGTTAGTATTCCCAATTGTGAATTTAGTCTCTTGTAGATGCAATATATAGTTTTATCGGGATCTTGAGGGCGCTCTTTTTCTTTTGTACTAGTGTCTCTGACGGACGCTGCTAGGTTGAAACGAACATGCATCCAATCGAGCTGCTTGATACGCTGCAATCGATAGAAATTGCGATGGGAAGGAGGAAGATCGTGGATAAGGGTCCTCGAGTCATAGACCTGGATATACTATTGTACGGCGAGGAGGTATTCTCGAATGAACGGCTAAATATTCCCCATAAGCTCATGCTCGAACGTGAATTCGTGCTACGGCCACTTTGCCAGTAGGAATTATTTTCTTTTTTTCGGTGTTTTGTATCACTGCACTGACATCCACCTAGATTGATACCCGAAAGTATACCACCCTCAAGCAAAGATTCGAGTTGCTATCAAAGCTACTTAGATGCACTTCTACCTTCGGACCCTGCACCACAAGCAATAACGCCAATGCACACGAACATGCCTCCGCTAAACCCCTCAAACCCCAAACGCCACACTCACATCATGGCCGTACTCAACGTCACCCCAGACTCCTTCTCAGACGGCGGCCTGCACTCAGCAGCAGACGCCTCCACGCTCACCCAAACCACCCGGTACTTCATCAACAACGGCGCTACCATAATTGACATCGGCGGCGAAAGCACCCGTCCCAGCTCCGACCCCACCACCGAACAGGATGAACTCTCCCGGACCATCCCCGCCATCAAACTCATCCGCTCCCTCCCCGAAGCTGATCACATCGCCATCAGCATCGACACCTACCGCGCTAGTGTTGCCCAAGCCGCTGTCGCCGCCGGAGCAGATATCATCAACGATATCTCTGCCGGCCTCATGGACCCCGAGATGTTGCCCACGATGGCCCGTTTGGGCAAAACCGTCATCCTTTCACACATGCGCGGCACCCCAAAGACCATGACCAAACTCACCGACTACCCATCAGGAGTCATCGACGGCGTTAGCACCGAACTCGCCCAACGCATCGCGGCCGCAGAGGCTGCGGGAGTCAGGCGCTGGCGCATCATCGCCGATCCGGGTGTGGGTTTTGCGAAGAACCAAGCGCAGAATCTCACTCTGCTTCGAAACATGCAGTCCTTGCGTGGGTTCAGAGCGTTCAGTCACTTGCCGTGGTTGGTAGGCACAAGTCGGAAAGGATTTGTTGGCCGAATCACGCGCGTTGAGAAGGCGAGTGAGCGCGGGTGGGGCACGGGAGCCGCGGTTACAGCGGCGATTGCTGGTGGCACGGATATCGTGCGGGTTCACGATGTCAAGGAGATGTGTCAAGTTGCGCGGATGGCGGATGCGATTTATCGGCAAGGATTGGATGCGTGAATGGGGATCCTGTGCTGTTCGGATACTGGTGAAAAGTTCTACTTTCCATATTTACGGAGCTGTTGTGATGCTTACCTATATTGCTTTGTAGCATGCCTGGAGTTTATTATTTAGCATGCATTTACGGGGCCGTTGGGTCCATTCGAAGTGTATAACTATATATTCAGCTCCTGCTTCCCTTAGCATGGTTACCGAATTATATGGAATACCTGCCTTAAAAATAAAAAGAAAGTATAAATTGAATCCTTTTCAGATTGAAGCATCTAATTACAATCGAAAGTCAAGAACTAAAGGGGCTCAAAAGAATAGAAACATAGACGGGGAGAAATCAGAAGGGTGGTAAAAACCGGCATTCTCTTTTGAGCGAAGCGTAAAGGTGACAAGGAGAAAAAGCAAGATCTGAGGATGCCTCCGCATCACGGGGATTTCCGTTATGCTCAGATAATACCGTAACGCCTCGGACGCGTAGCGCTAAGCCAAAAGTAGGGACGTCGTACAATGGGATGAATGCATCAGAAGCAGGTGGCCCACTGCTGGTATCTATAATGGCGATGCTGACTTGGAGTAAAGTTTATCCTAGCCAGACACGAGAGTTAGACATTGAAACGGAAAGAAGAAAACAGAGCAGCGCTTGGAAGTCGCTCAACTGTTCAAATAGTTCCGAACGGCATCTATGAGACAATAGTCAGGACCTGTCTTGCAGAAAATAGGGCACAAGGATTTTAAGCACTGACCTTGCAATCTTGAAGCTCCCTCGCCGAGGACATTGGTCAAATTCTCCAGGTCATCACCAGCTGTGATACCAAATCTGCGGACAAAATCTTTTGCGGCACTCTCCAGATCACCATAATTTCCATAGTCATCGGTATTCTCATCTTCAGGCCGGCCGAAGTATGCGTTGCTAGATATAGCCGTGGCACCCTCAAAGCCTGCTAGACGAGCCTTGGCCTCGGCTTGGGCAGCGGGGTCAAATTGATTCCTGCCGAAAAATTCATCGGACGAAATGCCCTTCTGGCTGCCGAATTTAGCTCGCGTCTGTTCTAATTCCTCATCTATGTGAAATGTTAGATGCGATTTTTAGCCCAAATGCGAACTTTGCTGTAGGGACATACCATCCACGGTAGGTTTGGCATGGCCGACGGCACCAAATCCAAGTTTCTTAGGCGCTGGAGCCTTAGGTTTTCCAACCTGGCCAAATCCCAGTCGACTGACACCCATACCAAGTCTTTCGATTTCACTCGGGCTCCTTTCATGCCCCCTTGAAGCATTGAAACTCGATCGACTGGGGCTCACGGGTGTGGGAGAGACAATCTTGGTTTTCGCTTCTTCTTGCTCGGCTTCAGGGTCATAGCCTAATTTCTCAATGCGCTCGGCCTCCTCCTTTGCCTTTCTCTCGGCTTCTTCGAAATCGATGGATTCCGTGCCTGTTACCTTCTTTGCGCCAAGTTTAGGTCCTTTCTTAGCACCAAGCACGCTGCCTTTCTTTGCGCCAGCGGAGGCACCCTTTCGGACGGCAGAGCCCGTTCGGACAGCAACAAGAGGGGGGGGTGCACCGCTCTTATCTGAAGCCGAGAGCGGAGACTTGGGTCGGTTGGCACCGTTACCGTTTGCGCCGGGGTTAAGGAACGGGGAGGCTGTACGGGTTCCCGCGGGTGTGGTTGTGCGTGAAGGAGGATTGCTAGGCCGCTTGATGGCTGGCTTGTCCCATGAGGAGAAGAAATCATCATCTGGCTCGCCGGCAGGTGTGGAACTTCCATCCGGGGTTCCTGTGGCAACAACGTCCGTGATGACGACCTCATCGGGGTATCTAACCAGCGAGTCAAGTCAACAAGTTGTGTGACGCGTCAGTCTAGGTGATTACCAACTCTTGTGCATCCAACGCCGCTCTTCGTTTCAATTCTTCCTTATATTTCACGGCCGCATTGGACGTATACTTGACTTTCGGATCCTTGCTCGCGAGAGCCGCAGTTCCGCCGTGTGACTGGAAATACTTTGTCGCAGACTCATTGCCCCCTACTTTCATAACACGTAGTTGGTCCCACTGCCATTCTAGGCGGCATTAGCATTCGAAAACTCCCCAAGTCGCTTCAGAGAGAACCCACGATCTAGGTTTGTAGAACGAACGAATGAAATATGCACACCGAGGTTACGGTGGTTGGAAGAACAATCGAGACAGAGGTAAATTCCGAAAGGAACGGAAGACCAGGTTGGGTTTTTCGAGCCGCAGTCAAAGCATATCTAACCCATCAAGTCAACAAAGGACAGCTGGCTGGAAAGCGGAAGTCGGGTATCTGACCTTATTCGCGGGTCTCGTCTTGAGTTTCTCGAAGATTTTCTGCGACTGGGCCTTGGTAGCACTCATGATGAAATTAAGAATGGGAACACCCCCCAGAACTGGTAAAAATTGGTGTTTGTAAGGCTAGAAGACAATGACTGTGAGGTGGCGGATGTTCATTGAGAAAAAGGAGTTTGTTGTTTCGATGCTGTCCTGAGTCAATCCAGTCGCCCACCCCAGCGATGAATACGTACCACCACGGCACACGGCCTTGTCTGGCGGTACACAGCCCACTAGGATGGATTTAGTTTAGCGTGTACCTATGCATCAGCGAACCGATCTATGTACGGGACCGTCCAGCAACACCCTTCTCGCGAAAACAGAATTGTCATGGTTAAATCCATGTCCTTTAAAGCAGCTGTTCCTGGTCACTTAATGTCAGATCACTGCTCACAGCTGGAGCATCACAAGAACCCTATCGCGCAAGGTTAGCATTGGCTTCTGTGCCGCTTCTTGCGGGAGTGCGCCGAGCGAATCGGCAGTGCGCAGAGGGTGCTGTCGAGCCTCACAAGCCTTTCCTAATCAGGCTAAGCCCCGAATGGGCAAACTATGTAGACAGGGTGCTAAACCGTATCTGGATAGCTCTCCAGGCTGGAATTTCACGCTGCGTTGGTGGCGGTTTTGAACTCGCCGACAACCGCACGGGACACGGAATAGAGCATCGCAGCAGAACAGACTGACAGCCAGATGGCTGATCCATGACCCTTCTACAGTGTTACTCTACCAATGGGTTGATTTTCGAACGAAGCGTCTAACACCACAATGGCCTCGCCGCGAATGAATTCCCTTACAAATAAGGCCGCGTCCTTAGCGGCACCCGGCACTCTATGCTCGCTCCGGTCGCTCGTTGCATTCTCTCGCCCATATACCACTCACAGCAGCCTGGGAGGGTCCTCCAGCGGGCCCAAGCGCAAGCAAATCACCGTCGCCAGCGATGACGGCAGAGTCCGATGGGGTGAGCTGTCTGGCAGAGAAAAAGCCGCGCGGGCTACACAGCAATCGGTGAATTTTCTTGTCATCCTCGTTGGAGCCGTCATGACGGGAGGTGTCTTCACTTTCTTATACATGGACGTGTTTGCTCCCGATAGCAAGACTCGACAGTTTAACCGTGCCGTCGAGCGGATCAAGGACGATCCGAAGTGTATCGAGGTGCTTGGAGATCCCAAAAAAATCAGAGCCTACGGCGAGGCGTCCTGGAATAAATGGACTCGAAACCGGCCGATAGCGTGAGGACCTTTCCGTAAACTGGGACTAGTTTCGGAGCGTGTGAGCTGATTGACTGAACTTCCTTAGAACAACCATTGAGAAGGACCGACTCGGAAATGAGCACATGAAAATGCATTTCAATGTCACCGGGCCGTTGAATGAAGGAGTTGTCCGTGTCCATCTGATCAAGACACCCGATCAGGGCGAATACAAGTATTATCTTCTGGTGCTAGATGTCGAAGGTACGAGAAAAAGCTGAAATTGGGGCGGCCAATACAGATGCTGACAAAGGAAAGGCCAAAAACGCATATTTCTTGAAAACGCTGCCGCTGAAGTAAACGCCGCAAAGAAAACCGCCTCGAAGATTTTCGGCATCCAGTGGCGATGAATCTAAATTCCCAGGAGATAGCCATGCGGTATTACCGCTTAGCGAACTCCATCTCCATCTCCTCGGCCTAGTTCCATGAGGGATTTTCCATATGGATTACTCTCCATAGATGGCAATATAATCGAGGCATTAGCGTTCAGGTTGGCACTGGAGTTTTATCTCTTAGGCCTCTGACACGTTGTTGTCCATCAATATCACTGCGATATGCAGGGTTAATGACCAAGCCAGGCGTTGTTTATTCATATGCATGCTCAGGGTTTACACATCCCTTTTTAGATAGCCTCCGCATGTGTGTACGATTGGACTGTTCGTGTCTATTATCCGATGATCTCCCAAAATACGAAATCTTTCGTAACATGGGTCGTTATATATATAGCATTTGACCACTTTTGTAGGATATAAGCATGCTTCAGCAATGCGAAAGTCATTCATGGATAGCCGTACGAAATAGGGAGAGTATGGAGTACGGAGCACGAAGTAACTGAAACGGAAATCGGTTTGGCGGCTTTTCTTGGCTCAGCCACGCTCATTCTGCTCCAAACGAACGTTCGATCCTGATTCACCAGATAGTGATGCATTTCGGACAGATGCAGTCGTCTGTCCTCATCTTACAGGATATGTCCTTATGCACTCAGAACGGAGCTTTCAATTTTGGATATCGCACAGTCGCAACCGCTACATATTCCACTTTGAGTGAAATAAATCGTACCTACAGTGCCGATCCAAGGCTGTGTCGGCTTGTGAGTTACAACGACTCATCCGAGCCGAGCTGTAGTAGAACCGCTGACGATTTTCGGCATCAGTGCATCTGAATGTGTAGAGCGTGATTTGGTCATCGTTCTCCCAGGCACGGTATTCCTGATGTGTCCGGTTTGAGGATCGCAAGTTGCCTACGTATTCTCCTCTGAGCTGCCGCGCCTCATGCAACTGCCTGCAGCGATCCGATAGTGTGAAATTCGAGTTCGCCGTTGAGCAGCATCCTAAGGATCAACATGCCGAAACGACGGGCTTATCATAAAGTTCGAGGGGCTTGTTTGACGTGTAAAGAGCGAAAAGTTCGCTGTGGCCTCGAGCGACCAACATGCAAAAATTGCAGCAGGCTCTCTCGGCCCTGTGCTTATGCGACTCCAGCATCCCGGCAGGAAGGCGCACAGTTGCCGCTCAAATGTGATAGCTGTCGATCCAGGCCAATCAACGATGTGCAGCTAATGCATCACTACACTGCCTACACTTATCTGGCGATGAGCAACAATCCGGTCCTCATTTCATTATGGAAAGAGGTCGTGCCGAAGCATGCGTTTCAGCATCGTTTTTTGCTTCAAGGGCTCCTTGCTGTAACGGCGCAGCACAAACTCCGAGATAAAAGTGACGATCCAACCGACCTGATTGACATAGCAAATATCTATCAACAAGAAGCTTTATCAACGTATATCAGCCAGCTCAACGATATCACCGAGGAGAACTGCCATGCGTTGTTTGCATTCTCGCAAGTGATAGTGGGAATGTCATACTCCCGGATGAGCTCAGGCCTCGGGGAAGTACGCATATCTTCGTTTATCACCAATATTGTCGAGATTTTTGAGCTGCTCAAGGGAGCGCTTGTAGTAGCCAAGGAAGCTATAACGTGGCTACGTGCCGGTGACCTGGAGCCAATGTTGGGCCCCAGGCCCGAAGTGCCGCTCGTCCGGCCCTCTGCACCGCAGCACTCTTGTGTTGGAGAGTTGTCAAAACTCTCGGATTATATTTCTGGGCTTATGGATAGCAGTGTCGAATCCAAGGCCCGCGTGGAGAGCCTTTTATCAACAATCCAGCTTCTGTATACTCTGTTTTACGATGATTGTGAGCCAGCCGATCGAATGAATAAGATTGTCGGTCTCCCTATATACTTCGACTCCAAGTATATCGATCTCTTAAGAAACTTTGATCATGCTGCGCTAGCGATTCTATCCTACTATGGTATTGCGCTGCATCAGATTCGCCACATATGGTATCTTGATGCCGTAGGGGCCAGAGTTGTGGAGGCCGCAGCAACTTTAGTCGGCCCTGGATGGTTCCCATTTTTGAGATGGCCACAAATGGAAATTGGTTCATAGACCTACGATGATGATGTGTATAGTTATCGCCAGTTTTATGACTACTGAAAGGTCGAATATTGTTCTTATTTATGCGGTGGATGAACACGAATGGCGAGCGGATTCTCAAAGCTGGTCAAGGCTGGTCTAGTGCTGCATAACTTCAAAGGACTCATATGCTCCTCAGAACTCTATCTCTAGCACGTTTGAAAACACCTAAGTTTGAGTTCCAACGAGACCATAACGGCTGCGCTATAGAAAAAGGTAGCTCTCGTTACTCTGAACGCCACGGTAGCCTGCTTTGACATCCAGATACCAAGTATCCTTGATGTCAGTTTAGGACGGCGCTTGCTAATATCATAGCAGTCGGACTCGCCAGAATCCTTGCATGGCATCCAACTCGAAGGGCTCACGAGCTGTGGGTATAGAGATGGGTCCATACTCAGGATCTGAATGCATTTTTTTGGTTCACTGCCACTAGAACGCCCACACACGGCAATACGCGAAAAGATTGCCTTTCTCTAAGCTGGAATGCCTCAAATAGGTGGCGCCACCGGCAAGTCAATCAAGGCCGCACTCAAAAGAGTGTTTCTGCGGGATCCATGGAGGCATTCTGGTTCCGGTCAAGGCGATACCAGCAAACAGGACAGGGAAACAGCTCAGGTTTGATTGCTATGTCGATAAAAGCGAGCTGATGTTGGGTCAAGAAAAGCACTAACTAACTAGCTGACCCTTTAGCCGGGAGTCTATCCGCGACGAACACGAGGGCCAATGAAAATCAGGTCCGAGCAAGAGAGACCCGCAAGGGGAAACAACATGCAACGGTCTACGCAGCTCTCACGCCTTATCAAATCGTCAGATTTGCTTCCTATGTTTCCCAAAGTCAGCGATCCCCGGCGGAAAGAGGCTGTGTACGGAATTCGAACTCTCCTTGACCGACAATGGGCCGCAGTATCTCCTCGCAAACCCCTCAGGGGAACTACCAGTTGCCTGAAAATGGTTGAGAGATATAAAAGCCACCAGAAACGCTCAGCAAATGCCGACTTCTACAGATTAGCCACTGTCCAGCAGTATATTCTTCTTGTGTGAAATTGCTTCCTGTCTAGTCCCACATTTGCCCCGTCTGGAAAATCTCGAGTTTACGACCAAGACCCGAGACATCTATCTCGAACTTAGAATATACTTCTACGGCAAAGCACTTGACGGACAGTGATGTTGGGAGCCACTGAGAGATGCGGTGTTCTAGCCACTCTGTTGTTGCTGCCGCCTCTTGTGTGGCCCACGAGCACGATAAACATAAGCCAGAATCTGACGGAGTCAGCCTCAGAGATTACCGGCTTTCCTCCTGTCAGTCAATCCTTTTTGTGTCGGGCGCAGACGATAGCGTCCACATCTTCCATTGATGATTTACACGAGGATAAAAATTATCTAACACTGTGGCCAGTGCGATGCCCTGATCTCTGCCGGTCTCGGCAATCGGATTCTCCTTGCAGCCACAGACGCGTATGAATCCCGTATCCAGAGCTGGTGGTCCGCTAACGGGCGACTCCGCCCTTGGTGTTTGGTACAACCGCATACCGCCCAGGAGCTCTCTGTCGCTGTCATGGCCTTGTCTGACAGTGGTCGCGGTGCCGGCGATTGGCATATTGCCGTCCGTGGCGGCGGACACTCCCTCCCGGGAGCTAACAACATCGCCAACGGGGTCACAATCGACCTTGGAATGATGAACCACTCGCACTATGACCACGACCGACAACTAGCAAGAGTGGGGCCTGGTGCCGCCTGGAAAGACGTCTACTACAACCTCCTCCGCCATGGCAATGTCACGGTCAGCGGAGGCCGCGACGGCGGTGTCGGCGTCGGTGGATTGCTCCTAGGTGGCGGAATGTCCTATTATAGTGGTCGCAGTGGCCTTGGTTGCAACGAAGTCGTCAATTTCGAAGTGGTACTCGCTAACGGAAGTATCGTCGACGCAAACTCCAATGAAAACCCTGCTTTATGGAAAGCTCTAAAGGGTGGAGGTCTCAACTTCGGCATTGTCACAAACTTCGACATACGGGCCATCCCAGCCGTGGACCTGGCGTACGGACAGAGTATCATTACCTCAAACCATTCCGACGAAATCGTCGATGCTGTGGTTGAGTTTACGAATCATCCGGAGGAGCTCGCTGACGATGTATTAATAATTCTATACATACATGATCTTGAAATTAGGGAAGACATGACTATATTGGCTATTCGTGCCAACACTCAGGGTGATCTTAACACGACGAGTTTCGACCGGATCAACAAAATCCCAACTTTGATGAGCAGTTGGGAACATAGCTCACTTGCGGATGCGGCGATCATGTCGCAGCTTCCAGCTGGGTTGAAGTACGTGAACTCGGCTCATATCTTTTTTGTTTACTAGGCCCAGGGGTACTAACAGCGCCTCCCTCTCACCAGAAACACATGGAAGACATTAACCTTTCTCAACTCTGCCCGCGTTCTCCGCCACGCTGCCTCGTTGTATTCTCAGCTGGTCTCATCGCTTTCAGCGATGATCGGTGCCGAGAATTTTACAAGTCACATGGTTCTGCAACCTTTCCCTTCATATTATGCCAGCATCGGAGAGCGCAAAGGCGGCAATGTACTAGGGCTAGAGCGCATCTCGTCCAACGCTGTTCTGTGGGTTACTTACATTGGGATCAAGAACGGTGATGACGCTTCGGTGGGCATCGCACAGGCCGAACTGAGCGCCATGACGAGTAAATTGGAAGGATTTGCGATTGGAGAGGAAACAGGAGTTGAATATGTGTACTTGAATTACGCGGATGCAGGTCAGGACCCCCTGGGAAGTTATGGGCCGGAGAATGTAGCGTTCATGAAGGACGTGGCGAGGCAATATGACCCAGACGGCTTTTGGCAGCAGAGGGTACCTGGTGGATTTAAGCTGTCGAGGGTGACTGCTCAGGAACCCTAGTGCTGTGTTGATCAGCATACTCACATAAAGGAAATATACTCCGTAGTATCCTTTGGATTCTCGTCTACCAATTTTTACCTGCTAGATACCATCACTGTGAAAATGACAACTCCTTATCCTCAAGGCAAAAAGGCATGCAGTAGAAAACCAAATAGAGTACACACTTATTGACACGATGGATCCTGACTTAGTGAAAATTTCTCCGAACTAAGGAGAATATCACGAAACAATCGATTGACAATGGTCGGTATTGGGAAGCCGTTTCATTTTATCCAACTTCCGCTTCCGCATCGATATTATTAGTAACTTCAGCCGGAAAGACCCCTCTTTTCGCTTTCTGAAAAGAAGATGATCATCCGCCACAGTTTCTTGACAAGGACTTCGGCCTCTTCATCAAGCGCCTAGAAGGAGGGTCAATATCAACCTTTATGTATAGGAAAATATGAGATTAAAACTTACCCCATCCAGTTGCTCCACTAGCTCCTGTGGAGAACCTCTCTTCCGCACATGCTCCTCTACGACGTCAACCAACATCTGCTCCTGGACGCCGAGATATTCCATAATTTTCTTCTCAACAAACGGCTTGAGCTGTTCTCCCAGGATAGACTCATCCACAAACTCCCACTTGACTTCCCACTTCCAAAGTCCTTCTTTGTCTGATGGGATCTCAGCGGCAAGCTGTCTTGCGGCTTGAGCTCGTTCCTCATCGGTAAGCCCGGCAACTTCGGCTGCGGTGTCGAATTTGATCGCTGTAAGAGGTCGCTTGGCAGTAGTACCGGTTTCTTCCTCGTCTTCCAGGAGGCCCTCAACTTCGGCAACTGTTCTGCGCTTCGTGGATGCTTGCGCCTTCTGTGCCGCGGCCCCAAGGGAAAGCTTGAATCGTTGCGGCTCTCTCGGTGCTTGGACTCTCGACTCGATCTCTTCAGCTTGTCGAGCGAGGAAATCGTCTGCCATACCGCGAGCTCGTTCTTGCTGCTGCATAGCTCGTGCCTTCTCCCGTTCTTCACTGGCCCGATCAGCTTCATCCATTGCCATCTCACGACTCCGAAACGCCGCCCTATTCCGAATCCACAGTCCACGATCAGCATAGTAATCTTCCACTTTCCGACTTGCTTCAACATCATCATTCCATTCTCTAAGACGCTTGGCCATATCTTCTTTTTCCTCTTCCATGCGTTTTTCTTCCTCTTTATCTCGATTTTTCTCTCGTTCAAGAGCGGCAGCCCTACTACGCTCGCGATTGAGCCACCGTCTCTCTTGATCCAAAAACTGTTTTTCTGCCTCAGCTGCTTTCTTCGCTTGACGCCTCCTTTCTAGCTCGGCATCGCTTGCGTCGGTGTCGTCTTCTTCCTCATTGATACCAAGACCATTAACGAATGACACTCCCTTTTGGTAATCCTTTGGAATTTGTTGACCAAATCCTTTAGGTCCAGCCGGCGCATTTGGAACGCCTCTATCTCGAGGACCTAGTGGTATTCCATTCGGACCTCCAGCAGGGCCGGTGGGTGCGCTGGGAGGTGGCGAAGCTAGCCTGTTGATTCGAGAAGAACCGCCATGTCTTGCTTTTTCTAACGACTCAATTTCTTCCTCTCTTTTGAGTCGCTCAAGATCCCGCCGGTTACTTCTATCACGGAAAGCCGCAATCTCTTTAGCCACCGTTTCCCTCATCTCAGGCGGAATATCCGACAGTTCATCTTCAACGGTAATCGGGATCGTAACAACTTCTGCAGAATTGGCCGCATTTTGATCCTCACCATCTGCCATTGTGACGTCACCATCACGATCAGCCGTCTGTGTTTCATCTCCTTGAGAAGTTGGTGGACGTTCAAGTTCAGACAAAACAGTGGCTAAGGCAGCTCGTGCAGACTCGATACGTGACTGAACAGCTGCTGGGTCTTGGTTACTGTTGGTTTTGTACTGTTCAATGTATTTTAGAGAACTCTCGTCAACCACAACCTGTGCATTCGTCAGTATAAAAAAAAGTCATTAGATTTTCAAGACAAAGGATTTAGCGACATACCAATAACTTGCTCTTCTCGTCCTCCTGTGACTGCTGTCCACCCTCCTTGGGTGGCTGCTGTTTCTTGACAGGAACTTCGATATCCCTTAGCACTTCGACAGCCGTACTTAAACTATCAGGGTCCTCGTACTCTGCGAAACCAAATTTGCAAGGCTTCTCATCTGCATCCGTAGCCCTGATCCAGCGTCTCAGATTTCCAGCCGTGCGCAGTATCCTTTCAATTTCTTCATCGCTGCTAATTCCTTCCGTAATCCCTCCGACGAAGATGGTCCGGACAATCTCATCTTTCGTAGGGGGTTGTAGTTGAAGCATCGCTTCGCGTATGTTTTGGCGCTGGGACTCCAAATTACCCCCACCGGCACCGCCTCGCCGCGCGTCCGCGCCTCGGTCACGACCAGCTTCTACCGGAGTGGATGATTTAGAAGGACCAGACGTTCCGAGTCGAATCACAGGTGCGGAGAAGTTGATGTTTGGCATATTTGCCGGCGGCTGGAAGTTTGGAGGGAAGCCTGGGTGGCCGGGTTGCGATCCATTAGCCTGTTGCATTCCCGGTGGTGGACCAGTCCCAGGAGCAGCCATCCCTGGTGGAGCTGATTCATTATTAGTATGCGCTGCACAGGGCTAAGCTACGGGGAGATGGAAGACGCGAAGTAGTTACCTGTTCCTGGAGGCGCACCCGGAAAACCTGCATATTCCGGGGGTCTGCCAAAGGGCCCGGAGTCTATGAAATGAATTGTTAGCATCAAAGAAGCCGAAGAACCCGGTTTAGGCATTGAGCGCTCTTACGTTGATAAGGATTATACATGATGGCGCAAGTCTGCGTGCCCGGGGTAGCTCAGTACGGGTCGTTGAGAACAGCTTTTCTAGGATCCAGTAAACTTCACAGGCGAAGGACACTCAATGCATTTGAAACTGGCACATGGAAGCTGCCCACGGGAGGGGACGTGACGGTTCCGGGATGCTGCTTCTGCTGGTCTTCGCCATGAGGAAATTCAAAGCTGCTTTTGCCCTCTGCGGCTCAGGTTGGCCCGTGCATGGAATGATCACGTGAATATGACTTGGCATCGTCAGGAGAAAGCAAGGAGCGAACGGCAGCCAGTCGGGGACGGAAGATGGGGACGAAGTACGGAGTACACCATACATCTATTATTATCTAACTACTCGGAGGCAAAGGCGGCTTTATTTAAAGGTATGTAAGCATGTACATCAGAAGGCAAGGGAGGGATTTAGCCAGTGCATATTAGGTACTTCGTCCTCCGTCCACCACCATCCCACCAGTTAATATCTCCCTACCATCCACACAAAACTTGTCCAGCAATCCGGCACGAATCCGCGTTCCATTGGGTTATCTCTACCAAATCATCCACATCCAGCAGTCCAATCTCAGAATCAACCGGGTGTTTTCACATGTCGTTTATCAGCGAGATGGCCAGGAGGGTGTACTCCAGAATCTTGATTTGAATTCCCTCTCTGCTGCACTGTCGATCAGCTCCTTGATTTTGTCTCACTGACTACTTGTCAATCCTGTGGGCCAGACAATCTCGATGGTCTTGTTCAAGTTCATACTGGCATTATAGGAATTTTCCAGTCTGAAAGTTTTATCCCCTGAGAGCTAGTCGAGCGGACCGCTAAAATAAGATGTCGAGATACGTAGACGTGGTGGTTTCTAATTCAAGCAGTGCATTGCGTGTGGCAATCGCTGCAACATGACGTCGAAGAGAGGAGCCCTATGTCAATGGTTGTATGAACGACATGCAATAGGATTGACATCATCTAAATCTCTCCAAGCGACTGGACATACTAATTTCACAGTCACCTGATGCTCTGAAGGCCATTTGTGGGTATATGTGGATATAAGTGATGAACGAGGAACAGGTATAAATGAAAACCAAATTTGGCTCTTGGTCAGATTATGATAATGGCAAGTTCAGCGTCATAAGAAGAGATGTGTATAGGTCAGAACATCTCCCACACAAAGAATGGTAACAACTATAGCAATTATTCCCCGGTTTCTCGTTGCCTTTCTCCTTCCAAAAGCTACATCAGCTAGGATCCAATGAACTTGCGGGCACTTGCAGTAGTATGCTATGAGAATCAGGAGTGCCTGGGTTTTAGGCAGTGGCTAACAGATTGTTCATCTGAAGAGTTCTCCTGCTCCGGATAAGTAGCAAATCTTTGACTGAGCACATTGCCTGTAGACAAAAAATGTCACTATCAGAGTGAAGGGAGTGATGAATAGTGAAAGCAATGTGAATCTCATGAGAGAAATGCAGTTAAGATTCATCACTAAATTCCATTGATTTGTTCAAGTAACAGAGCGTTCAGCCACATTTACTCTCCTAGTTGCACAGCAGGCGGAGGGCTACATACTGATTTTCTTTTTTCCCTTTTTTGTATATGCTGTTGAGGTAACACCACAGCAGGATATCTGGAGACCTGAAGTCCTGTTTAAATAAAATCCTGTGCATTACCTGAACTTTAGGATATTCCATATAAATGCCCAAATTAGCTTCTGCAGGCCGGCCTTTGTCTTTCTTTTTTTTTTTTTTTTTTTTTTTTTTTTGAGAGGCTTGAAACTTGGAGATGTCGAGCGATTATAGTTAGCAGTCGGCTGTCCTGCCCACAGGCGTAGATACTAATTCTGTTCTCATAGTTTAGTCCGGAGTGGCCTTGAGCCCAGCCGGCCTCACCCTTGTGTTTCGCCACATCTTGTCGGTTAGTTGGGCGGGAACTATGTAAGGTAGTTCACCACTAAACAAGCCAAATTTTCCACCACCAAATTCCTCCAATGTTCAACATTCAATATGTGACAACATGGTCAACAACGCCTCAATTAGGCTTGCAATTGAAGATCTTGAATTACAAGAGACCCCAAATTATGCTGCAACCATGAGAAAGTACTCAGTCAATCAAGAGATCCTGTACTGACAGCATAAAGACTTGCAACTTGCTCAGGATGAAGCAGCCTCCTGATATAAGAAAAAGCTCTCTGATATACAGAAGACAGAGCTCCTAAATTATATAAACAAGCTCTCTAGCTGTGGTCTTGCCATTACATCTCAGATCCTACAAAATATCATACAAGAGATAACAGAAGAGAATGTTGGAATTAACTGGATTAATCAGTTTCACAAGCAGCATAATGACAAGATCAAATGCATTTATCTTAAAGCAATTAATTAAAACAGACAGGTAGCAGATAACTATCAGTACTTTAAGCACTTCTATATACTTGTAATTTGATGATTTATTTGATTAATTGCAATTGCAGTTGTTGATGCTGGCTAACTATTTGATACTTATAAAGTAGTTGGAGCAGAAAATCAATTAATATAATCTTAAGCTCTCAAACATCTACAACTTTAATAAAAAAGAATTTCTTCTAGACTTCTGCCATGTCTTAAAGTGATTAGTCTCTATTAAAGCTCTACAAGCTGGAAAGAATGTCATCATTCAGAATAATAGTTGGGAATTCCTCTTATTGCTCTGCTCAGTCTCTGCTAAAGAAATTGCACTATCTTCAGCTCTTATTTACCAGAACAAATCACAAGATCTCCAGAATACATAGCTAGATAATTATGATGAAAGTGAATGAGCCTACTTTGCAGCTTCAACAAATAATTGAAGCAATAATAAATATAAACTGGAGTGATTGAAACAAGTTTTCAATAAGCATACTAAAAAACAAGCTGGTTGAGAAAGATGTCTGCTTCTACTAGATGGGCATTCCTCCCATATAAATATGAAATTTATTGAATATACTGACTGTAAAAAGATTCTTCTTATGATTCTTCTGCTGTATTCAATCTACTATTTGCAATCTCTTGATATTAGAATCTTTAAGCTGCTGGGCAAGACATATTTGAACAAGCTGGAAGTACTATTATATTATGGAATGGGCTATATTCAAATGACAAAAAGGGATTTCTGGAGACTATTTAATGTAACTTGGAAGAAGGCTTTGACAGTTGAAAATATACTTGCTGGCTTTGTAAAGACTGAGATTAATTCTCTGAATTCTCAATGTTAACTACATCAATTTGAAACTGCTCAAGCCCCTACACTGCCAGTTAAACCTTCTATTTCTAGTAATATGCACCAGCTCTGACAAGAGATTAAGAGTATACATCTCCAGCACAGTCTAAATTCACAGAGCATTAGACAGATTATTCAAGCCAGTGAGCAGTTTGCTCTTTGTAATGAACTACTAAAACATAAGAATCAGTATCTAAGATTAACTCTAGTGATAAAGAAGCAACACTGCAAGCAAGGCAAGCCCCTAGACCTACTCAATAGAGATAATCCTAGTCAAGTACAGTTCTGGTCTCTAATAAAAGTTCTTAAGGCATGTGAGCACCTGAATAAAATAGAGACTGAAAAAGCTGATAAAATTACTCAAACATAACAAATAAAGCTTCAACAGAAGCTTTAAAAGAAGCAGACTGCTAGAAATACTGAAGAAAGACAGATTGAACAGAAGAATGCCTGTAAAAAGACTCACAAGTAATGAGAGACTGAAAAAATCAAATATGCTAGAGAAAGAGAGACATAATATGTTGCTTGTAAGAAGAAGACTTTACAACTAGCAGAGAAGAAAAAATGAGTGGTTGAATGTGCTACTAAATACTGGCAGTCAGAGCTTCAAGCACTGGCTTCAAAGCACTGTCAGAAGGACTCCCCTACTAAAGATCCTCATCACAGAGAGCCTATACAATCTTCTAAAAGAGGAAGTAAGAGCTCTACAAGCCTCTCTAGCAAGGCATTAGACTCCCTAGCTGAGAAATCTACTGTTGACATTCCTTTGAATTCTTTCCTATCTACCCCCCAGATCTCTCACTCTGGCCACAATATTAGGCTGTCCACCCATTTATTTTCCTAACTACACTAATTTCTATGCTTCAAAGAACACATTCATTTAATATTTAATAGCTATTTAATAATAAAGATCTGGTTGTTGAGATATTTAATAAATTCGTTGCGTGGAGCGTTTGGCGAAATTTGGCTCGTTTAGTGGTGTGGCTCGTTTAGTGGTGAACTACCTTACGGAGTACTCCGTATGCTGCTCTACTTCTCCGTCGGCCAAGGATGGACTGGGGGATCTTTGGCAAGCACCCCCATTCAATTCATAACGCTCTAGAGCCCGCGGCGGGACTCCTCTTGGTTACGATTAGGCTGCCATCCTTCCCTCGTAGAGAAACTCCATGTCTCAACGCTTGGGTCAGCTACAGAGTTCGCGGCCAACAATTGAGGCTCGGACACAATCACACCCATATCGAATGCCTTTCTCCGACGCGTCCGCGATGGATAGGCTTCCCAATGAGATATGGCAGATGATCCTCGATCGCGCAATGATCCGTGATGCCCCTCTGTGTATACATGACTTCCTGTCGGCCACTGGGGTCGCAAAACGGTCCATAGATGCCGAAAATAAGCGAAAAAGAGAGCAGCGAGATTGTAACCACATTACTCCTAAAGGTGTGAATGCTGAAATTTCACAATTCTTGATTATCCTGACTTACCTTCGAATGGTCCATCTCTAGCGAGACAATCGCGGACGAGGCCTAACAGAGTCCGTGTGTTGACGAGGAATGATCCAGAGGGCGAAGAGCCGCTCCAAGCAAACTCTTCCCTCGCACCCACGTCTACATCGCTTTTACACAACCTCCATAAGAGCCAGAAACCGCATTTTCTCGACTGGCAACTCATTAACGGAACCTGCCAACTTTTCCGCAAATTAGGAAAAAGATCCTTCTTCGCCAACAAAACATTCGCCATGGAGCCGGCAATCTCCGAGAAGCTCCAGCAATGCAAATTAAAACAGCTCAGTGTAGAAAACCAGCAGATGGCAGTTCACTACATCAGATCAGTCATATTCATCGAAACGTGCTTATTCTCTCCGAGATCCATATTGTTACTACCTCGTCGGGTCGCCATTTTCCCGCGCCTTCGATGGCTCGACCATCTCTTTGCATATGCTGCAGACTCCCCTTCAAGCCCGGATGAAGTGCTCTATTCTATCTCTACACGAAAGGCGCTTGTGTCGCCTCTTCACGACTTGCTTTGTGGTATTGGCGTCCCCACGGACAGACTGGAGCTTGGCTCCATGCGTAATAAGTACGTATCATGGGAAGAGCTTGAAGCTACTTTGCGGAGCGACATATATCCCATGCTGAGATTCGTGGCCGAAGCGAAGGCGCGACAGAAAAAGGTAAAAGTGTGAGGGCCCCAAGACCCTCACACCTTGGGTTATTTCCTTCCAGCTTGCTCGGAACACTCTACAGGTGATAACAATGGGATCATCGTTCTACTTTTTATCAAGTTTATCAAATGAAGGGATATGATTGGCATCGAAGATCACCTCTGAAGCTTCATCAGATATCCGATGCATTTATCTACAGAGTGGGGAGTGGTTGAGGTTCGGAGAAGAACCACCGCCTTCTATTCATTTCAATCAGACAAGAAGAGGAAGAGGGTTTGCTGAGAACAGAACGACAGGAGGTACGCATGCAAAGAACAACAACTTTCCATACACTGTCCAGTGTAATCGATCACGCCATTCTTTGCCATTTGAATGATCTCAGATACCTCTACTCCAAAATCTGGATAACCCTGCTATCCTCACCAAACACAAACTGGCAGCTATCTTTAGTTTCCTTCAAATATTTCTCACCAGATTCCATTTCTAGCAAACCATCCCTCAGTGTGCTTTGGGCAACTAGCTGGAAAGGACTGAGCATTCAGTTATCACATATTTATCGCATTATGCCGTCATTAGACATACTATCCCACGTGTTAACTGGCATGTTGATAATTCAGATTGCAAAGCCTTACAGGCTTAGTCATATTATCAGCATTAATGGGGACTGTACCTAAGTCTCGGGTTGGAGGTTCCTGAGGAACCATAGCAGAGCTGGTAGCATGGTTGATAGGACGCCTGTTAGGTGTAAATTAACTACATGATAAAGTTGTCAAAGGAACCAATGCCAATATGCGCGCCGAGGTCTGCTACACCATAAATCCCGCCAATAGCTGCATTGAGCGGCGTGTTAATAAACATCTGGAAAGCATGGGGTCCAGCAAACCGGCCCGTTGTACGGAGTACCTGGAACATCGCTCGGCCGACGACTTCCGTTGAAGCCACGTCCAGATTGTTTTTGTTTTCTCTTTGTGGGTATAGAAGTAGATGATAGCGGTTAACGCGGCAAACAGTGGCTGTTTACAATGGTCACGTTCGGGAGGCGGTACAATGGGGTGGCCCAGCGGCAATACACCAACGCATAGAAGCACGATCGGGATAGCATGCGATACGTGGTTCTTAACTCAGTCCCACAGCATGGGACGACAGTGAGAGAGATTGGTATGGGGTTAATGGCGCCGGGCCTCTTTTGGCTGTGAGATAAATGGTCAAGACTCGGAGAAGCTGAAGAGGTGACCCGGATGAAGTGAGGTTGGGGCTAGCCAATCACGTTGCTTGGACGTCGGCCGGCTCAAACGTCTCCTGGTTGCTACTCATGATTCTTGAGATTCTCGATATCATAAAACATTCTTTTTCAATGCAAAGAAGATTAAGTCGTACTTATATATACATACAGAAATAAAATAGAAGAAAGGTCATTATAGTAGCGACCAAGAGGTGACAATCAAAGAGCCTTGGTGGTGAGTTCACATATGAGAAACTGCTCAAAGTTCATGAACCTCCCAACCAACCGAGTCAAACTTTCGCAAGGACGTCCGTGCTCAGCTTTAGTCAACCCCAGGAAGATCAAAGTCAGGGAAGGCAGGCCAGTCTCCCAGCCTGCCCGGATCACCGCCAATGCGAACGAACGAAGCCACCGAAGGTGTCGGGCCATCCAAAACGAACAGCATAAACCATCCCGGAGGGCACGTGTGGCTATCTGGCGGCGCGGTTATGGTGCAAGTGGTCCCGGAGCAGGACACAGCAGGGAAAATGGTTCTTGAGCCAAAGCTATTTCCGTGGGTGCTGGAAACTAGGCCGAGCAAGGATACCCTGAGTTTCGAGGTATCCCCGGATGTGATCTCAATCTTATAATTTTGACCGTACGCCCAATCTGTGTCCTGGATGGTAAATGTCGGCCGAGGAGCCCCGGATAGGAGATACGGAGGGAGGAAAACCTCCACACGATACTCCTGCGGGAAGTCCGGGTCTTCTGGGTCTGAGCCAGACACCAAAACCCTTCCGTCAGGGATCAGGATTGCTTCGGAATGGTACATGCGAGCGATTGTAGTGTTACCCATGACACTCATTCGCTGATTAACCGGCTTTGAAGGATCATACAAGACAGCGTTGAGATTGGGGTCTTTGGCTAGACCAAAACCAGCAACGCCCTCCTTTGCGCCATTCAGGATCAAGAATGTTCCGTCAGGAAGTCCTGCCATACAAGTGAGGACCCTCTTGGAAGGCTAGCTAAATCGTCAGTCAACGGGCTCTTGTTTAAAACTCGCAACTCTACAACGTACCATGCGTTCAATAACCCATTTGCTGTTCGGTACTTCTGGTTGAATGGAGACACAGTTATCGATAGCATTTCCTCCGAATGGGGTCGAGCCTCCGCATAGCAAAACACCCAGAGGGTCGGTGTAAGGTGCGTGTTGCGGCAAAAGAACCATTGTTCCTTCAAGTGGATATGTGCGGCCACCTTCATCATTGTTGACCGCCCCTGGCATGTTTGGCAACGTCTTCACAGTATCAAAGGTCTTTTCGTCCAAAATCCTAGCCTCGTTATAGTACGCAGCAAAGATATCGCCACTTGGCAGAGGTGTAAGAAATGGATATAGATTATTAGGATCAGTTCGCTCAAGCCAGTCCATGTAGAGAGCTGGCCCGACCCGTGGCAAGATCTCAAGTGTTGGGACTGGCGGACCATTGGAGCCCTCTTCGCCACCCACAATTAAGATCGATCCGTTAGCCATTATCATGGCGGATGGATACCATCGGCCGTCCTGCAAAGCCAGCTCATCCGGGTTCTCCTGCCAGTCATTCACACTGGGCTTACCTGGGGAGCCGTCCGGCCAATACAGTCTAACCCCATGCGTTGAAGTCCCGGACCATCCACCAACAGTGAGCTGACGTCCAGCTCTGTCCGGAAGTACAAGGCCCCCAGAGCAGAAAATGTCTGTTTTCACATGCATGGGACGCCATGCCTTGCTGAAGTCTTTCTCGAATGCAGGGTCAAATTCGTATGCTCCGGTGGTATTCGGATCCCCTGTCCCGAATTTCTCCTGAAACGTGATTTTACCATTAATGCCAACAGTGGTCATGAGAGAAACGACGACTCCGCCAATGAGAAACTCATATCGGCCAGCAGCGTTACCGGATGGAAAGCTCCATGTCTGCAGCGGAGAGCCCGTCCATTTATAATAAGTAATCAAGTTGCCGGCCCCACAGATTGCCGTCTCATTACCAGGGCAAGTCATACTACACCTACTCTCGGGGACTAGCTTTGCGCCAGCTTTTCCGATATCCGCAACATCACCGCAGACTATTCAAGTTAGCTGGATCTTGAAATGGAAGACTGCAAAGATATCACGTACAACATTCCTCGCCGTAGGTCATTCCGCCGGCTCCAAAACCAAACATTGAACAACGGCTGAGGCAATTTGTTGCACTATTGTTGTCTTTATCAATTATTTGATACGGAAAAGTTCGTTTTTGATTGACATTGTCTCTAAAATGAAAATCAGCATCGTCTGCTATTACCAAGAAAAGAGACGGCCACGCTTACTCAAGACATCCTTGATATTCCCACGATCCAGGAAGGCCACCGGTCTGCGGTTCCGGGTTGGGCAACACGGTCAAATCACCTTTGGAGTACACGCTCATACGATTGGGACCACCACATTTTTCGCTAGTGTCTCCAGCGCAGCTCATGGAACAGTTTGAATCGTCCGCTAATGCTGCTTCCTTTCGAACATAATTATCGCAGAAGCATTGCCTGCTGAACTGAGTTCCAGCTACCACGTAGCCCATACCAGCACAGCGAGAGACGCAAGATTCGATTGTGAGCTTTGGATCATCGGGAAGTTGACGCTCCATGATTCGCCCGTTGGTATTATCCACGTAACAGCCAGCGTAGTCCCAACCAGTTGGCAACGCTGTTGGGACTGCACTGGTGGATGATGATACTGGCGTAGTTGATACAATTGCATCCGTTGGGGAAGAAGTAATTGTCGGCTGAGCGGTGGTTGGACCCGTCGAAGGAGAAACGGCAGTGTTCTGATACAGATTCAACCGATCAGGGCCTCCGCAATTCTGTTGAGGATTGCCATTGCAGGGCATTGTGCACTTCTCTTCTCCATCTGGGGCGGGACCTCCGTTGCGAAGTTCATTATCGCACCAACATTCACCACTATACTCGACGCCGGCATATACATAACCTTCGGACATGCACGCGTTTTCGCAATTTTCGACAGTCATATTAGATGGGCCACCCAAAGTGTAGCCGACATTGGACAAGGTTCTGGCCCCGACCGAGTCGGTATAACATCCTAGGTATTTCCAGTCATTTGGATCTGCTCTGGGAAACAATGCTGCTCCTTGGGCGAAACTGAAGAGTAAAGGGAACTGTGGACTTCTGTTTAGCTTGCTTTGGATTAGAACAATACAGATCATCTGTGAGCTTACTGCTAACATTCGGGCCGCGCGAGAAGAATGTAAATTAGCCATCTTAACGGATATCCAAGAGGGGAGCTCTCCGAGTAGGAAGCCCCGTCTAAGATGCAAGATGGTTAATTGACTGAACGTTTTTGGATACAGCAGGAGCCTACAATAACTACTCCATAGGAACGGACTACTTTATACCCCGACAATTCGGGCACGACTTCCTCCTTTCAAGGAGCATGGCCCTGGCGGTTTTGAATCACACCAGGCACAATTCACATGACTTTTACGGTAAAGTGCTAGTGGAGTTTCTCTTCAGCTCGCCAGCTGATTAGGAAATGGTCCATAAGCGTTTCTAGTCACCAAGGGCCTTCATGTGTTTGACAAGAGCATTGGGAATCTGGATTGCACCATATCGGTGAGTTACGTTCCGTCTACGCGAGGACTACCCCAATCAGATAAAAGACTAGCAGATATGGTTCATGCAAGCACTTTTTGGGGAATTTGCTTTTCGGGTACCTCCGTATTCGCGATATGTTTTCACGATGCGTTTGGGCAAGGCTAAAGAAGCACAAAATGGGGTTCAATTCAAGACACCCTGGTACTTGCATATGGAGGCTGTGAGACATAATCTGCATAGCTGGTTGGAAGGCTAATAATAGCGTTTACTCCAGGAATTTCGAAAGTATTAGCGTAACGGGGAGTCAGACAAGGTGAAACTGAAGGGAGGCCAAAACCTCCAAGCGAACAGTTTGGCTGGGGATGCGGTGAGTGGCTAGTTAAAGCTCTGTTTGTTTTGTTTGTTTAGCTAACTAGAGGAGATGTTTGCTTGATTTGCGCTCTGCCAAAGCCAAAAAAATCACGATTCGCGACTTAGACAAACGCCTAAGGAGAAGGACGGAGTTCAAATGCATTGAGTGTTTCGTACAGGTTATTCTAACTCGCTATTTCAGTTTATGAGCATACAGATGACCCTTAACTATCTCGTATAATTAATTCATATACTGACTGCCCTAGTCGTTTTGCTAGGGCTTGTCGTCTAGGGTCGTTGGCTCGATGGTTGACTACTGCAGTTCGAGCGTATCATGCTCCGCATGGCCTCTGTTCTTCCACATCAAGAACTCTGACTCTAGATCCAAGTTTGGGCTTGGCGTTAAACGGTTACACCCGGAGGCAAATTTCGATATCACTCGGGGAAAAAGAAAAAGCGGGCTGGTTCTTTTTCAGCTACATGGACCTTCTTGCCACATCCTGACCGATTTGACAGTCATCCCTCGATTATTATCTTCCGGCCAAGTGGGATAAAATGTGTCGAGACCTGCCAAGTGGGATTAGGGCTGCGAACGTGGCAAGAGACAGGAATAAGAAGATCAGAAAAAGCAAAGAAAAAAGAAAAAAAAAAAAAAGAAAAGTCCGCAAGCTTACTCTTGTAAAAGTCCGAGGCTGCCAGGCCCTCGTCAGTCCATGGCTTCCGACCGAGGCCATCTGAAAACCAGCCATTTGTGCTGCCAACAGCGACATTCAAAATGAGATAAAACGGCTGATCGAAAGGAGTATTCGAGTTTCCTGTCTGTGACCAAGGATCCATAAGCAAAGATGAATTGACGGTTACTCCCTCAAATTCACCCCGTTGCCACATTGTTTGGTCTTTGTTGAATTTCCAATAGAGCACCTGCTGCAGCGGACTATCGATATATGTGAACATATAATCCCTGGACCACTCGAGGCCAAAGGTGTGGAATCCTTTGGTGTAATCAGTCCGACGGATGGATTTCCCGCGAGTTGATCTCCAAAAGGCGTCGGTCTCAGGTGTTGGCCCTGCGAACGTTCAGACCATGAACTCTTGCGTCCCAAAAAACGGGGCAGAATATGCGGATGTACTGACCCCAGTGTATAGAACCTGACACGACATCCCTGCCGCCAAGACTATAGTCGACATCGTTTCCCCGGCTCTCTGCGATATCAATTTCGCCGCTTGCAGGCCAGGTACCATAGGTTTCATTCACAGGCATCATCCCTAGGATAAGAAGTAAATCAGCGAAGAACCTCCACTAGAAGGGGCTTTACTTACATATGGCAGGCCAGAGCCAGTCTCCCTGTGGCATCTTGGCGACCACTTCAACTCGGCCATAGCGGATGCTCTTCTTTCCCTTCGTGTTCAGTCTGGCCGACCGGACTGGAGGGATAATTAACCCTAGGGTTTTATTCGATCGAATCGAGCATGCTTCGTTGGTGTTTGCCGTACAAGACCCATCTCCACCAGCTCTCGTTAGATTCAGCGTATATCCATCGATAAGCTGTGCCTCGGTGATTGAAGTCGTTTCCGTGGTTAAAGTCGGCACGATGTGAAGCCCTTCACTGTCAACAAAAGAGTTCCTTTCGTCTGTTGTGGTCCAGTCAAAAGCGCCCGTGCCAAATCCGCCAATCTAGTGACTCTGCTTAGTGTTTCACAATGAATGTAATTGCGATGAGAGAGAGACATACCTGAACCTCGTGGTTCCATACGTCTCTGTTGAGCGATGAAAACTGGTCATCTAGAATGAGGCAATACTACGGTTTTGGGTCAGCATGAAGGAGTTATTCGTTGCCCGCTAAACGTACCTCATGCCGTGCCACCTTCTGGCTGACGGAAAAGTTAATATACGCACTCAAGGCTAGGCCTGCAACGATGAATCCCCAAATGATATAGTTGCCGACCCGAGTCTTCTTTAGTTTCCTGTCGTTCAACCATGGCCTTTCGTACTGACCATTTAGTCTGTAGGACTTAAACTGGCGTCGTGCAGCCTGTCTGGATCCTGACGGGATATCCGACGGCTGTGAAGAATAGGATGCGGCTCTCAGGGATGCGGCTGCGCTGTCAGAGAAAGGGTTCCGAGGGGCGCGGGCGGACTTTTCCATGGCAGCAATCCTATTCTTGTGGTAAGTGTCTCTCGTGAGACGTAGGGGAAAGCGGCCCTTTATGAGGTCTTTGCTGCAGGATTACGCCAAAACTCGTGTTTACGAATGGCTGTCGATGTCCAACTCTCCTCCCAGGATGGCATTTTTATACTATTTTCTCTGATTGACCCTAGGCATGTTTTGCCTAATTATGTGCCATGTGGTTTAACAATGACAGATTTTAGCTTATCACTAGAAAGCCCTTTCAAGAAGCACGTCTATCATTAACTGCTTCTTGCTGGCTGGTATTTGTACGGAGTACTCCGTATGGAGTACACAGGTCTCATAATACGGCCTATAAAATTCGCCTGCTATCTCAAGTGGTTGGCTTGTCAATACAAGCAGCGTGGTAAAACTCTCCTTTTTTTTTCTTTTTGGCCATGTTTATACCCCCCGGCCCCCTGTCAGTTGCATTGACCCACAGCTTGCCATCATTCCTGGCGTGGCAGAAAATCCGCGGCGATCACCCCCGGAAGGCGAGCCGAGAGCAACTCTGCCAAGCCAGCCTAGCTCAAATTGGGCTGGGGCTGCGACCTCATGTCTCGCTTTCCGCCAAAAAAACGCTGTCACTCCTGTTGCTGTCAGCGGGCAGCCGCTCACCGACCTCAATTCTTCGCTTCTTAATTACTGGGGCTCTCTTAGCCCAATTGCCCCATTGGGTAGATCAGTCTTTTGATGGACTGCGAGCGGAGGACTCAAAACGTGCCTCGCTAGCTCCATATCTTGCGCCTCAGCTCAAAACAGTGGCAGAAACAGGAGAATTTGGTGCCATCTCAATGCACGAAATAACCATGCTAGCGTGATCCACAGTTTTAAGACTCCGTACTCCATACAGAGTAGTTATGGCCCCAATCGTTCTGTCCCTTTCAACCAGCCTCCCCAATCTCAGGATACAAATCAATGCGATATGGCTCGCTTGGATCAAGAGACCACTGCTTCTCGCTTATTTTATCTTTCATCTCCTCCGTCCTCCGTACTCTGTCACTTTCAAAGTCACAGCTCCATCCAATAATTGCCCGATGGTGACAGCCCTACACATGCCAAGAGTTGAGTACCCGTCAGCCGATGTCGATAGAGGATGTTGTTCGGAGTTCCGTTCAAAAGCCTCTGCAATATGTCCGTGCCCAAGACATCTTGATTCAATATCAAACCGGGGGATCTGTTTTTATGCACTGGTTTCTTTGTTGGGAAATTTTTGATTGTGAAACAGCTCCAGCATGCACTGCCTCCATTGGACTCCCGGACTGTCAATTTAAAAAAAAATATGCTGACGACCAGGAATGGTAGTCAAATTTTCCTTGCGTACGGAGTACTATGTAGTGCATTCTTTTATTCTGATAGGGGGCCTTTCGCTTTCGCTGTCCCTCCCCCCACCGCACCCCCCGGGGAACAATGTGACGAAACCAAGGGCACACTTGGTCTAGTGTTATCACTGGCCCAGTAGGCTATGGATATCTCCTTAGAACTCCAGGTGAGAAAGAAATTCTTCTTGCCCAGCTAGGCTGCTCTAACTAAAGATACCAAAGCTTTTCTTTTAGAGCATAGTTAAACAAGTTCAATAATGACCAAAGTCCTAAGTTTTTTTAACGTTGGAGTTACGAAATATAGGGTGTTAATGTGTTTACCTCATACCGAAGTTAAGGATTGAATGTCAAATGTGAATGTCCACAAAGGTAACCCGGATTTTTGGGAGTATTCTGGGAGAGAAACACCAGATAAGAGCGAGAGGAGTTATGGGCACCAGCGTGCAAGTTTCTGCGGGTCAGATGCCCCGCGCCGGGCGGGCAACAGGCGGTACAAGTGCAGATCCAGCAATAGAAGGGCTATTTTTGCCCGGGGCCCGGGGGTTTGCTCCGACCAACTTGTCGCCTCATCCCTACAAGCCGAGGATATGCGGTCTTAGGATGAAGTGCTGACATTACTCGAGCGAGGGCCTCCGCGAGCAACAGGCAGTACCGATATACCATGGCAAAGATCGACAGCCAGCCTATTGCCTCAGGCGGACGAGGGCTTGGACCGCACCGGCGGTGCTTTCGAAGCAAGCGCTGTTTGGCATTTTTTGGCATTATGTTTTTTTGGATTGATTCAGGAAGGAGAACAGGGCAAGTTGGAGAAAGGGATAGAGAAACATTTGAAAAACTCTTGTCGGGATACACTCAAGCTGCCTGTCTCGGTCTTTCGGGGACAGCCATGTTGTTAGAAAAGCTTGGTAGGGCTCTCTGAACTTTCGTTGACTCGATACATCATACATGACCTTCATGGCGCCAACAAACTTAGTTTCAACATTCAGGTCAATGAATCCCTTCACAAGTAAATGCAATGCTGCCGGACCTGCACTCGGCGACTTCGAGAAATGTACCTTGTCAGACGATGGTGCGAAATACCCAAACCTACTTTGAGAAATACCTCCACAGAATGTCAAAGTCAAGACACCTTGTTTTTGAAAAGACAACTCCTGCATAAGAATGCTGCCTAGAAGGCACATGAAGGTCCAAAATATCCTTCAAACTACGATGAACGCCATAAAACACTTACTACTCGAGCATCACAAGAATTGTTGGCCTCCCTGCTTGATTGAGCCTTGTCAGCAAATTCCTGTTTGTTTGACAAAAAAGCTTTTAATATTACAAATATATAAACTCGAGGATCCCGAGATAAAATAGTAAAGACAGGCAAATCACCCTGAAATAAAGAATAACAATCATGGGAGCAACATTCAAAGTTCATCTCGGATCGCAACGTCGAAGATAGAAACTTGCCCACAAGAGAAACAAAGATAAAGCCACTGCAGTTCCAAATTCTATCCCCGCTCAGACACCGCCTCACTTCGGATTCTAATATAGGACAAATATGGTCGGTTCTCCGCTTCATCTCCCGATGCCATCCTAGAAGAGCTTTCCGTTCTCCTAGTAGAAACTTAGGCCTCGCAGTTCTTTCCGTGCCTGCCCCTGAAGCGTCCGTATGTCTTTCCGTGGTCGCCGCCCTTGGAGTGTCCACATTCATTTTCATCGTGCTTGTGGCCGTCATGCTTGTGGCCGTTGTGCTTGTGGCCATCATGCCCATGGCCGCCATGCTTGTGGCCGTCGTGCCCATGGCCGCCGTGCTTGTGGTCATCATGCCCATGGCCGCCGTGCTTGTGGCCGTCGTGCTTGTCACCATGCCTCTTTTCATCTTTCATATGGCCGCCGTGTTTGGAGTGTCCATATTCATTGTCGTGTTGCATGTGGCCACCATGTTTGAAGTCACCGTGTTGCTTTTCGGGTTGCATGAGGCCACCATGCACGAAGTCACCATGTTGCTTTCCGGGTTGCATGAGGCCACCATGCATGAAGTCACCATGTTCCTTCTCATCCTGCATATGGCCGTCGTGCTTGTGGCCGCCGTGCTTGTGGTCATCGTGCCCATGGCCGCCGTGCTTGTGGCCGTCGTGTCCATGGCCGCCGTGCTTGTGGTCGTCGTGTCCATGGCCGCCGTACTTGTGGCCGCCGTGCTTGTGGTCGTCGTGCCCATGGCCGCCGTGCTTGTGGTCATCGTGCCCATGGCCGCCGTGCTTGTGGTCGTCGTGCCCATGGCCGCCGTGCTTGTGGCCGTCGTGTCCATGGCCGCCGTACTTGTGGCCGCCGTGCTTGTGGTCGTCGTGCCCATGGCCGCCGTGCTTGTGGTCATCGTGCCCATGGCCGCCGTGCTTGTGGTCGTCGTGCCCATGGCCGCCGTGCTTGTGGCCGTCGTGTCCATGGCCGCCGTGCTTGTGGTCGTCGTGTCCATGGCCGCCGTGCTTGTGGTCGTCGTGTCCATGGCCGCCGTACTTGTGGCCGCCGTGCTTGTGGTCGTCGTGTCCATGGCCGCCGTGCTTGTGGTCGTCGTGTTGCATGTGGCGGCCATGCTTGGAGTCACCGTGATGGTCTCCGCCGCCGAATTGTATGTGCTTCAAGCCTTCGTGCATGTTGTTATCATCCTCGAAGTGCCCGTGGTTGTTTTCCGTTTGGTCACCACCTTTGAACAGTTTGTTTAGCAAATTGTCATTCTCCGCGTGGCCGCGACCCTTGAAAAGTTTATGTATCATGTTATCGTTTTCTGCGTGGTGGCCACCCTTGAAGAACTTATGTATCATGTTGTCGTCCGCATCATGACCCTGTCGACAGCAAGTCCAGCAATTGCCCTATGAGTTTTGACAGGTGTATCAGTACGGGTACCCAATTATGCATGTAGTGGTTAATTCATTTCAGTATAGATATGTATCTGTTGACGTGTCCTCTCATGGTGTGTGAAGAGTTTTTGCAGTAAGCAGAAACGTAGAGCAGAAATATGGCACACATACCACTCTAAGAACAATCTATTAAAGTCATAAATGTCAGCAGTGCTTCAATTAGGGGAAATACCTGAATACCTAATACATACCATGCGCGCGGGACATAAACGGGGACGATGCCAGCAAGCCCTGAGGCAAGCCTGTGGAGCATGGTTGTCTTCGTGAACTCCGTGATGAATATTGTTGTCTGGAAAATTAAATGAACCAATAGCCCAAGCGGGAGTAGCCACAAGAGCAGTGGCAGCAATAGCCGTTGTCAGATGCATATTTTTTATGGCTTCGAATGCAGGAGACCGGGGGTAGAGAATTCAAAAGAGACTGGATACGATTGCTCTCGATGCCTTTGAAGCCGGATCTGATGTCTAGCAGTAAGCCCCCAAAGACACAAGGGCATGAAGGGCTTTTATATCTCGTCTCATGCTCTCAATATTCGCCAGCCCGAAAATTCTGGGGGAGAGATCTTCGCAGTTCTCTGAATCATAGATACATGTCTATGAGCAGGAACAGAACCAGCCACACTGATAATGACGCCTTGAGCAAGATTACTCTGGGAGCAACTCTATGAACTCAAGTCAAAGAATCAGCTCCTTCAAGCATTGCCAGCTCATCGCTATTGAGGGATCAGACCCTCGTTTGGCGCAACACAAGACTCAAAGCTCTCTGTGGATTGGTGATGGCTGGAGTTCGGGTGTGACAAGGAGGCTTTGAGTTCATTGAGGGCAGGTTCATCGGCTTCATTTGTCTCGATTCCTGCTCCGATTGTCTTGATCGATTGTGCCTGGATTTCTTCAGAAGCGGGAGGATGTTGATCTGCCGGAAGATCGACACGGTTCACTCTGGATGATGATGCAAGAGATGGCCTGCAGACGGGCGGGAGCCCACCTAATCCGCTCCGGGCTAGCGCATCCCGAAGTGCTGCTGCAGGTCAAGGCTTGGCGTCAGGGGCCTTGAGACAACCCCGATCGGACGCCAGTCGAGACCCAAGTTGGCGGTCGACTCGAGAGATGCAGGGCCAACCCGCCACTGAATCTAATATTCTCCTCCGACTCGTTAGCCAACTTTGTCCGAAGAACCATGCAGCGCCAGTTGCAGGCCAAAGGGATAACTTGGCCCTCCATCCTTGACACTGGCGAAAGGCTCGAGTCTATCCTGGTCAATCCGGAGACATCGTTGCATTGGATTGAGACGCGGACCCCCGCTAGCAAGAATAAATGCATATTTTCGCTTGCTGCCTCTTGTTTTTTCTCGAATTGTTCGTATTTCACGCATCGAGCCAGACACTCGGTGACCACCCAGCGGATTGCTCTTACAGGGATGGTTGTCGCAAATCTCCACCTTTTTAATATGTGTCTCGAAAAGAAAAAGCATGGTTGGCTTTCATGGAGACCCAATGCGTTGTTCCTCCGCCTCTCGCATGGCTGAAGCTGAAAATGTGCACTCGTGGATCAGCAAATCTATAATTATGATCATCCGGTTTGCCGCACCTTAGCGAACACGATAAGATAGCAGCCATGGCGTTTTCGGAGGCTCTCTGATAATTTCGGGCGGCATCTTCAGCGGAGCCTGAGACAAATCGCAGTGTCAAATCAACTTTGCCTATTGACGTACTTCATCACCTCGAGCTGGCATCTCCGGTCCCAAAATGATGCTCTGAAAAATACTGATGGTCACCTCTTTGATCTGAGTTCACATTGTGGACTGTCAGTTCGAATTAAACCTGTTCCTGATCACTTTAACCTTTTGCCCTTCTCTTCAAGCCAGAGCAAAGGTTTTCCCCGAGAGAATCGGATAGGTACATACTCTCTTCACAGCAAGGATGTTTTGGAGAAGTGCAAAATCGGACAACCTTGAGTCTACGCAGCCATCCGCACAAGTTTCCACGGAAAATGTGTCCCCAAGGCTCTCTGGTTGTTCTTCTGCCCAAGGAACTGCTAGCCGGCCATTCTCTCAATCTGAAAACCGCATGACAATAGCAGGAATTGATGAGGACTCAAAGTATAGAGCTGTTTGTTAATCTACAACCCCATGGCTGCCAGCTTTTTCATTGACTTTGCTCTAGATAATTAAATATCTTCACGCGAGACTTGCCACAAACCAATGGTATTCTCTGCCCACAGATCCAACGGTCGAGTACCATGGTCTTCTGCTCCGGAAGTCTCGCGGGAGTTATATTTCCGAACCGGAAAATGTGCATCCACTCTTGCTCGCTGCTGTGCAAAAGATCAATGTCTCGGTTGCTTTCACAATGTCAACTGAGACTACCAGAATCATCCTCTCACTTCTACAACCAAATCAGACTGAACTGGTACTCCCAAATGGGTTCCAGGTTCAGGTTATTGACTCCCTAGCAGATATTGCCTGTTCCCCGTCAAGCTCTGTAAAGAAGTTTCAATACGTAGCCTTTATTCGAGAGGAGGGATTTCTCCTGGTCTGGCATGATGAGCTAGATAAAATACTTCTCCACGCGGAAGATGTTGAAAGCAAACTTCTCTCTTTTGTAAGTAAAGCCCCATAGCGGCCTCGAATCACTACCTGATCCTTTTAACTCTAGATTTGTGGAACATCTACGTCTGTGTTTGCTTCGTCGATTCCTCGGTACCCCCTTCAACGCTCACCCCTCCACTCTGCTGCCAACTCGACACATCAATTTACGACGCGGCGGAGCAAAGAGGCGGGTGATGTCGTAAATCAGACATCAAGTCCCCCCGATGAAGAAGCTGCAAACCCTGTTGAATCGTTAGATAGGCCGGTCGCATTGACAAGTTCAATATTCGTCGGCCTAGGAGCATGTTTAATCATTGTTCTCATCTTAGGCTTCGGTGTCTCTAATCTTGTCTTACAAGTCCTCGTTGATGGAAAATGGTCAAGACTGGGGTTGCTTGCGACTATACCAGTCTTTATGCTTTTCAGTGTCTTTTTTGTTATTGTAATCTTTACCGATATTTTCCAGGCCATCGGGCCTATCAAAACCCTAAAAACAAATTCTCGATTTTATTCCGCCCTTCGGCCAGATCTTGCGCAGGCCTACTCTCTGGGCTTCAAGCCTCCTCGACTTACAATCCAGATGCCCGTTTACACTGAGTCATTGAACGGCGTTATCATTCCAACGATTACAAGCTTGAAAGCGGCTATATCGCACTACGAGTCTCATGGAGGTGAGCTATCCATCTCGATCTTGCTTACATTCCGATATCTAACTGGGAATGTGTCTTCAGGTGCTGCAACAATTTTTGTCAATGACGATGGCTTAGCATATCTCTCGGAAGAGGAAAGAGAAGACCGTATCAACTATTACCATGACAACAATATCGGTTGGGTGGCTCGACCCAGGAACAACGAAGATGGATATATCCGAAAGGGTAAATTTAAAAAAGCCTCCAACATGAACTTCGCCTTGAATATTTCCAATAAGGTTGAAGATAAGCTTCTTGGAATGCTGTCAGAGACACTAGAGACAACGGATATGGTTGATGTAGGCCGGGAAGAACTCTTTTACCAGCTGGCCCTGGAAGAAGTTCTTGCCTCTGATAGCAGAGTCAAAGCTGCCGGAGATATTCGCATAGGGGAAGCGATCCTGATTGTGGACTCTGATACTCGAGTGGTACGTCTGCCGTTTTGGAGAAATCTTGAAAATATTCGCTCTAACTCTCCAATCCAGCCAGTCGACTGCTTACTATACGGTGCTGCCGAGATGTTTCTCAATCCGGAGGTGGCGATTATTCAACATTCAACCGGTGTCATGCAGGTTTCTGAGGATTATTTTGAGAACGGAATCACATTTTTTACAAACCTGATATATTCTGCAATTAGATTCGCAGTTGGAAGCGGAGAGACAGCTCCATTCGTGGGGCACAATGCTTTTCTTCGTTGGCAGGGTAGGCATCTGAATTGTCATCGGACGCAATTGTCGCTTGCTAACTTTGACTAGCGGTCCAATCAGTCGGTAAACAAGATGACGGGTATGTAGCGTATTGGTCGGAAAGTCATGTCTCGGAAGACTTTGACATCGCTCTTCGTCTACAGATAGCTGGAAATATTGTTCGACTCGCAAGCTATCACGGTGACGAGTTTAAAGAGGGCGTATCTCTAACTATTTATGACGAGTTGGCGCGCTGGGAAAAGTACGTGTTTCCAAATGACCCCCAACATATGTTCAGTCCGCAGGAATACTGACGGTATCGATATAGGTACGCATATGGATGTAATGAGCTCGTTTTCAATCCAATTTATACCTGGATATACAAAGGGCCCTTTACTAGGCTCTTCATGACCTTTCTTTGGTGCAATTTGCAGCTATCATCAAAGATTACGATTCTGGGGTACATTTCTTCATGTGAGATCATAATCTGCCCGTAAAACCTCCCGTGACCCTAACTGATTTGTTTTAGATTATGCATTGGCATCTGGATTTCCATTGACAGTCATGAATTATTTCTTAGTCGGCTGGCTCAACGGCAGCTTGGACAAGTTCTATCTTGAATCCTGGAAAGGTATTTATGTCGGCCCTCACCGAACCTCGCATCATGCTAATGTACTCATTTCTAGTTTTCCTGGGCCTCATCCTCGTCTTTCCCCTCCTTGGTAACATTTGTCTAGCCATTATCCGCTACCGTCTCGCAGAAAAGAGCCTATGGGGCGCTCTTCTCGAAAACTTCAAATGGGCGCCGATGATGGCAATCTTTTTCGGTGGCATCTCGTTCCACATCAGCTTGGCGATCCTCTCCCAAATGTTTCGTGTCAACATGGAATGGGGAGCGACAGCTAAGGAGAAAGTTGATTCTAACTTCTTCAAGGAGATGCCCAAAATTTTCAAAAGCTTCAAGTGGATGTATGCCGTCGTCTTGCCTCTGATCGGTGGTATGGTGTACCTGGGCTGCTTTGCTCCAAGAGGCTGGGAGATCACGGAGATTGCAGCAGTCGTGCCTTTATCAGTGACTCTAGCTTCACATGCTCTTCTTCCCTTGCTTCTCAACCCTTCGTTGATGATATTCAATTACTAAGATACTAATACTTGGTGCAAGTCTGTGGCGTCGGAGGATGCGTTTGTTTTTGACTCGAAACCTCTCATAGATGGTCCTTGTGTTTTAAGCCCCATGTTAAACTTGCCTCTTTCTTTTTCTTTTCTTTTCTTTCTTGGTATTTTTTTTTTTTTTTTTTTTTTTTTTTTTTCCTTTTTGGGCGCGTTTGAGGAGCATTTTGGCGGTGTATGTTATAGAGCTGGACTATTGGTTGTGTGTACCGTCAGACTAGAGAGGCAGTAATATGATATCAGTACGGAGTAACCACTCCGTAATGCCTCGCGCTTGACTGAGTTGAGCCCCGTGGAAGAAAAACTTTCAAGCTTCTCTGGCTGAGTTGACCTCATCTGTCTGAGAACAACGAACAAAGCTACCATTTTTGCAATATCAGCCAGAGTTTCAACCTGGATCTGACTAAAACAGCCGGTGGTATGTACTCCATATGTACAGAAATCGCCAAATATAGACGCCATGCGGAGCACAAAGAGAGTTCGAAGCATCAAGGCGGAGTGGAAAGAATTTTCTGGCTGAAACAACGCCAACGCAACGTCGAAAAATGATTCCGGCCATCAAAATAACCGGACTTATTTTCGCAAGAAAAACATGACAGAATGCGACTAAGTTTGATTCGCGATTCCATTGTTATAATAGGGCGATGGCGAGACCCTCTTTCGTTTGTTTAGCACGGACAGCGTGCAGCGCAGTTGCATTGGTCTGGGATCACCCATGTCATCGCGCTCCACGTCTTTCTGGGTAACAAGATATGAGACTAGCGCGTCTCGATGTCTTGGTCAAATACGGAGACAAAATATACGGAGTAGGTATCCCGAAATTCCACGATAGGGCAATGGAAATGGGAAAAGGATGATTGGGCATCTGCTTAAATTCTCCTTCTTTGGAAGTATCCATTTCCCCCTAGAAAGGTCCCCTCAAGAAAAGCTTCTTGATGGTCGCAAGCAGGCTAAAATAGCGGGTGCCCAGCGGTGACGGGCTTCTCTGGGAGCACAGTTCGCTTCGCTTGTGAGTCTCGCCAACAATGCGCTGCTCTCGCGGCACTATGCAATCGCATTATGATGTCGCAGGGGTGCCTGCACGCTGCCCCCAAGATTGAGCATGGGTGGGACAATATCCGATATGGATTCATATAAAACAAGTACCGGTTATTCTGTGCCCTGCATCGAGTCTGGTCACAAGCTTTTACGCAAGGGTTTGATGCTTATGCACTTGGGAGATCTCCTAGCAAACCAGGGAGTCACCTACTTGTCAAGTAGGCTCTGCACCCATTGTTGTCAGTTGAGCCACACCTATTCAGAATGATGATCGCCGTAATTCTGGCGACGCTATGGGCGACTTCAGCTCTTCCCAAAACATGGGCCCTCCCAACGTGGCCTTCGCCTGCCGACGAACTCGAAGATCTTATGTTCCTCCACACCGGCTACCGTGCTCGAGGATTTGCTGCCGGCGTAACGCCATGCTCTTTCTCCAAACAGGGCCCTTCTCGAATTGCGTCCGCCGAATGGCTTCGTACTGCGTTCCATGATATGTCCACCGGGAATGTTTTCACTGGCGTCGGTGGCCTGGACGCCTCGATTATGTACGAGATAGGTGGAAATGGAGGAGAGAATCCCGGCCCAACATTCAACAATACCCTTGAAACCTTCACTCCCTTCTTCTCACCAAGAGCCTCTATGGCCGACCTGATAGCCTTGGGAGTGCACACCGCCGTTCGATCCTGCGGGGGTCCGATAGTCAAGGTCAGAGCGGGAAGAATCGATGCGACTTCTCGAGGTCCTGTTGGAGTGCCACAACCTGAGAACTCCCAGAGGACGTTTATCAACCAGTTTGCGCGAACTGGATTCAACATCTCCGAAATGATCGCCTTGACGGCTTGCGGGCATACGTTAGGAGGAGTTCATTCACAGGATTTCCCCCAAATTGTGAAACCGGGGACGGTGCAAAATGATTTCCAGCTGTTTGACTTGACCCCAGAATTCGACGAAAAGGTAGCGTCTGATTTTGTAAAAGGTGTTCACACCAACCCACTGGCAGGAGCCCTTGCACGTACGAATACACGAGACTCTGACACGAAGGTGTTCACTGCGGACAACAACAAGACGATAACAGCGTTGGCTGATCCAGCCGCGTTTCGAGATACATGCGCGAAAATGCTCCAAAGAATGATTGAGGTTGTTCCATCCGGAGTGAGCCTGACGGTTCCCATTTCGCCATATGAAGTTAAACCTTCGCACCTTCAGCTCGCGCTGGCCGGAAATGGTAGTACACTGTATTTCTCCGGTGAGATTCGGGTCAGGACGACACTTCAACCAGCCAGTGCAATTGCGAAAGTGCAACTCTTGTTCAAAGATCGCCGAGGTGGTACAGATTGCGATTCCTGTACAATTGGCACCGAACACAAGGGAAATGCAGCGGGTTTTGACGACAAGTTTGCTGTGCGTACTGTCTTGATCTAATATATACATATTTTATGGAATCTCCCACTGATGAGGTGCGCAGTTCTACGGAGTCTCGGCCAGTTTACCGGTTGATACGTCCATCTCTAGTTTCAAGGTACAAATCACTTTGGCCTCAGGTAAGGTAGAGGTGTACGACAACAATGGATTCGAATATCGTGTACAGGACACGATCATGCTCCAGCCTAAACAGAGCTGCTTTAGCAAAGCCGATTCTGCTGGTAATCTGACAATCACCGCTGCTGTAAGTCTCCCTACTTGTTGCCCTGAATCGTTCTATCAACGGCTGACCGACCCGAAGGTCCGAGACACAGTAGCATCGCCAAATGTGACACTTGCTCTGTTTATGAAAATACCTCGAGACTGCTGTGTTGTCCCCGCGCTGAAGACAAAGCTGATCGCTATGACAAAGCAAAGGAGCATCGGCCCATATACCTTGTTCTCAAGCAGCTATGCGCTAGAACCCTTCTTGAAATCTAGTACAATATTTGACGTTTCCGTGACAAGTGGAGGCAAAGTCATATTGGACAGTTTCAAGCGCACCGCCGAGTTAGGGTCGACGTGTGCGTCCTTCGGCTCAGATGGTCCTACCAAACCTGAGTTCAATTACGAGGGCTGCTTTACTGACAGCGTCGCCTCGAGGACTCTTACCGGGAAAGCGTCCGCCGACGACGAAATGACGATTGAGAAATGCGGCAGCCAATGTAAGGACTACCAGTTCTTCGGTCTCGAATACGGGAGGGAGTGCTTTTGCGGCAATACAAAAGGCTCAAGGAGCGTTAAGGTCGAAGAATCTGAATGTTCCATGGCCTGCGGAGGCGATAAATCCAAGGTTTGCGGCGCGCAAGATCGCCTGAACCTCTATAAGAACACAGCTTGGATCCCCACGATAAACCTCGATATTGCGGGATACAAACACCTTGGATGCTATGACGATTCGAGGGACAGCCGTGCGCTATCAGAGAGCTTTGTGTATAGCGACAAGATGACGGTGGATATGTGCGCTTCCTTCTGTGGTGGGGCAAATTATTTCGGTGTCGAGTATTACAGCGAGTGTTATTGTGGTGCTACCCTATCGCCGAGGAGTTCCAAACAGCCAGAAACAGATTGCAGCTTCCTCTGCTCTGGGAACAGTACTCAGTACTGCGGTGGGAGCGACAGGATCAATGTGTATATGAAGGAGCCTGTGCCCTCAGGCTGTAATGTCGACGCAACATCCCCAACTAGACGTGTGTAAAGGGGCTCTTACGATATATATCTAACATTGGCATGCACTCGAGATATAGATAGACTCCTGCTAGGAACAACTAAAGTAATATTTAATATTTTGCTGGAAAGATGGAAATTGAATAAACATAACCAAAACAACGTACGTGCTAAACATACCGTTTTAATCTTATTCAGAATGGGATTGATTTCTGGAGCAGGAATTAAAGCTTTCGCTTCATTCAACATCCCATATCCGCTCTTCAGAACAAACCACCAAGGTAGTAGGACGATTTTCGCGGTTTAAAAATCATGCAGTGCCGGAAAAATGTTGAGAACGGTATCCACCGATTCCCTCCGCTTTGGCCATGAATTCATCCTCCCAAAAACAAAAAAAAAAAAAAAAAAAAAAAGAAAAGACGCTTTTTCGGTCATGAAGATCATTATCAAGTTGATCCTCTGCTGAGACTTCAAGCGCTGGAAAAAGTGGACTCTGTGACTAAAATCGGGCTGGGTTGGCGTGGGAAAGCCAAGTGTTTGCAGAGAAAAGGTACACCAAGTTAGCAGGAAAAGGTAGCGTCAACAGTCTTTTAAAGGTTGTCGAAGCTGAATTCTCGAAGAATCACTTCATGCATTGTGTGGATTGTCGGTATCTTAGTGTCGGGTCAATGACATTCTGGATCGACATGAAAGGCATAGAGTACCTCCTATGTAGAATGTCTTCCTGGAATCAGTGATTGCATTCTTTGCACAGCTTATGCCGAATCCTGAGGCAATTAGGCGATGAGTTTAGTTTTTTTGGGCCTCTTTGTGCGTGATATATGATGTTACGTTCGCGGGTATGAAGACTTCCGGCAAAGTTTCCGTGAGGGAACTCGGATCCAGGGACGAAAACATCACCAAACTGATGAACCGGGGGCGCCAAGCAGCCCAGGCTGAATGAGAACATCCCTCGACCAGTTGCGACTCTCGTTACCGTTTGAAACGCTGACCAGACTTCTATTTTGGCAACATTGTGCCTCTGCACCATCATTTTTTCGTTCTAGACGGGCCCGGCGGCTAATTGTGTCTGGCACTTCGACGACGCTTTTCGATCGGTAGGATGATAATGATCGATGACTTTGGCTTCCATTGAGACGGCTAGCTATTTATTACCTTTGATCCTAGCAGCACGGTTCTCGAAGCTCTCGGCTCGGTGACGATGAGCCACGGCAGCTCTCCAGCTGGCGCTTCTACAGAGCTGCCACTTCTCTAAGCTTTGGCAGAGTGTCAACTCCATAGTCTGTGGTCCAATTGCCATGGCTTATTGGAGAATTTGAATCGCAATAGAATCCTTCTATTCAGTTTTGATTTCATCTTGGTTCTCTCATGGCATTGCAGCCATCTGTTGCTGACATTCAGGTATATAAGGGACAGCTTTCCCTTCGGGCTCATGATATCCCCATTTCTGCTCCTTACAAGCTTCCTCAATCAGTATCGTTGGACCAATCCAGTCGTTACTCGTTACCCTTAAAAAAAATAACACTATCCATCAATTAGAATGCGTCTTCGAAGTTTCCTCTTATCTATCGCTTTAATCGACGGTATTCTTGCCGGTAGTTGGGTGAAGCTCGAGCCCTTTCACACCAAGGCGCTCCTGGCTCGTCGGGGCCAAAAGGACGGTTCCTTCACCCCTGGCACAAGCCCAGGTACAGGCGGATCCTGTGGAGACGCGTTTGGAGCCGGGTTCACCGAATGTGCCACGAGCGGTGTATGCTACAGCCCCGACGAAGGGGACACTTGCTGTAGCGAAGGATGTAGGTGGAACCGATATATCAATGGTTTCTAGGCTTTCTTAGAACGCTGAAAGCTTCTCTAGACCCGTGCCCAGCCGGTTCCTTTTGTCTGGCCGCAGGCAAATGCTGTCCTGACGTGAGCCCTCGGCAACCCCCTTTGAAATTGTACCTGAGGTCCAGGATAGCTGACTGACTGTTCTTCCCAGGGGCTGTCGCCCGAGGAATGCGCCGCTAAGCTCAGCGTAACACTGAGCCTTACCAAGCAGCCGCAGCCTTCTCAGCAGCCGCCCGCTACGAACACACCTCCACCGCCTGCCAACCCTTCCTCCGCAAAGCCTCCAGTCGTTACTACCCACGTCTGTCCAAGTGGTCCTCATCCTCCTTATCCAACCGGTAGTCCCAACGCCACGATCCCTGGAAGCGGCAATCCGAACAGGCCGTCCGATCTACCGGAATTCACTGGCGCTGCCAGCCCGCAGAATGGGGTACAGGGTGCCGTCGCCGTTGTTGCTTTGCTTGGGTTTGTTCGGAATTTCTTGTGAAACTGTTTGTATGATGTTATAGATTTGTAGATTTGCATCTACCATTGGACCATCTCTACGCTTCTGCAAACTTTGATTAGAAAGCCTTTTTTGTGTAACTATTGCCGGTGTTTTCCAACGTGTTCCAAGAATACGCATGCCCAGAGGGATAGGGTAGTAGTGAAAATACTCTCTGTACATAAACCCCCAGTCTCGTGTTGCGCGCTGTCACTATGTAACAGCCGAACAAATGGACATGCATGTCACCAACTGACTGACGATCGGCATGGAGAGGTCGCATGGCGCACCGGGATAAGCGATGATGTCGCGACCAAGCAGCATGGAGAACAACGACGAGAGATCGCCGTTGACACCGCGCGCTGGCGAAAGGCGACCGCCGGCAGACGCTCGAAAGAGGGCCTGGGCCGGGGAGGGGAGCGGGGCAGCCCCGCCGAGATTACCTCATACCTGCAGTGCATCAGGTGAGTAACATCAACAAAAAATCTCTCCCGCCCAGCTTGCTGCCAGCTTTCCTCCCCCTGCGCCTGAACCTCCCGTCCGGGCTCAATTGCACCCGTCTACCAGCTTAAATTCAACCCTACGTTCAGCATTCCTCTTCTAGCTAAGCTCTCGTTCCCAGCCATGTCTGCTTTTGATCAAGCAACCTCGCTGGGCGCCTGGAAGGCCCTCGAGGAGCACCATAGCTCTGCGGGCAAGGACATTTCTCTAAAGGAAGAGTTCCAGAAGGATCCCCAGCGATTCAGCAAGTTCTCCCGCACGTTCAACAACCCCGCAGACGGCTCTGAAATCCTCTTTGACTTCTCCAAGAACCTGATCACCGATGAGACCCTCAAGCTCCTCGTCAACCTGGCCAAGGAAGCTGGGGTCGAGAAGCTTCGCGATGAGATGTTCAACGGTGATCCGATAAACTTTACTGAGAATCGTGCCGTCTACCATGTTGCCCTGCGCAACGTGTCCAATGGGCCCATGCAGGTCAACGGGAAGAGTGTCGTGGAGGAGGTCAATAGCGTCTTGCAGCACATGAAGGAGTTCTCAGAGCAGGTTAGAAGCGGGGAATGGAAAGGATATACTGGAAAGAAGATCAAGACTATCATCAACGTCGGAATTGGCGGTTCTGATCTGTAAGCTCCTTTTCTTGTGCAGCGTCGGCACGAGGAGTGACCACTGATGCTGACAATCAACAGCGGTCCAGTTATGGTCGCAGAGGCTCTAAAGCCATATGCTGACCGCAGCCTTACGGTGCACTTTGTCTCGAACATCGACGGAACACACATCGCTGAAGCACTGAAAGAATCCGACCCTGAAACCACCCTCTTCCTGATCGCGTCCAAGACTTTCACGACCGCCGAAACGATCACAAACGCTCAAACCGCAAAGGCCTGGTTCCTCGCGACAGCTAGAGACGAAGCCCATATCGCTAGGCATTTCGTCGCTCTCTCAACCAATGAAGCTGAGGTCACAAAGTTTGGTATCGACAAGAGGAACATGTTCGGTTTCGAGTCGTGGGTGGGCGGTCGGTACTCCGTGTGGAGCGCAATCGGCTTGTCCGTTGCTCTTTACATCGGCTTTGACAACTTCCACCAGTTCCTTGCTGGTGCCCATGCTATGGATAAACATTTCAGGGAGACTCCCCTCGAACAGAATATTCCGGTTCTCGGAGGCCTTTTGAGCGTTTGGTATAGTGATTTCTTTGGCGCTCAGACTCACCTGGTTTCGCCGTTTGACCAGTACCTACACCGATTCCCTGCCTACCTCCAGCAGCTCTCGATGGAAAGTAATGGCAAGGCCATCACCCGATCCGGCGACTTTGTCAAATACACCACCGGTGCTATCTTGTTTGGCGAGCCTGCCACCAATGCCCAGCACAGCTTCTTCCAGCTTCTCCATCAAGGCACGAAGCTCATCCCAGCCGACTTTATCATGGCTGCGGAATCACACAACCCCGTCGAAAACGGCAAGCATCAGCGCATGCTTGCTTCCAACTTCCTCGCTCAAGCTGAAGCTCTGATGGTCGGAAAGTCTCCCGACCAAGTTCGGGCCGAAGGAGCGCCAGAAAACCTCGTTCCTCACAAGACCTTCACAGGTAACCGTCCGACAACCTCTATCCTCGCTCAGAAGATCACTCCCGCCGCTCTGGGCGCTCTCATCGCATATTACGAGCATGTCACCTTCACCGAGGGCGCCGTCTGGAATATCAACTCGTTCGACCAGTGGGGAGTCGAGCTTGGCAAGGTCCTTGCAAAGAAGATCCAAAGCGAGCTGGAGACAAAGGGCGCAGGAAGCGGCCACGATGCTTCCACAAGTGGGCTGATTGCCGCTTACAAGAAGAAGGCCGGTCTTCTGTAAACCTATCAGCAGTAGACCAATTCAGCACTACAAGATAGTTTTGTGCATATAGCCATGTATTAAGCATAGTGTTGTGAATCAATAAAAACACTTGACAAAACTGGATGAGTGTATGTTTTCCCTTAAAAAAGCACTCTGTACTCTGTACTTAATGTCAGGGTGAATAATAATATTTGGATCAATCAGCATGGGGCTAGTGTCATCAGTGTGTGGTTGAAAGGTGCGGCGCATAGAACCTGTGATTTGTTTCAATATTTTGTTTTTTCCTGAAGCATCTTACCGTTGAATAACAGGGGGGTTCAAAACGCTTTTTCAAGCAATTTTCTTTGTTTTTGGATGATTGGTTGTAAACTCTGATCAATGTGTGAGGACAGATTGTTCATCCCTGCTGGCCCATCGGCACCGAGTTCCCACCTTCAACTCTCCCTGGAAACTCCGAAACCCCAACCCGCACTGCCTCCAACGGCCCGGGACGAGCGGACCGAATAAACGCAAATCATGTCCATACTATCGAGAGTATCGCCCTTTACGCAACTCGTATACGCCCGCGCAGTCATTCTGCTCCTCCTGTGCGGCGAGTTGGTGTCTGCCGGCAGACTGACGCATTCCCATGATTTCGCGAAGAGGACGTATAAATATGGCCAGGGCGTGCCAGTTAGTTGTTTAAATCGGACGATGTGAGTCAATTGGCCTGCCTTTTCCCAGTGAGATCAGGCAGAAGGTCTCGATCGCCTTGCAATTCGGGGATATATAGTTAAGCTAACCCATTGATGCTCTTCCGACGCAGAGACGCCGGCGAACATGTAAGTTATGCGATTTCTCGCCCGGAACCATGAACACCCGCGAATGGCATTATTCCACGCCGACCAAACGCAAAATATGTCCATTTGACTAAATTCTACAAAAAAAAAAAAATTTATAGGTAACCGATTCCTCGGGCAAACTCCAATACATCCCTTTCCCCACTTGCAACGAAACCTCCGCTCCGCTCTCCTTGCGCTACGGTGTCTCCGAAACTGTAACCTGCACCATCGACTCCCTCCCGGACACCCTCTACCACCTCTTTGAATACTACGTCCACTCCGACGCCCCGCTGGCATGTCGCGTGCCCACCGTCCCACTCCTCGAGCCCTCGAAACATTTCGACCCTGGCGCCACGGGAGAAGGTAGCCACGATGCGTTTATGGAGGGCGGTGCTCCAGCACCATTTACACCGTTGACGATTGCGCTGCAAGGGACGCTGCAGAAAAGTCATTTGCATGTTTGGTCGGATATGAATGTTTTGATTCATAGGTCGGCGGACGGGAGCAAGAAGAGGAAGACGGGGAGTAAGGCGAAGAAGATGCGGGGACAGATTGTTGCGGGCGCGGCGTATTCGATTCCCTCGGTCGATGTGGTGACGGAGGCGGATAGGAAAAAGAGTGGGGATGGGAAGATGGAGGTTGGAGATGTGCGTGTTCCTTGGGACCCGTGGAAGGCGGGAGAAGGTGCAAAGGTTCTACGTGGTGAGCCGTTGACATTCAAGTTTCATGTTGGCTGGGTTCAGGAGCCGAATGTTTCTGGGCTGGGGATGTCGCAGGGTTCCAATATGACGCTCTCCGAATTTTTGTATAACTCCCTTTTGTTTGTGGGCGCCGGATGTTTGGGAGCAGTCGTTGCTCTGTGGTGGGACCATTATAAGCGGAGACGGAGTAGCCTGTGGAATGGCGATGGACTCCTGGGCCATCCTGTCGGGCAAGGCGGATTTTTCGGTCGAAAAAGCCGTGGGGTGTCAATAAACTTAGGAAATGGAGGAAAAGCGAATGGATACGGAGGATACGGATTCAATGGCAAGAATGGGGCAAGCCAGGGCTACGGAGGATATTCAAGCGGAAAACGAGATTGACTGGCAAATTTTGGAGATTCTTTGTGAATGTTTCCTTTTAACGAATATATATGTGTGTATATCAGAATCCATGTATTTGTCTGAAATAAACTGCCTAGTAACCCATCTAATCCCGTAATAGTACATAAGAAAAAAAAACCATTGTATCCTCAGTGCAGTCAGATGTTCTTCCTGACATCTGCCGTCCGGTACAACATCAAGCATGTTTTTGCCATCCAGCGCATCGTCGACATCTGTGGGCACTTGTATTTACACGACCAACGATAGTATCCCCCGCAACCTCACTGAGCCCCCAAGATAATCCCAAGTGAATGCAACAGCGTTTAATACTACCTTTACCAACCCTGTTTTCTCAATTTCTCACATCTCGCAACCGTTTGCTGAAATGAGAATTTAAATAGCTTTCTCCATCGCTTCATTCTCACTTCTTTCCTCAGCTGGCCCCTCCGGACATAAAATCTCTGCTCTCTCTCGTGAACACGCACTTTGTTCGCTGCGCACCGGCTCTCCATTAGCGACAGAGCCTTCCCAACATCAAAGTTCCGCACATGATCCACTGCAACCGTGCGGCCCAAAGACGGCGACAGACGTAGCTCTACTGCCGAGGAAAGACTCTTTTTGGTCTCCGATCTCGAAGGAAGGCGCTTGTCGTACATATTCAGCATGTTTTTGATGTCTTGTCCCCAGAGGCCGTCGCTGGACGGCGATTGTCGGGGACTTGGGGCAGGGCTGGTTTTGGGAATAGGGTTTGCGGAGATGGCACGAAGGATCTGGTCGACTTCGCTTAGTTTTCCGGGCTTGCTTGCGTTCTCTGTGGAGGGGGTTTGGGCGTTATTCGCATTCGGGGGTGCGAAGTGCTGATTGCCAAATTTGGAATGAGGAGCTGAGGTCGCCGCCGCCGCAGCAGCCTCAGCGGATGTGCTTGTGGTTAGGGTTCGTTTTGATAGTGCGGCCATTGAGCGAGAAGGGGAAGCGACAGACATGAGGCGGAGGCATTGTCGGCGTGTCTGTTGGGCTTTTATTAAGCCATTGACGAATTGTCGGACCTCCATAGCGGAGGAGATGTGGAAATCAGCCTGCTAAAACCACAATTCAGGCCCAGCTTTGGATTCGAGATTCGATGGAAGGACCGGCGGGTGCAGCGAGCGGAGAGGAACGGCACGTCCACTGATTGAGTGATGATGGCATTCCAGTCGCCATCGAACTTTTTTTGGACGAGCATATATATCACGTGACTATAATTATTAGGTAATATGTTACTAATTAACATGGGCCAATCATGGTTAGTTAGTTAGTTAGTTAGTTAGATAAGATAAGATAAGAGGTAGGATCAGATCAATCACGGTTTCTCCCCGCGAAGCCGGACGACTAGTTGCAAGCAGGACTACGGAATACGCAAAAGGGGTTCTTTCAAGCCACCTTGGATAAGAAGTCAACTATTTTTCCATATCTATTTAGATTCGTCTTATCCCTCCGTTTTTACGCTTCATGATGGCTTCTATCACCATCGCGACCCTGCCCCGCATGACCCGGGAGGTCCTTTCTTCTTTGCTCCTCTCCTCCACAAGCGCCAGCAAGGTCGCCATCATTGATGTCAGAGATTCAGGTTCGCACATAATCCCATCAAAAGCGCCTCAAGAATATTGGCTAATTTTTTTTTTTTTTTTTCTTTTTGGCTTGTCACGCAGACCATGTTGGAGGACATATTCTCTCGTCGACTTGGATCCCCAGCTCCTCGTTGGAGGCACATATTCCAGAACTCATCCGCACCCTCAAAGATAAAGAACAAGTTGTCTTTCATTGCGCACTCAGTCAGCAGCGAGGTCCCTCCGCGGCGTTGAGATATGCTCGGGAGAGAGCCAGAGTCCTTGGTGAAGAGCAAGGAATCAAACAAAGGGTTTATGTCCTCGATGGTGGCTTTTTGCGTTGGCAGGAGAAGTACGGAGAGGATCAAAGATTGACGGAGGCTTATGTGAAGGATATCTGGTTGGATTACTGAGCGCGCTCGTCTATTTTACAAGAAAACTGGAAGACACATCGGTGTCTCTTTTCAACTGTTGAATACGGCGCTGGGCTTGGAATAAGTGGAAAGGCGTTGACTGGAACTCGGACATTTTCTGTTGGGGCCCAAGTGGGATTTAGCATAGATAAATCACTATCTAATAGAATATCGTGTATACATCGAGCAGGGAAATCTCGGTATGTACATACCAGCGCACTACGCGTAATATTTAATTAGGAAACTATCTGCAACAACTGTTTTAGGCTGGAACCTGTCCACCAAATCCCACAGGCCTTCTCATCCCGCCTGCCTCAGGTATAATGGCCATAGCTTTATAAATTCTTCCCATGCCTCCACCCCCTCTCTCCACTAGCCGCTTCCATCCGGCTTCTATATTCTTCCTTTTAGTCTCATCTTCAGCGCGTTTCATTAACTGTGCTGCTCTTTCTGATATACCCAGGGAGTGCAAAAAGCTTCCTTGCTCCGTGGGTCCGTGGACTTCGACGCCGGGACTGGCACTGATCGCAGAGTCGGCCAAAGCAATGAAGTCCACATCGGCGCTCAAGTCGACTTGACCAGGTGAGGTGAACGGAGACACTAGCTTATGGTCCTTAATACCGCGCAGTGAGTTGACGGGTATTGAATGCGATGGTCCATAATCCAAAATCAATGCAGCACCAGCAGGTTTCCGGGTGGTGGGGATTTTGCTATTTGAATGCCCTCCAATTCGGCGAGCAAACTCCTGTACATATCCCTGACTTTCGGGGCTAATTTCAATTGTCGATCCGCGGGTAGACTTCAGAGCCTTGTACCGTTCAGACATTTCAGGCATAACCATTGAAGCCGGAGTTGACGTTTTTGCGAGGGACAAACGGAATTCAAGACGATTTTCAGCGTGCATCTGCGATGCGGGATTAACGGACACAACTAGCTCCCTCCATTGTGTTGGGCTAGATGAGAGCGGTTGACGGAGCGTAGTAGGACCGGTCGGAGTGATTATTGTTTCGGAGGGAGGGGATGCAACGCATTGAAATGCATGGATTGGAAGAGCGTCGAAAAATTCGTGAGCAATTATGAAAGGTACATCATTATCACCTGTTCCAAAAAGGTCTTTCCTTAGTCTCTGAATCTTCGGGGGCTCTGAGGAAACGAACCTTGTGGGAGTGACCGAATATGTTCTGTCCATACAACTGGGACGCCCAGATGTTTGCTCGTACTCCGGTACCCTACTTCAATCTCTTCCATCGGTGCATCCCCGCATAGCATCTGCTTTTGTATATCCCGGAGAGTAGGACTCGCTTCCACAAGGTAAACCGCCTCGATACTCGAGGAGAAACTCTTGAAATTTCGCACAGACTTCAGACAAATCGCGTAAGCCACTTTTCATCTTTCGTCAGGGTCGACATCCGACTTACTCGAAGCATATCAGCCATGAGAGTGCCCCTTCCCGGGCCAACCTCGATCAGTTGAACACCGCGGCTTCGTCTCCCTTGGGCCATCCATTCCGTCACCATCCAGACACCCAAAAGCTCACCGAACATCTGTGAAATTTCCGGGGACGTGACAAAGTCTCCCTTTCTCCCGAACACTTCAACCCCAGTCGAACCACGCGACGTGTAGTAGCCGCCTTCGGGCGATGTGAGGCATTGTCGCATATACGCAGCGATGGAGATCGGGCCGGCAGTCTAGTCCACATCCCCCATAATTATTCAGTACGCCAAAGAGAACATAACATAAGAGGGCCGAAAAGAGGTCAAAATTCAATTGAAGAATCGTACGAACATTTATCACATCAGCGATGGTCTTCGCCAGCGGCGTGGACCACCGTCTCTGGGGTGCGGAGGACAGGTATCGTTTTGCTGCAGACGGCGTGGCCAGTCGAGAACATCGACTGGCTCTTGCCAATCGATTCACTATCTGGGTGGCACCATTGCTCATCTTTTGTGGATGAGAAAGATTGTCTGTCGCGTGGGTCTGGGAGAGATGAAGTTGGTCGTCATTTGAAATGGAACTCCCAAGGCCGAAGTTTGTTCCAACAGGAGCAGCCGGGTGAATATTCCGAGAGCCATCGGGAATTCGAATTAAATTTTGACCCGCGAACGACGGGGAAACTGTTCCACCACGCTCTCCGCAATATTCGAATTTAATCGCATTTCTGGGAAATCTTAATCGATGGGCATTAGTTATATGTGAAGCGACTAAAATAATAAGCTACGGACTGGTCTAGGAGTTTGACTAGAGACGTGAAGCCGGGTCTCATACCGCCCATACGTTAACAGCATGTGACGCTCATTCAAACATATACAATACAAAAGTATGTCCCAGATTTGAGTTATAAACGGGTCTCAATCTGCTCTGTATCCTCTCTCTCAACTTCATATTTACTGTCAGCGGCTCCCTGGTGGCTGGTCCCTGGTTGACCCTGCTCCCCGTAACCAGACGCCATCATCCTGCCGGCCAGCTGAAGCTTCAACCCTTTCAGGATTTCCTGCAGACGATGCCGCAACAATTCCGTTCTCGCTTCTGGGATTTGAGCTTCCAGACCTTCAATCCTGCTCTTAAGCTCCTTGATGGCTTGCTCATTCTGGTCTATCGTCCGGTGATCAACCTCCTCGTCAACGACCTTCTCCACAACAAGTTCCTCGCCGAAATGTTTAGCAAACTTCCTGCCTATATTGATATCATTAACTGCGAAAACAACCTGTTCAATTCCATCCCATGTTTCTTTCTCCTTTGTATCCCTGCCCGATCCATTCAATAACACTTTTCTCCAGGCGCTCGCAATCTCCTCGACAGGATTGCCGTACGCGCCGCACCCCCAAGCCCCCAGGACCACTCTATCAACGCGTTTCGCCTGGAATATTCTCATCACAGCGCGCATCTTCTTTTCAACAACTTCCCTCTCTTCCGGGTGTGTGTAGCTTCTTTCTCCCTCTTCGACTTCAGGAAATCTGAGCATGGCGGCACTCACCACCCCTACATGCTTCCTCTCACCCTTTGCTAAATTATTCCCTTCGGATGTCCCATCTCGGAAAATAAGGACATCCGGAGTCCACACTCCACCGACCTCCGGAAGTCGGTAAAACGACTCTTGCAATGAAGGGTACAGCGTAGTGCGCACGCAGAGAAACTCCTCCTGAGACGTAGCACCGTTAAGCACGCCGCCGCCTGGTCGAAGTGGAGAAGCCATGTTTAAAATCCCCACACCATTAGCAGTAGAGGACGGAGCTCCTGCATGGAGACGAAGTGCCGCAGTGATTGTATCCACTGCATGAATACTGATCCTCGGATTAGACCTTTCAGGAGCGTGCTCGGGGTCCGGAGCCGCTTTTGACCCGCGGCGATTTAATGGGTGCTCATTCGGAGGAGGGTCCACGATCAATTCTGTGCTTTCGACACCCTTGCGTGCTCTGGAGTCGGATGCCAGCAGGGCAGGAATAGACCGGTTGATAATTGCCTTGGCTTGCTTCGCGCGAGCATCTTTACGGAAGGATTGCGGTGGAAGGACGACGGAGGGTTTAAGCCGACCCATTGGTAGTTAACAGTGCTGGCCCATGCAGGATCCTCGACGAGGATGATTTCCGGGTCTCAAGCTATCGCAACGTTCGTTGAGTTATCACGTCGATGAATCTTTCAGATTCATGGTACTCCGTACGGAGTAGTAGTGTATGAAAGAGAGATATTTGTAAGGAAAATAGATCATAAAGAGCCGGAATCCAATGCTCGAAGTGCTACGTCCTCCGTTCCTACGGAGTACATATACCAAGCCAGAGGAGCATCTGAGAGAGCTCAACTTCAGAGAGTCAAAAAACCACCAAGGTGCCGGTGACGTCATCAACCAACCCGCCAAGCCGTTTCGACTTCGCAGCGACATCGTGAGGAGACAGCAAGGTACCCCGTTTACGGCGTCTGGGCGAGCTTTTTAACATGGGTTAAATCTGATGGATTCTTAAGGATGTATTACAGTGTTGGGCGAAATTCAAAAAGGGACGAACTTCAGAACGGAATTTGTTGATTGTTAGGAAGGCGAAAGGGCCGAACGCGCAATGAAAGCTCTCAAGCCAATAACTTGTCTCTACTCCGTACAGCAAAAGCAGTCAGAGACTGGCAAAAAGCACCGCTTAACGTACTCTCTCCAACACAAAGCATTTACTCTCGTAGCAGATTGGTACTTAACACGGACGACAATACCTCCATAGCCGTCAAGATATCCCGGCGTCGGCTCTGGATATTTGTTACACAAGAGATTATATGCACGCCTCTTCCTCGGCCTGATCTTCCGAATTTCAGGCATGCACGATCGCAGCAAACTTCGAGAAGGATGGAGGCTAGCAGTAAAGCAGGACAATATGGTGTCAGTGAAATTGGAACACTATATCTCAGTAATCGGCCATCCAATGTCCCATGATGCAAAAAGGGTAATAACCGCCTACCACCGGCTCAGCGCGCCTTTCCTTTATGCTGGTACTCGGCCCCGTTGGGTGAGTCGAAAATACAGCGAAGGGGCACTCGAATAAGTTTCTACGATGTTAGACTTGACGTTATTAATCCCCTCAATTCAGGACCGAGAGAAGAAACAAAAAGAGCAAAGTCGACAATGTCAAATACAGAGCACGACGGAATTATTCCAAAGCTACGTTAAAAAGGTAAAATGCGAATAGTGTACATGGATCCAACCTTAGGCCAAATATCTAGCTAGGCCAAAATTTGGGTGCGAACCCGAAGAAAATCAGCAGAGTCCAGATATGGGGCAAATTTTCAAATCATATTTCGTAATGAGATTGCGATGTTTGGGTGAAGTGTCCGCCAAAGCTATCTTTTATGTTTCGCGGGGAAGAAGGTGAGTGATACAATCGTGGAAGCGGCGTCAGGTAATTTCGGGTTTGATGCGAATGTGCAGGATCCTTCCGTCCGCCTAGGAGTTGCCATCTTTTGTCAGTGATCCGTCGTGTGCCATCGTAAAGAAGTAAAATCAACTAACTTTCTGGTTATTGAACTTGGTGACAACATCATCAGCACCACGGCGGTCTGCAAACATCATTTCGGCCATTACAGCAGGATACGTTGCGATGAGCCGGCACCTCAACATCCTGCCGCCTACTGGTTCAAAGGCCGATTGTATGTCTTCAGCTGTAGTCCCAGGAGCAAAGTTGCTGCCGAGTACTATAGTAGGTCCGGTGGCTCGGCCCTTGATGCTCAGGTCTGGGTCCGGTAGTGCAGATGATAGTAGACGAGCCTCTCTGGTAGTGTAGCGAGGTATGTCTGCAGTTCGCGTGTGTGTGGTGCGTGCGGGCTCGGCGTTTCTAGTGGCTCTGGCACCTCTGGTTGCCGTGCGCTGGATCAAGGATTCTAATTCAGTACATGTTTCAAGAGATAGTAACAGAAAACTAAACAATGAGCCACAAGAGCATCACTACCTTTTCAATTCTGCTGGGAGCTTCTTTCTGCGCTGGCCTTTTGGCAGCTGGTGCATTTTCACTTCTTACTTTGCTGAAGAACTTGTCCGTTGAAGCTTGCTTGCGGCGCCTATCACGAGCTGGAAAAAGGAGAACGGGACGTCAGATCAACAGCCTGAACATCATCCCAGGTAGCTAACCGAGGAGGAACGTGTGTACTCACCAGCATGGATGATTTCCTCAAAGGATGGGGCATTCTTTGTGCTATCCTTCTTCTTCGCCGCCATGGCTCCTGGTTACTGCGCAAAGGACTGAGGAGAGTTCAGCTGCCGGTGGGAATAAAAGGTGATTCACTCATGCGCACGGGAGTACCATCATAGGCGTTATCCCAGGGTTAACAAGAGTGTGGAATCTCAGCTCCAAAGAACACACAAGACAAGTGCTTGCAGCAGCTGGCATGAAACGGCGGCAGCAGGCTGATTCTGGAGTCTGCTCAACCTCTTCTGCTCGCGCCGCCGCAGCCCTGGCCCGGACTTCACGTGACCCGCTAGTGTTGAGGCTAAAAACAAAGATGGTCTTGGCACCGCTAGGCCAGGAACGGCAGTTCTGCTGGTTCTGGAACAGTCAGCCCGGCGCGCGCTTCAGGGGCAGCAACATCGTCACGGGCCTGTCACCATGACAATGGCACAGAGAAAGGGGACGCACACACTCAGTCATCGCGGTAGATGCCGCCTTTCATCACCCCGTGAATTGTGTCCCCTTTACGTACCATGTTGCTGTTTTGTCATGGCAACGCGAGCGTGTTCAGTAATGGGGAATGTACCTCACAATTGCATCATCTGGGACACATTCCATCCCCAAGCACTGCTTGCCTGCTGCTTGAGGCTTCAGATATCCGTCATGCTCGAGCCTTGCCGGCCGTCAAGTCTCTCTCTCTCCGGCTCATCTTCGAGGGGTGCTCTTTCCCTCGAAAATCTGCTCTTTACTCTTTGCTGTATCATCTTTGGATGGCCTGGTTTTGACAAAGCCTAACCTATCATCACTCCTTGACATCCAAAACTCCCTTTGTTCCCTTCTGCTTCTTCTTTTTCAGGTGCTCCCGATTGTTGAATCGGCGGGCATCTAGATCTCGTCTTCATTTCGGCAATGGCTTCTTTTTGGCACCGTCTGTTCGGGCGTGAATCCAATTCCGCTGACCGGAAGCCGAAGGATTCTCCCAAGAAAAAGCTTGCGGGCCACCGCCGAAGCATATCACAACTCCTTTCCTCGCCAATGAGGAAGTTCTCCGATCGTGAAACCAGCCCACAACCTCCCCCACACCCCCCGACAAAACACAGAGTAAGAATATCTTGCCATGAGAGGATCCATTACCCCATATATAACCCCGATGACCCGCGGCACAATCCAGAGGTTCGGAATCGACCACCACGCAGAGTTCTACGGAAGAGTCTGGATCAAGCAGCCGCACCACGAACAGTATCCCCTAAAAAGGCATCGCCGTCAAAATCTCTCCGCCAGGCACGTTCCAACTTGAAGGCGCTGGCAGACAGCATTCGACCCAAATCCATTTTCAATCGCAAGAGCATTCCATCTTTCCCAGAGGCTACATCCTCCGCGTCTGAACCTGGTCGGTCGCAACTTGGAACTTTACCCCCAAAATCCGAAGACGGAGCTTTCGTCCACCGCTCCCTTCCTGTGGATATTCCATCGAATTGTTCTGCATCAAAGGCGACAAATAATGACCCACAACCGAAATCCTTCTCCCCTAGCACCGCCGCGATGTCCGATGAGGCAACGTCGCTGTATGGAACTAAGCCATCTCTGAAAACCAAACTTTCCTGCACCCCTATGTTATCAAGACTTTTCGACCGCCAGAGCCGTCGGACTAGATATTCTAGTGAACTTGACTCTCGAAAGTCGTCGAGTGATGCCATAATTGCGGGAACAGGCTTTAATAGGAACAGTCAACTGAAAACGGATGACGATGGTGGCGACCTGTCAGGCGATGATATTTTCGGTCCTCTATGCGATATGGAAACCCCTTCCTCTCGTCATGGCGCCCCAACTGCACCACACATCCGATTCAAAATTCACGATCCCACCAGATCCCCTCATTCAAAAATTCCCGAACCAAGTGTGTTCTTGAAATCCCCCATTCCTTGCTCAACCACAATCGAACACGACTCGAAGGTGTCCTCTGACGATGCAAGTATCAGTTCACCTGCATGCCAAACTACCGTCAGGTTGCCTTCGAGCCGTCGCCAGGGTTCTTCACAGAATTCTGATTCCCGTCTTTCGCTCGAACCGGGCATGTGGATGTCGAGGAAAAATTGCTGGACTTCACAGCCGCCTATTCATCCTCCATCCGAATGCAACACTGAAAAAGATCCGAATTTCGGTGCCGAACTATGTCGTACGGACTGTCGAATAGCCGAAAGCGATGATTCTTTGGTAAGTAACCCTCTGTTGGGGCGCTGGCTGGTTTCCATGGGGGCGTTTGGGAGTGAGAGTGAGCTCAAACTCTTCGATGCATTATCCCTCTCAGGCTCTTCCGGATCTCCAAAGAGCGTAGAGAGCAAATTTACTTCTTGCCACCACGGCGCTCTGGCTAGCCCCAACCAACAGAACCAAATGACTGGTGACCAGAGTGAGCTCCATCCATTCGTGTCCGACGAAGCCAAAGATGTGGCCAATGCGAGTGATCAGCACCGTTATTTGAGTGGATCAACGATAGCTGGTAGCTCAGACGACAGGCAGGAGACTACTCAGGCTCCTTCTGGGGCCAACCAGAATTGTGCGATAGTCAATTTGAACCCTCGTATTTCAATGCTCAGGCGCATTCTTAGCGAGTGCCACCAAGACCCTATTGATCCATTACCTTCCGGTCTGCAGTTTATGATTGAGGCTATTGATCGAACCTCTGGTCTCGAACTAGATTGTGCCGACGAGAAGGAAGTATTCCAGTCACCCGCGAAGTTGTTTCCCATTGGGTTGTCGGAATCACTACGCGAGGAACAGCTTCGTTTGAGGAGGAGCTCTTTGAGCCAGTCTGAGGCTGGGCAGAGGGAATGTGCACCCCCGCTTACTGAGAATTTGTGTACAGAAGACGGGTCTCCGCGGAAGCGCAGCCGGCATT